TGCATGTCAGCGATGGTCCGAACAGAGTCTGTCTAGTGGCTGAGTCATGATGAATGGTACCATGTCCACAGCAGCATGCGTGAGTTGCCGGGATCCCCAGTCCAAGTTTTACATGCGCATTCGCACGCTCGTAGGGGTTCACTAACTGGCTAGGCTGCAGGCTCTTGCGTTTGCAACTGCTTTCCATTCGGACAAGCATATGCCACAGCTAAAGCTGAGTTGAATGCTAGCAGCTCTGCTTGCACTCACTGGCGCAGCATCCGGCTGCAAAAAGGCACTCGCCATCATGAGTCATGTGGTGGCTGGTAGATCAAGAAATGCATCTAGGTCGTCAAGGTTGTACCGATGATGCACGGTTCTTTGTGTTGGTAGGTACGCATCCAATTCAATCTCCTGCCAGTGCCCAGGCCACGGATCATGGCAGGCGGCTCATCCTGTGCACCAACAGAATGGAATGCGGAATGCTGCACGCAGATGAGCACGATTGAGCACCCCAAGTCCTTGCAACGGAGGCAGGGTCGCGGCCATGCCCGATCTCGCTTCGCGGGCCTTGCGCCGCGCAGATGTCAGCTTGCACAGCCAAAAGGCTTCTTCAAATCATACCCTCGCAGCGGTTGACCTTTGAGATCACGTTTGGCCGGGTTCTTTTTTCGAGGTTATGTGATGAGCATGTCACCAGGGGAAGCCTGCTGAAGCCTGCCCTTTACAGGCCGTGACATCCTGCTTCTTAAGCTCCTGGCGGACAAGGGTGCTTTGAGGCTGGTGGTGCGCCAACCTCGCGCAGACCCGCCGGCCACCTGGAGATAAGCAACAGGGTACAACAAGAATGAGTCTCGGGCATTGGCATTGGATGGTGTTGGCACTTGGCCCGGCAGTCGCCACTCCAAGAAGAGAAATATGCCCGCTACTACTCAGTGCCCAATAAGGCAACCCACGCGCAAAAGCCAGCTCACCCCAGTGATTAGATGTTTTGATTGACAACCTTCAAGCAACTCGTGCAATGTGGCCGACAGCATACGGGACCCAGCGCAGAGTACGGAAAACACACAGTTCTGGACGATAGCGCGCTCTCAAACTTAACCTGACGCCCTCGCACAAGCAACGGCAATTCCAACTAGACATGGGCGATCGAAGAACAGCTCTGCAGACCTAGATGCTTGAAGCCTAGCCGGGTTCTGGACCAAAGAAGGCGACGCAAACAAAATTCTTGTGTAGCATGACTGTCCGAAACACCGGCAAACTGAAACCCGACCACAGCAGCTCATAATGAAGGTGTCTATACCAAACTGGGTCATATGCTACAGAACTGCAGGGTACGCCCTCGCGAGACACGACCTGTCGTCAAGCACCAAGTACCAAGGGCCTTGTCCAGGCTTGACGTCGCAAATTGACCTGCGCATGCTGTTGGTCATGACCACCACAGGTCGCGATTGATCTGGAGGCAGATGTGACCTAGATTGCTAGGGACCAGGCTGCCCTCGAGTGTCGGAAGCATGGTAGCCTTGGCTGAAACTGCTTGGCGATGCGTGCCACCAATACGCCGCTAACTTTCCACTGCCACCCAAGTTAAGGTGGGTCAGGACTGGATTGTGGGGTTGACACGGCTGAAAGGGTTTGGAAAGAACCCAGCATCTGGACAAATCTCAACGCGCTCCGGACATGTGTGTTCTTCGTTCCTTCTTTCAAAGCTTTCCAAGCTCCAACTAATTGCTGTATCACAATTTCTCTGCTTCGGCATGTTTCGTCCTGCGAGTCCAGGCTTGATGCTTGCTCCGTGCCTTGCCCGACTTGTCTTTCGATGAGGACGCAAACAAGCCAAGATCAAGCATCGGCAATCAAAAACAGTAACTATCCTCACTATCCTCATCCTCAGTATCCTGACTGAAAGATTTCCGAATGACACAGAAAAGAAACCCAGCAACAACGTTCAGCGACACAACCCCATGCGAAGACTCCAGGGCAGGGACAGCGCTAGGCAGCAGCGTAGCGTCCTCCAGAGGCCCTCCGAAGATCCCAGCACCTTCAGGGCTTAGGAGGAGAAAAACTGATGATTTGGGGCTATGTAAGTTGGCTTTCGAAATAGACGGTCCCCAGAAGCCCCCCGTGCTTAAACCGCCCAGGCCTCCGCCTGCGCTGCTGCCGAAGCCTCCGTCGATTCCGATTGAACCCACCGAGGTGTCCAGAGGCCGCACGCCTCTCGCACGCAGAATGGTGAAAGATCATCGCGCAAGTAAGACATTCTGAAGAAAGCGACGAGTCATTCGAGGCATTTTTTATCGAAACATATCGAAACCGTGCACAGCGAGGGCCTCTGGGAGAGCTCATGCGGCCGTCACCTCACAAGAGCTGCGGGCGCAGCAGGGTCGGACCGTCTTTGACCCCATGAACTTGAAGACAACCGGTGCGCAGACGGTATCTCAAAGCACCGGGGTGCACGCTGGCAGACTTATCTATCGATGATTTCGTGGAGGTCGCGTCTCTGCTCACCTTGGCCGAACTGGAAGGCCATATCCTTCGTGTCGCCACGACACAGTCACTAACATGCTCTGACATCTCGATCTAAAGGCTGTAAAGCTCAGGCCAGATGCAACGATACAGCCTTCCCGTCGCTACCCAGTACAGGCAGAGTGCGTATTCCGTGCGTACAAAAGCATCAGAAGCTGAGGGCCCTCTGAGCGCAGTTTTGAGCCCTTTGCATGCCGCAGGACGTAGGACATGTCGGGTTGTGGCCCGTGGACCTACCAGAAGAAGTTCGCTAAATTCAAACCAGCTTGCATCCTATGGCTCAAACACATCCAGCCCTCATCCGTCCCCTTCGTCCTGCATCTTTATGGGTCTTCGGGGGTTTCCTTGTGTGAGGGTATCATCGACAGGTACTCTTGGCTTCACTTTTAGCACTCAGCTGCGCGGAAGTGTTGTTTGCGAAGGAGGCCGTGATTGGAAACATGAATCTTGAAACGTTTGATGGGTGGCCCCCTTGAAGTCCAGAAAGCGATTTGAGTCAACAAAGCTTTGCTGCGGAGGTGCTTCACCACACAGCGAGCACGCGATGAATAAACTTTAAAGCTTTTTCGTGGCTTGCGTGCATATGGCCTTAGGACTCTTTCAACACGAGACTCCCACCAACGCGAAACGATCAAAGTCGCAAAACAAGCCGCACTGTCGAGTGCTTTTGGCCTGCGGCTCCTGTTCACCCAAACCTGCTTTGCTTGCTAGAGCCCCTGGTGTCGCGAACTTTGTCTGCTTGAAAAAGGTCAAGTTGCACGGTGACGGATACGAGGCGCACCAACGCCACATGGCCATGTTTAAACCTGAACCGGTTGTGCACCTCCATGGGGTTGGGATGCGAGTATCTCAGCGCGACCGTTCTCAAGCGGTCGAGGCCTCAGGCACCCATTCAGTACAATCCAACTCCAGACTCGGGGAGAGCTTGTCGAGGCTACACGTCCAGATACCATGCAGCTTGGTACATCCCACAAAACGCTCAGATCTCCCCCGCGTAAAGTTTTGGACTGAGTCATTCACTCCAGTCAGGCGGCGTTTTGCGGTGCGTGACCTGCAACAAAACTTAGGCTCAGGCTACCCCTGCAAGCACTGAACTGCAGCAATCTGCTTGGCAATCAAGTGGCTATGTCAAGCATTCTCACTTTTGGAGATCATCTGAGGAGCAATCCCAGAATCTCAAGCTCATTAGCTCTTCCAGTAAGTCCTGCAAAATCAGACATTTGAGAGTATGGGGCAGGAAAGCTTCCACTCCTGCCACAACAGCAGCGCACTCGTGCGCACTCCTTCTCCTAACCCCATTGCGAAGGGTTTTGAAGCACCAAAAGCAAGTCAGCAGCCCACCCCCCCTCCCTTCTGTTGGTTTTGATCACGCTACCTCCTTCACAAACATGCAACACAAACCATCATAGACCCACACCCCAAAGCAGCTTGCGGCCGTCGGCACCTAAGTCCTAGGGTATAACCCTAATTAAATTCCAGTGTCCTTCTCGTTGAGCAATCGGCTCTGTCGTGAGAGGCCGACTTGGGGCGGCCCTCGCAGCAGATGGTGCGCCAAACAAACCTTGGCAGCTCGTGAATTCGCCTCTACCTTTGGGGTGCGTACCCGCACCCGTGCACCCTCGGAGAACCCTGGAAGACCCGAGCATGACAGGGGAACGGCGTAGAAACAGCAAGCAGGCTGCCTGGGTCTACAATCACCTCACGACAGCCTGCGCAACCCCCCCGAAACCATCCTGGGACCCCCTGGCCCATGGACCCCCATGCAATCCCACGCACATAGCACCACGCCGCGTGGCTTGGGCTGTGGAGGCAGCGCTTCCAAGCGTTTACAACTTTGTTCGGTCTTCTGCACAGGTGTGAGAATGACGTGATATAGTGTGATATGGTGTGAAAAAGTGCGAGACATGCTGTGCCAGTGCGGCCCAAGGTGCCAAGCCCATGCAGATGCCCTGGACCTGGTCATCCAACGTTGTGCCACCCGTTGCCATGTCTATGAACTGCCCTCCAGCTCCCGACATCCAGGTCCCTTGAAGCCGACCTGTTCACGGAGTTGCTCCTCCATGGGGTCATCCGAGTAGTCGCTGATCTTGCCGGAGAACGCAGCTTTTCAGATTGCAAGGGATTGAACTTCCCGAAAAGCAACGTTTGGCTGCTAATTGAACATCCATTCCTCGACAAGGTCGGTTATCTCGTCAATACCCTGTAGACTCGCTATGACTGGTTTTGGCGCGGCTGGAACCGGGTTTCGGCCTCCTCGTCATCAAAGTCCTGGCCGTGACACCAACACACTGAGCCTGCGTGCTTGTGAAGCACAAGCAGAGCACAAGCAATGCGATGTAGTCCTCGTCGTCGAAGTCGTGGTACGTTATGGCATTGGGCGGCAAACTCACCTGTCCAAGGGCCCGTCCCGCAGCAGAGACCCGAGACCATGCCGGAGACCGTTGCTTTAAAGCAAGACAGAAATGGACGAGCAGAGCTTGGAGCCTGTGGAGCCTACGTACGGCATTAGAGGAGAAGTTCCAGTGAGGTCTTTCTTGCCTTGGACGTCTGGCTGCGGGACCTGGTGGACGAAAGCTTTTTTTTTCAACCTCACCGACAAAGCCCACAGCAAGGAGGGGCCCGGGCTTTGACATCTGCGGCTCGTCATCCTTGACTGGCTGCATTCTGCATCATTTCTGCATAACTCAGACATAACATCTGCACGCTTAGGGCCCGGGCAGAATAGCCTTCTTGGTCCTCAAGAGCAGCAAGTCGTCCTTGCGCAGAATTTGTGGCTTGCTGAGGCTGCCAATATCGCCCATGCGACATGCTTCCCGACAGGCCCACATCTTGAACAGCAGCCGGTCCTTCAGGATCGTCCCTCAGTGCCGCTATTGAATGGTACGTGCTTGCTTAGACTCTTGTCGGCTTCTCCGGAAGACTTGGGAACTTTGGGGGACATTTGCAGGGAGCATGCGCTCAGTATGAAAGACCTCGACGTGCGGCAATTTGCTGTGGCCCAGACGTGCCGGCTAGGCTTTGGATGCTGTCCTGCAGTCCAAGACAGAACCGGGGGTGGCGAGGGCTCAACCACAAGCAATGGCCCCCTTCTTGCCAGGCCTGTCCAAGAGCTGTGGAAGCTCCCTTGGCAGATGGTAGCATCCGTATGAATGTTGACTAGCCGTGACTAGCACCCACAACATACGATACTGTGATCGACAGGGTCCCCTGCAAAGCTGGTGGTGCTCTTAACGTCCCTGGCATCAAACTCACCACGAGACGTTGTAAGAGACACAGGCACGCACACGCACACACACACACACACACACACAAAGACACACACACACACACACAACACACACACACACACCCACACACACCCACACACACCCACACACACCCACACACACCCACACACACACCCACACACACCCACACACACCCACACACAGCCACGCACACCCACACACACCTACACACACCCACACACACCCACACACACACACACGCGCGCACACGCGCACACGCGCACACGCGCACACGCGCACACGCGCACACGCGCACACGCGCACACGCGCACACGCGTACACGCGCACACGCGCACACGCGCACACGCGCACACGCGCACACGCACACACGCACAAACGCACACACGCACACACGCGCACACGCGCACACGCACACACGCGCACACGCACACACGCACACACCCACCCACCCACACCCACACTCACACCCACACTCACACACCCACACCCACACACCCACACACCCACACACCCACACACACCCACACACACCCACACACACACACACACACACACACACACACACACACACACACACACACACACACACACACACACACACACACACACACACACACGACACACACACACACACACACACACACAAACAACACACACACGCACACACACACACACACACACACACACACACACACACACACACACACACACACACACACACACACACACACACACACACACACACACACACATATATGCAGTTTCGGAGACAGGTTGATGATCATCCGTTTGGGGCCCCCATTTGTGCACCTCCCTTTAAGACTTTTGACCGTCAACCCTCATCACGGAACACTCGTTGCCAAGCCGCAGCTCCATGGCCAGACGAAACTTTGCAACTCATATTGGTAGCACATCATAACATCTGCCGAATAGAGGATCTCCTTTGTTTATCTTCGCGTGTTTGTGTTGGTTTGTGGCGAGGCAGACCCCAGGCGAGACATCGACTCAACTCAGAAGTGGCCGTAGAAATAAGTAGTCGGCCGACCCCACCCAGAGATTTTTCGGGAGTTTTTGCTTTCACTGGGTTTCCCTTTTCAAGATGCTGCGAGCCATCAGCCAGCTCACCCTCTAAGGACGGCAGTCGAGATAGCAGAGATTGCAGAGATAGCAAAGATAGCAGAGACAGCACAGAATCTTTGAACGCCGTGCACACCCTCCAAGCTAATGCTGAGTTGGCTGAGTTGGTGCTGAGTTGCAGGACACTTTGTCAGACCGAAAAATTGCAGAAGCCTCAAATTTAGGAAGTCCCCACGGCGCGCGGCCGAATGCAAACATACGAACCTCGAAACCTTCACACTCATGCAGAAATCTCTCCCGCACCCGCGCATCAGAAGGCATCAAGTCCACGAGAGAGACGTAGGTGTTGTTGGATGGAGCACTGGCAACACCGAAGAAAAGAAGCATCGCACCTACAAGAAGGAACCCAAAGCGCAGGGGGGGAAGGGGGGGAAGCGGGAAGGGCAGAGGGTGGTTTTGACAGAAATCACAAACCTGAAGGGGGCACACGACATTTTCGGAGCACTGAGGGAGTACCGCGCTACACCAAGAATCTCCTCAATCGGACCTTGAGTTCCAGAAGGGCAACAAAAGAATTGCAGAGAGGGAACGGCGAAAAAAAAATCCTAGCCTTTGTGACAACTTTTGGGACACCCCACAATTCCTTCTGGACTGGCTACCAGCCAGCCCACTCTCTACCGGGCACCTACCGGACGCAGATGTCTCAAGGCGGTCTACGCATCGCTACACCACTCATCCAAGCCTTTTCATTCGGAGCTTCCCGGAGCGAGCTCTGCTGGCACTTCTTCTGCCTGAGGGCTCATGTTCCCAATGATGCATTCCGGCAAACCCTGGGCTTACCTTCCTCTGAGCCTGCGGCTGCTTGCTGGACTGGCGCTGCCCGCCTTGGACAAGACGGACACCTGCATTTGGAGCAGTGCAGGGTTCTGGGCTGACTGCAAAAAACACGATTGCAACGGGAGATGCACACCCAACGAACTGCATCTCTCGCACTGGCACATGTAGGTGCAGAAACCAACTTGCATACAATCGAGTCCCACCCCCCGCAGCCATTATGACCGGAGGCAGAGAATTGGGGGTTGCCTGCAAGTCGATGGTGCCGATCCTGTCCTTAGCCCCAAACCCTTCCCTTTCAGGCTCCTGTGACAGCCGATCCTGGCCTTTGTGGCTCATTGGAGTTCACGTCACGAGATGAGAGCCGGGCATTCTGGTTGTTCAGCACCTGCTTCAGCTCGGAGAGCTGGTTGCTAAAGAATTCCTGCAAGAATTCATTAGCGGCTTCAAAATTCTAATGTTTCAGCAAACTATCCGGGAACTCCGGTTTAGGAAGCTCACGCTGCTAACCTATGACAACCCAAACCATCTTTCGATTTGAACATCCTAGGTACAGCACGAGCAGTGTGACAAGGAGCCGAGCCCAACTTGGCTTTTCAAACCCGCCTTTACGGGCTCCTTGTGATGGCCTACAGCGATAGCAGTGCTTAATACAGTTTCCAGAATCATTGGTTTGTAGGATTTGACACCCGTTGTCTTTGTTTGGCCAGGAAGGCGTTGATCGTTTGAAAACTGGCAGCAGAAACAAATGCCCTGTAACTGCGTAAGGCGGGGGAGCTGCAAAACAGAACAAGCAAGCTTTGCCCATGACAAGACCTTGAAACACTGCCTGGAATGGTGCTGGGTGGCCTCCCCTTCTATTGCTAGAGCGACTACAGCTCATGCCTTTGATGATGCGCAGCTTGACAAATCTAGTAGAAATTTGATAGTGACCCTTTAAACTGCAAACATCACAACGCGTGACTCTGTCCGACGGGCACTAGCCCAAACCTTGCCTGTATCTCAGCTTCTGCTTACAACGGGTCCTTTTGCACCAGTTGCTTCATGGAATCCTCGTGCGCAGGGGGGCGAGAACTTCCCCCTAATTGCCGCTTCAGCTTTTACAAGGAAAAGGGCACTTTATTGTGTCTCGAGCGACTAGAGGGCCATGAGTTCATTTACTTCTGGAGCACAGACAGCCCGTCCGTGAGAGTCTTGGCATCGGCAAGAGTGGCGCGCTCCGCGATGTCCTGGATGCTCTGGCATGCTCTGAGTAATAGAAACATTCACTGGAATATGACTTATTCAAGCCCACGGGTTTGGCCTGATCATGCACCTCCAGTCGGAGGAGGAGCTGATCCACCTGGGGCAAAGTGCTCTTACAGCAAACCTGGAACACTCTCTGATTCCCTCCGCTTTAGGCCCAGCCACTCCGCCACATTGTTTCGTGGAAGAGAGGGCCAGGGCACGGAGTCAGCGTCGGCGGTGAGTGTTCTTGCTTGGAGCGTGCTACGCCCAAGTTGCTTCGCGGCAACCCGCAGCACTCAGTCCAGGAGCTGAAATCTGCAGTGCGTTCCCTCCCGGGTGCAGCACCCTGTTAAAGGCTGCGCATGCCGTACCGCTGCTCTTATGCATCTGTAACCATGACTAAAGGCCAAGCCGTGGCCTCACCCTGCATTGTTCTTCAGACCCACTGGTCAGCTCGCAGGAATCGGACTGCTTGTTATCTCTGCCATTTGGGCACGGATGCGGAGCGGTCTCCGGGCTGTGCGTACTCCTGCCTTTGCCTGCGTAAGCGTGGCACACGCGCGGCCTTCGTGTAACTTCCAGATCCAGGGGCTGCTCCTGAGGTGCTGCTGGCGGCGCTGCTGGCGGCGCTGCTGCAGCTGCCCCATTAGACAATCTTTGTAAGGCTTGCTCAGCAGGAAACTGTTATTGGCGACGTTGAAGGGGCGACCGGACGCGTTCACAGTGCGACCTCGTTCTACGGTTCTTTCGTGTGCCGATTCGTTTTGTTGCGGGCAATTGCGAAGGTGTTGCGTGCGCAGCGGTGCCTTGCGTGTACAATGGCGCCCTCAGCTGTGCTCGGCAACAAAAAGGTAACATGAACCGCTACAGCATGCCACCTGTCCCTGCACGCCGCGGATCTTGTCAACAGCCTTCAGGACGACAAATATTCAATAGCGTTCACAAGCAATGCTGAAGTAAGCCACCCCACATGAACTCCTGTCATGGACCTGCGTTTCTTACAGGACGGCTGCTTGTAGACCTGCCCACTGGCCTTGTCGTTGTCTGCCGCAGCTTTCTGCCCCGCTTCAAGGATCAACTTGTAGACCTCAGTGATCAGCCCTGGTTGGCTTTGAAGCTCTTGTTACTGCTGACTCAAACTCTTTTGACATGACTGTTTTATTCTCCCTTCTTCTTTCTTGCTTGAGGGGGAGACCCGCTCGCAATCCGCGCGGGTGCTCGCAAGGGCTGATATTTAGAAATACCCCTTGGTCTCCCCACAACTGTGATTTCCCCTTCCGAGCGATGTTGCGAAGATCTTTGCGCGCGAAACCAAAGCCCCGGTGCTTTGGGAACGTGCATTCCTGTCTGATTGGAGCCCTGAATACACCGGAGGCCACACCGAAGCGCGCTGACATCCCGCTTTCGCTGTCGGTCTGATGCGAGCACCTTCTCTTCTTCTTCCTTCCTTCGCACATAGAACGCCCCGGGGGGTTTTGCCCTGTGGCTCCTCCATCCTGCTACCAGTCGCTTCTCACGTGGTAACCCACACAAGATCGCCCATTTCTGCCAGCACTGCCTGACCCCCGTCGTTCACAGGACAGCAACGTCTGCGCGAGAGCCATAGCAAACGCCCGCCAGCTTTTGCCCATGTCTTCTTTTATTCTGTTTCTTCCTCTCTCTTGCGCGCCTTCTGGAAAGTGGTGATGTTCTCAATCGCCTCACCCTTCCTCATGTCTGCTTCCTTGGAGCTGATGAAACTGTCGAGCTCGGAAACCAAAAACCGAAGCCACACGAAACCAAAAACCATGTGCCCTGAGGGTTTTTTGGGTTTCATACGTTTTCCGGGTCATGGCCTTGCATGCCTTTTGAATGTCTGCATGAAACATGAAATCATGAAGCACGGAGCCTCTCGGAGGTCCTTGGCGACCTTCTGACCCTGAGCTAAACACACAAACCGGCGTCACTTCGAGAACATCAAAGAACTCAACCGGCTCTTGATGTGATTCCTGAACCCCTCGGGCCTTCATTTTGGCATCGATGATTTCCTTCTCCTTCTCTCGGATTTTCTTCTGGAAACTGAGCACAGTAGCTCGAAACAAACATGCTGTCGCCACAGATATCTCCTGCGCGATGAATGAAAGCCAAGAAAGAGTACCGACTAAACAGCCAATGATTGTCTTCGCGCCTGGGCCAAGCCCAGACTTTGCCACGCGCAGTCATACCCGCAGCAAGCCGCAATCACTGAAAGGCTGAGAGTCTAACTCGTCACGTTGCCTCGAAAGGTCGCGATGCAGCCCGTCGACCTGCCGGATTGTAACTGGGACTGAAGTAGGGACCCAACTTTTGCTGGGGTTAGCGGGCACAATGAAGCGCTGATATCCACACCAAGATGCAAGCAAAGCACGGTGGAGAAGCTGACATGTGTTTCTCTTGAAAGGGTGTTCGCACTCGTCTCAGGTTTGTGTCCAGTCCGTATCAATCAAGACCTGCCCACACAGACTGTCGACCTTCATTCGCACTTGGACCCTGTGAATGCAAACTGGCCCAAACGGCCGAGTTGTCATGGAAGGCTCCATGCAAAAAAACAATGCTTTTCTTGCTCAAGAGCTTTGGTATCAAAGGTACGCCTCAGCTCATGATGCGGACTTCTACAACTGATACTTTATCTGTGATTGTCTGCGAGGTGTACCCACATCATTCCGGTGAGCGCTGAGACAGATTGGTCTCAGGACTCTGCACTTAAACAGGCGCGGAATGTAAGTACTTCAAACAAACCTTCAAATCTGAAGTGAAACACCAATATCCCGAGGTGACTTCCAGCACTTTCAATTATGATCATGATCAGTTTGACATGGATTTGGTGGTTCTGCACCCCTTTCCGTACTCGTTGTGCATGTGCTAGGTGACTGTCCCCAACATGACACTAGAGTCTGGGTCGTAGGGCATGTGGTGGGGCATGTGTGGGGAATACGATGGGACAATGGAAGGCAGTACGGCAGAAGGCAGTACTGCAGGCGCTGAAGTGAGTTGTTGCCAGGCTTTTGGAAGCCCGATCAGGGCTTTAGATGCTTCGGTTTTTGAATCTCCGCTTCTCTTCCGACACTCTTGCGCATGGAAATCACATCAAGCTCCCGGGAAATTTATGTACCAATGCACCAGTACTGTACAGAATGCCAGGGCAAGTGCTTTTGTCCGAGCTGAGAAACGCACAAGTCTCCTGCTTGGGCCCGCAAGTCTGCTCCGCAGACCTCCCGCTGCCTAGACCTCTGTCCCTTTAAACCTGACCAGCGGTTTCTGAGCAAGAGCTATGGGTGCATGGGGGCTCATACACAGTGGCTAACAGTCTAACAGTCGGCTGACGTCTACAATGCTCCATGGTCGTGTCTGGGAAGTCTGGCATCGAGGAGGATTCATGCATGGCCTGAGCTTACAGACAGCTTCAAACATTTTGGCACTTATGGGAAGGAAACCGAAACTGAAAGATCGGAAACTGCTTCCCCACACTTCGAAACACCTGCATCAACTTGGCGCTGGGTCGACCGAAAGCCCGAGTTTAGGCACGAAGTGAGGGAAAGCCTGATTGCTGAGCTTGAAACGATACTTCAAAAACAGATCATGACCCTCTTGATGGGCTTGGCTCGGCACTTGGATGATGCCGGCTGAGCTGTACCCTCACAGTGGAAGATAGGAACCTTGTATCTCGGAGTATGAAAACATGTTGCCAAGCTCACCAACAGGAATTGCCTGACACGCGTGCGTGGAGCAGCCAAGCGGCCAGCGACTCTGCGACGGAGATGTTCTCCGAGTCCATAGGCGTCACGAACCCATCGAGTTCCAAGGTGTCGCGAGTTGACTCGGACTCGTGCACTGGACGATGCGATTGTGGTCATCACATCATGTCTGGAAACGATCTGCACTTGGGCTCGACACAAAAAAATGTCATACATGATGCTCATATCCTGCAGCCGAGCCACCATGGAGGAGATTTGCACCACCTCGCAATCGGAGTCTTCACGGTCTTCCGGGAACTTAGGCCTTCGGGCTTCCATGTCCGCCAAAAGCTCTCGTCGCCGTTCGCAAAGCTCGGCATGGACCTACCACGCAGTCGGACATGCTCGGAGCATGCTCGGAGCATGCTCGGAGCATGCTCGGAGCATGATGAAGTCCGAGCAATCTGCCATGTGCATGCAAACTAGCCGCCCGATGTGCTCGGAATTGCTCTTTACTTTAAGGCTGACCGGAAACCCAATCCAACCCGCAGGGGATGCGTCTGTAGTTAAAGGCACAATCCCAAGGCTGGTAGGAGAGGCACGCACAACACGCAACCGCTGTGCAAATGTGTGCCAATCCTTCGCGGATAGCCGCCGCGCCTTCTGGTAGTGAGCCACAACGGCTGGGTCACCTGCCCATGGAAGCACGAAAGATGCGGAAATCACTGAAGCATGAAGATGCGCCTTGCGGAACTTAAATGGAACACCCACCTCGCGCCTCCAAAGAGGATGCGGCGCGACAGTGACAGAATCTGCTCTTCCACCACGTTCAGCTCGCTCTGAAGCAGGAGCTCATCGTCGGCTTCCTGCGTTTCCATCACGTAGTCATCCATAGCCTCCTCTCCTCTTCGAGGCTGTAGCTGCATTTCATGGACGCACAGGCCGGCGTCTTTTAAGACACCGGAGTATGTTATGCTGAACACGCAGTCGTAGCTCTCGGATTCATCCGAGGAGTCTGCCTCCAGGCAGGGGCTGCAGCAGGTTCCTGTCATGCCGTTGAGGGCGGACTTCATCGCCGGAATGCCATGCATGCTGCTCAAGAGAGCGGGTGGATTGCGTGGAAACGACACAACTACCCAAACCGATGAATCACTGTTGATGTCTTGCTCTGCAGCTCTTGAGCCCTGAGCTGTCACACAATAGCCTGAGCCTCCCACAGCTTGCAGACACATCAGCGGTGCCACTGGACGCTCCTTTGACAGTCAGCCTCATGAAGTGAATGCACTACCTGCCTAAAGGCAGGAAGTCAACTTGCGCATCTGTGCTCTTCTGGCAACTCTGCTATCCCTCCAAGATGGCTTTTTTAATCTCGCAAGTCCCATGACATGCGAACTAACACGTTCCCCTCACTGTACAATGACTTGTGGATCTACGATCTCAACTACAGATTGTATCCTTGGCGTGAGTCGTCAGGACTTCGTGGCCAGCTAGCTGACAAGAACACACGAGCTCAAGAATGTTAAGTTGGCCGTCCACGTGAAAACCACGAGCACAACAAGCACAGAGACACAAGCGAGAGATCATGAACGACACAAACAACTCAAAACAAGGAGACAAGAAACAAACGGCCTGATGCAAGTTCCGCTTCGAAAGTAGATGTCACAAGACCACAGGACCCTTTGCCTAAAGGTGTGTCAATGGCGCCAACCATACTACCCTAACCACTAAATCCGAAGTCTGAGCCAGAACAGGACAAGCTTTGTAGCATGCAAGCTCTGGGCTGCGATTACCCTTGAAGGATCTACTAGACTTCCCGAGTCCCGAGGACATCACACACAAGAAGCATATCAACAGCGAGCTACGGTCTGCTTTCGCAACCTTGTTCACCGACATCTACCGTTGGAAATGAAATAAAACGGAGCACGCAGGCTGCACGCCGCGATCGAAGGCCCCTCCATATTCCGGAGAAAAGAAAGCTTGGCAAACTGGTCTGACAGCGGACATTACAAACTTCGCATGAATCGCGGCTTTGGCGAATCTCTGGCTGCCTAACGGCTCCCAGTCCAACAACCAGCCCCGGCCTACAGCCCCCTTAGGGGATGCCAGCTTGAATGCCACAAGCTCGGTTGGGCAGTGGCAGCAGCAGGCAGGGTCACGGGTGTTATGCACGGGTGTTGGCATGCCTGCAGGCAGAGATGCTACTTTCCTGACAGCGGGCAGCGGAGTCAAAGCCCAAGCTGGCTTTCCCTGCCGAAGTCACCTGGCAGCCAAAGCGTGAGAGGACTGGACTCGAGACTCGAGACAGATCCATGTTGGCATGCACCGAATCCGGATAGATACGACGGCAGCCCATGGGGCTTCTTTTCAAAGAGGCCCTCGAGCCTAAAGGAGAATAAGAAAGGTGTTTCAGACGGAGCAGGTTGCCTTTGCGGATTTTCTAGGGGCCCCTTCGCCTTTTCGAGACATGTTAGGGACCTGTAGGCTGTGGACCTTTCTGTTCGTCTCAGGGACATTTATTTTTAGAGTCGCAGCAAAGTGATGGAGCTGGTGGCATGGTGAAGAGTTTAAGCCTTGGGCTTGGTTGGATGTCCCCGAACAAACACAGAACAAACAATAGCCTGTGCACAACAACTCTCTGACCCCAAACCCCATGACCCTAACAAGCCCTCGAGCAATTACCCTGATACCCGACCGACTCCTTGGCGCGGGTGGGGGAAAGGCGGTTGAGGTGACTCCTTTGAGCAGCCAACCCAGGCTCTTCCTACCCGCTTGCCCGACACTTGATTTTTCTTCGTTGCTTTTGCCTCACTTGGCCCTGAACACCTCAAAGCTGCTGACACACCTGCAGCTGGACCTCCAGATTCCAGCTGACCGACCGCGTCTTTGCTGGCGGCCGTGTCGCAAGTGGACTCAGTTCAGAACCGGTAAGCCAACGACGAGAGACTGCTTTGCGAAATCACAAAACCCTCCTGTCACGTTAACATGCTCATGCATTGTCATGCATGCTCTAATGTGATACTTCACGTACCGTGCAACCGCACCTAAGAGCAGCCCCGAAACCACCAAGGAAAGTCCAGCGATGAGACAGGTGGCAACCGTTGAGGCCCACGACGGGAAGTCGTGCATTTCTGTTGCCTGACATTCGAGGGGTTGGCAGCATACTGTGAGCACAGAAGGCAATTTATCAGGTTCAGTGCTTCAAGAATTTAGGCGCGGTTGCGCGGTGTGTTTTCATGTGTTTTCAAAGAGTTCTGCTTGCATGCTTGAGGATCCGGACGGTCTTGAAACTTTGTCGTTGTTTTGGGGTTTGGCATAGGAAAACCAAGGTTTTGCAATTCCAAGTCCATGGGCAAATCGCGCTCTCGCCTACGTCGAGGACGCATTCCATGGTCAAAAAAATTATCACCTAGGTCGCACACGCATCCTCTCGCCAAGGTCTCGCATGCATTGTGTGGTCGAAATCATGCACATTTCCATGGTGGACATCGCACTCGGTAAATACCAAAGGGCCTCTATATGTTGAAACAGATATTTCATCCATTTCGAGCAGCATGAAAGCAGAGCTAAATATCTTTCTTTATATATATATAGATATACATATATGTGTAGATAGGAAGATCGATAGATAGATATATTCACGTATCTACTTATTTAGGCTTGAGGGCGAAAACTGTCCGCTGCGTTTTTGCTTTTTTACAAGAAAAAATGAAAAACCGATGAAACACACTTTATAATCAGTACCAAAAGAACAAAACCAAGAAAACAAAACCAAAAGAACCAAAAAACTAAAAAACAAAACAAAACAACCAAAAAATCGAGAACTCCTGGAAACAATCCAGATCCATGTTCTGCCTTCAAGAATTCCCGAGATTTTTGTTTTGTTGTTTTTGTTTTTTTTGGCGTTGGGGCTTTTGGTTGTTTTGTTTTTTGGTCTTTATGCTTCTTGGCTTTGTGTTGTTCCCACACTTGTGTGCATAGATCGACTTTGCTTGTGTGTGAAACGCATTTTGCCTCTGTCGCAGTGTTCTCGGCTGCATTCTCGAACTCGGGGTTTTGTTTGCCATGGCGGGTTATTGAAGGGAGGAAGGAGGTCGTGATGGCAACCTCACGTTCGACGAAGCATGCTCCTTTTGGATTTGTGGACATTTCTGCAAAAAGTGCAGAAAAGTGTTTTTTGCTTTCAACAATTGTTTTTGAGCTTTTCCTGGCAAATCCAGCTTTCCAGGCACAATTGTGCTCTTGCAAGCTCTTCATGAGCGAGCTCATCTTTTCTGTGTTTAAGTGTAAAAAAGATGTAGTCCCACAAGTAAAAATGAACATCGTTATAATGTGTTTTTTCGTATTCATATCTCGTCATTTTTCTAGCAACATTTACATTTAGATCTACATTTCATTTGTTATTTGGGGTGGGCTTAACATGTACAGTTCGAAATAGATTTAATGTCGAATGAGGCGTAGAAGAGGATGTCTTGGGGTGTGGCATTGTGGCATCGTATTACAACAGTAATGGAGTTTAACTAACGAAGCCCAGATGAGGATTTCTTAGGATGTGTTTCGCAGGGTGTGGCCTTGCAATTTAGAAGCCAAATTGGGTTTTAATTCTGAATGAGGCTTGAAGAAGATGTCTTGGGGTGTGGCTTCCTGATTTAAAATTCTAATTCAGTGAAATTACAAAGGAAGTCCAGATGAGGATTTCTTAGGGTGTGGTGTTTAAATGCAAACTTCAAATCCGCCGAGGCCTCGGGCCCAAGGTGTATAGGTTGTGAGAACAGGCACCCCCCTCCAAATCCTCCCCCCACACCCAAAGCCCTTTTTTGGACCCCTTTTGTTGCCTCAAATGGGTGCCCCCCCTGGAAAACCGGGGTCCGCAAGCGCACAGTTCGCCAGGACCAGAGGCAATTGAAGCCCGTCCCAGCAAGGCCCCCCACCCCCCCCCCCCCCCCCCCCCCCCCCCCCCCCCCCCCCACCCCCCCCTTCTCCCCCCCCCCGACCCGGCTCAACTTTACGATCAAGAACCTTGAACCTTGAACCCTAAACCCAAAAAAACCCTAAACCCCAACGGAACCCTAAACCCTAGACCCAAGCCTTATTGCCTGGGGTCCAGCGACTTGGGCGCTGCGGAATCACCATGCTCACGTGGATGCGCTGGGCCGGGCCGAGGCGGGTCGCGTAGCGTTAAAATTACATTTCAGTACGAATTGGGGCCAGAGGAGGATTTCATAGGGTGTGGTCGGCAATATAGATTTCCAATTACATAAAAACACGAAGGAGGTTGAGAAGAGGATGTCTTGGGGCGTGGCCCCTTAATACACTTGTTTTCAAGTTTTGCTTGGGTTCAATTACGAACGAAGCTGTGGCTTTATCATGCACAGGTCGCTTTATAATACAAATTCCAATGAAGCGTCATTACGAATAGAAATCGTGAAACTTTTTCGGCTTGAGTGAGAATGACACAGCATATGGGAACATGTCGACATGAGCGCGTCCAAAAAAAACCTTTGCTACCACTTTGTGCACTTGAATGTCACACACATATCCAAACAAAGTTGTTTAATTAACAAAATGGAGCTAACGTTTTTTGTTAAATTAAGCCGATCTGTATCCGCTGTGTTGATATATGCAAGCAGTAATTTTTATCATCCTACAAGAGCTAGGGCTCCCTAGTCCCATCCTTCATCCTTCTGATCATTGCACAGGCCTTCATATTCAACGCCATGAGTTCCAGCTCGAGCTCGTCTTTGACCTAGCGGCTTCGGCTCCGATATGTATGGGAAAAAGGGTGCAAAGGGGCGTAAGATCTACAGAAGCCGGAAACATGCCAGGACGCACCTCCATGTAGTGCCGGATTGTGGCTGCTCTGCCTACGAGACAGGAAGTCCGGGTCAAGGTTCTGCCATTCTGTGGCCTCACGCGTGCCTCCTTTGCTGATGCGGCTGGTGAGGTGGCTTATCTGCAGCCGCAATAACCTCGTTTCGCGCTGGGCATCATCGTGAGACTCCTTAGCGGAAGGTTCCTCTTGTATTGCATCTGCAAGCATAGCTACCAAACTCTCACAAGAACCGCACCGCGCCACAACATCTGCTGACAGGCAAAGCAGCACAGCATGGGTAGCTGGAAATCACATGCCCATACCCTCGCACTGTTTTCAGATATTGCTGTCATCTAAATGTACGACTGGCAGTCAGAGAAACGGCCCATGTTCGCAGCATGTTCACAAGGGCGACGCTAGACGATTTAAACAAAAAAACAAAGACAAGTAAACCTCTCTCTCTGCGGGCATTGCACCTGAAATCCCGACCGGCTACGCACGAGCCAAGGATCTGCAGGAACGACTTTCATCTCATAGTCGTCGTCATCCGGATGCAGGCTCCTACTGCCTCCTCCACGCCTCCTCGGCACAATATCCTGCAGACAGTACGGCAACGACCTTTCCCAAAACTCTGCACTGAACGAAGCTGCTGCTCCTCATCCTCGCTGGTGTCGCCAGCCGTCCTCCAAGTCAGCGTTGCAACGAGTTTCCGAGCCCCGGTATTCCCTGATCAATCTGAGAATCCCGTGCTTCATTCGTGTTATCTTTCAGGAGGAACTCACACTTGTTAACTGGCCGGAAAACACTGGAATCATACTCGAATTGTTGGAAGCCGCCCCCCTGCCTGAAGGACTCACCCGAGGAGTCGAAAAGGGGAATTTCACACAGCGACCAGAAGGACGGGCTCGAGGAGAGTGGTCTCAAGGAATTCGCCGAGGTCGACGGCGCTAAGCTGTTCGGAAAAACCTTTGGACTCAGAGCGTTTCGGGCTACGGGCTGCATCTTCGAAGAGCCGGCAGGTCCCTGCGGAAGGCGCGGCGAAGCTGAGCTGACACTTGCAGTCAGGGATCAGAGCGCAGTGTGATGTAACACCCAATATGTTCCAGCAGAGGCTACTTATGCCAGGTACGCTCCTCCTGCTTCAGGACAAGAATCGAATCCCCCACATCCAACCCATCGGAATAACCCCAATCAGCCCGAACATGCAGAAACAGCTTCGATTCGTGGGCGTGCCTCATCCCGCAGAGGTCCTACCAGCCCCCCGTGGATCAAGCGAAGCAAAGCCACTCGCCACCTCTGGCAGCAGGGAACAACGGAAGGCGAAGGGCATTTAGCAGCGAAACCTCAGCGGAACCTTTGCCTATTCTGTTCTTGTGTTCACACTGCCTGAGTGCCAAGCTCATACGCATTGCGGCAAAGGCCATCAGAAGTGACCGTCGCTGCCTGGAGCACCTTCCGCAAGGGACCACCCGACCCCTGATGCTGACATTCCCAGTCCTTCCGTTCTCAGAATCTCAAACTAGAGCGTGTTGGCGTCTGCTGACTGAGAGGCTTGCAAAAGTTTCCGGCAATTCCGGCAAGGTCTTGGGAGTCTCGCCTACGTCAATGTCTGTCATGCCTTCGCGCGCTGTTGCGCCTGTTTGGCGGCTTCTTCTGACTCCTGGCTCAGAATCACACGCGCATGCTTGCACCCTACATACTGAATCTTATGCTTGGTAACCTTACCACATATGAAGCGCGTGCTGCCTGCAGTCGTGCCACACTGCCGCACGCTAAACGACTGAAAAGCTATTCTGCGCCACCATAGAGGACCAGCCGAAGGGCTTCATGAACAGGCATATTCCCCAGAGCTGCCACCGGGCCTCCGGCATCACAGCCTGGGGAGATAGAGGGATAAGATGACAAGCGGGCCTATTTCATGATTCCCAAAAACTCATGAACAAGTCTTAGGGTTCATACGAACGGGGGACCCTGATCTCGCATCCTAAAAGGCCTTGCTGTACATCTTTCACAACATGTCAAAACGAGGGGGCTATAAGGTCTAGGGCCACATACGTGCGTTGCTCATGTCGCAACTCTGCACCACATCGGATCCTGAAGTGCGCTCCAACCCACCCAGAAACTGTTCACTGTTCCAGGCTCAGGCACCCGGACCTCCAGAGCGCCCACTGACCCGTCCCTTCCCCCCTCCCCCCCTCCCCCCCTGCCCCGCCCTCTCCTTTCACAGGCTTGGGCCTGACCCCAAAGACTCCCACGAAGCCCCGTAACAGAAAGCTGGGACTCATACCGATGCGCTTGAGGGCGGTCGTGCCGATGCGCTTGAGGGCGGTCGCGTCGGCAGAGGATTGGGCACCTGCAAGCATCTGAAATGCGGATCAAAAACATGTCAAGCAAAACGTCACATGTGGTGCGTAGGATTGCGTAGGCATGACTTTCAAGTTGTTCAAGAAATTGCCACGGGTCTTGCAAGCGACCTATACCCGAAAAACCACATTCGAAACTGTCAACATGGTTCACCCTCTACCACAGTGCTGTTGTGCCGCCCCACCTCCAGTGTGGCCGTGTTTGGCCGGGCCTCGGGGAGAGACTCCCCTGGGCCTTGCACGGATTCGAAACGGGTGGAGTACTTGTTTTGAGTACCATCACTCACTTCCTTAGCCCTCATTTGGATCACAGAACCGCTTCGGGCGCCTTCGGCCCCGGCTCCTCCCCTCGCGCTCCCCGGTGCTTCTGTACCTTCAAAAGTCGTTCACACATGGAAACGATTGCCCCCCGAGATTGGGCCGACTTTAGTCTCCTTGCTTAGTGCTCAGCCGGGTGCAGGGTTCACGTAGGTTTACCTACTGATACAAGGACGACCTTTATGGGGGTTGATCCACTCCTCCATGCTCCTTTGCAAGCTGTAAGCTTTAAGAGGTCCTTCGCAAGCCTCAAGAGAAGCACGCAACTGAGACAGCAGCCGTCGGCATCCGAGGACCCTTCCATCGCCCTGGAAGGGCTCTCCACTGGCAACTGTCGGTTGTGGAGCGTTCGACTGTAACATGTATTATGAATTGTAGTTGCATCCGTCAAAAAAGTCGGTACGAGTCGCTACGAGTAGCAAGCCTCCACCTTCCGCGCTGGGGCGCTTGAGAGACTTGACATGCGATGACGGATGACGATGGGATGATCACAGTGCGTAGCAAATCACAACATAGATTGCCTATGCTTTGGAAAGGTTTCGGGGCTTCGACCTTGGCAGCTCGCTGTCGTCAATCCATGCTTCTGCTTCACTCTCTCCAAAGAGAAGCCTGAGAAGCAACACAGGAAACTTGTTCGTCTAAGAGAGTTCGACTGCCTTTATGTTTGAATCTGGTGAGTGGCAATCTGTGCTCAGGACCTTCGTCACACACCGGCATTGGAACTAGAGTCGGGTCTGGGCCGGGTCAGGTGTGGATGGATGCTGCCGGGCGACTGGGAGATATGTCGACGAGCCTGCAGCAGGCACGTCACCTAAAATTAATCGGCATGAATCGGCATGGTACTTCCTTCCCGTCGAAGGTTGCCCATCCTGCCTCGCTGGTTGCAAAGGCTTGCATGCGCGGTTCGAGGTCCTGCAGCTGAGAGATCGCAGCTCTTGCAACACACTCCCAGGAAGACATCGCCATAGCCACAGAACCGGGCCTCCAAAGCGGTGGAGATGCTCTTCAACTGTTCCGTGAAGGCTGCCTTCTGTGCTGGCTCTGGGGATCTTCCAAAACCCCACGCTATACATCGCTATACTGTCTTTGGGGGCGAGCCCGTTCTTTCCCTCCCCCCCCTCCCCGCCCTCCCCTCCCAAGGGTGCCTCGCCCGAGAGCCGCTCGGAGCGCTCCTCCGCCAGCGCCTCCTGCAGCTTCCGGCACTTCTCCTCAGAAGAGGGAGCTGTAGTCACCAATGTAGGGTTTCTCGGATCGAGTGGGGACAGCGTTGCGCCCCTGAATTGCCGAAGCCCCAGTGCTTCATGACATCGCCCATGTTGAATGGGAACCAGAAGCACGTCTGCCAAACATGCGGTTGCACATCGTGGCCTAGCTACGAGGATGTCGCAATGGGGACGGCTGCCATTCCTGGATACACCAACTTCTGTAGTTGTTCTTATAGCCTGATTGTCTCCCGAGCCTTGCTGACAAAGCAACGTGTGATGCAAGGTATGCAGCGCGATAGCCCAGATGGGAATACGCCCTGCAGTTTGTGGTCTAGTTCGAATGATGCCGAGACTTCATGTGTCGCGTGCCCTCACTTTGACCCGACATTTGCTTCAGATCGAGGAGTGGATGCCGTCACTGAGGAGCTTTGCGATTACTTTGACAAGCAGCAAGGTTACGGACGAGGCTTGTTGCTGTTTACGCAGTTGCACGATGAAGTGGGGTGCACGGCGATTTGGCGTGGGGTTTGGGAAGCAATTCAGCCCCGTCTTATTGGCTGTGCAAACCTCACGACAGTGATGCGGCGGGATTGTGGGCATTGCCAACCCGGCCCCTACAATGTTCGGTCGTGTGAAGCTTTGGCGGGCTGCGATGCCACGACGAACGAGCCTTCGCTGCTGTTCTCTGGCAACTCGCTGGTGATGCAGGAGAGCTATGGGAGTGCTGAGGTTGCCAGTGACCGCACGGTGATGATGGCAACCATTGGCACGCCTTTTCAAGATGAGCTGTCCGGCTCCGCTTGGGGAGGCACTTGGCCAGCATGCCTAGGTCAGGTGTTCCCGCTTTCCATGATCTGGCCATGCTCCTCAATCGGGAGGCCTGGGGCAAGCGTGTCATTCGTGGTGCTGCTTGGGATCCAGGTGGATACATGCGGCCGTGGCTGCGGACTAGTCATGAGGTGCTGCGCCTGCTTGGTGGCATTGACATGGAGTTCCTCGTTGAGATGATGGCTGTCAGGGCCATCGCCTGGGATGCGTTGCGCCTGCAATGCGGCACGCGGTTCATCGTGCAGATGATGACCGGCAAGACCATCACCCTTGATATTGAGGATTCTGCGATGGACGATGTGAAGGCGACGATCCAGGAGACAGCGAAGTGCCGACCCGATAGGCAGCGCTTCATCTTCGTAGGCACGCAGTTGCAGGACTGCCGCACGCTCTCAGCCTACAATGTCCAAAAACAGTCGAAGCTGAAATTGGAGTCGCCTGCGTGGCAGCGGGCTTTTCTTCGTGCGGAATCAACAGTGCCTCATTTTCGCCGGAAAGCCAAAGGAGGATGGCCGCGGGCTTCCAGCCTACACCTCCGGAAGGAGCCTGGAAATACGCCAACATGATGGCACGCAGTTCGTCGTGCAGATGCTGACAGCCAAGACCATCACCTACTTGTGGGACGTTGAGGCTTTCAGGATGCCAAGATGACCTCGCTCTCTTGAGGACCTGTGCTTAAACTTTCGTGGTAGTTCATGGAGTTACAGATTCCTCGTCTTGTCGATTATCGGCTTCTTGCATGGCAGCAGGGTCAGACAGCTTTTGCTCGGACTTGAGCTGCTGGGTCGATCTGACTATCCGCCTTTTTGTCGCTCACAGATTTCTGCGCCAGCCCTCCCTGCAGGGTGAGTGCAAACTGCCGAACGAACTGTAATTGGGTGGAGTTTATTTGCTAGATGCGCGTCCGATTCGGACTCAAGCATTACAGAAAGATAAGAAGTCACCAATGTCAATGAGGGGGTTTTTTAGGGTTTCTCTTGGCCTGAGGATTTGCATGGGGCCAGTGTCTGCGTGTTGGGTTGTGGCCCTTCGCCGCGCCTAGTGGCCTAGTGTTTTGCACAGCGCTGTCCCTGGTCCTCCAGGTCGCCAACCCGGACCCACTTGGCTTCATCTGCTTTGCGGGCACCTCTTCTCTGCCACAGTGCTACATCTGTCGCGCATGGTGGCACCGGTGTCCCTTGCAACCTTGAGGCCGGGCCGTGAAAGCTAGGGACAGCATCTAGGGGTGAGGGCAGCAGCGGAGCGCAGGATCGCCTGCGCCCCGCACAGAATGGACATGACATGTGGGCCTGGAAGCCTTAAGTGAGTCAGGAGCTCAAGTAAGTCCAAGGACCTGACTGCTTTCAATTGGATGGGGGCCTGTTCAGTTGGGAACGGTACTAGCCAAGAAGGGCAACCCCCGCCCCATCCATACAAGCCACTTGCATTACGAGACCACTGGAGCTTTAGGGCCTCGGGACTCATGGTTTACCGTCATGCACTTGCCAAAATATACCGGCACAGTAGCTTCTTCAACAACATGCTATAAACTCTCTCAGGTCGAGTCCAGAATGATTTCTTGCCGTTTTCACCTCCCCAAAACACCGCTCTTTCTTACAAACTAAAACTCCCTTTTTGATGAATGATCAAACAGCTTCGGGTGTGGCCTTTCGCTTTAGCCAAGTACATCGTTAGGTGGTACTGGGAAGCAAGTTAGCTGAAGATCTTCTTAAAAACCAATATCAGCTAACCTACTTCTCCTGCAATCGATGCTGTCCCTGGCTTCTACGTATCCATGGAACGACTTCCGAGGACGATCTTGCAAGCAGAATGTGGTTCTGCGGGTTTGTACGTACAGTCACTCGTCAACTGTGGGCTGGGCACCTTCCATGGCTTGCTTCAACGCGTTGGCGTTGGCATCCTCCTTTCGGCACAGCTTCAGGCAGCTCCCCACCGCCCTGTTGGCCCCAAGCTTTACAGCTATGAAGCACGCTGCTTGAAGGGACCAAGCAAACATCCGAGGCAGTCCTGAGCCTTCAATGCTTCTCGGAGCTCCACGAGAATTGGATCTTCCTCCGCAAGCTCAATGACTCAAGCTCAATGCTGACAAGCGGGCTTGACAGGCCTTACCCCACGGCTGCCTGCTCAACAAATTGGGTCCCGTCAACAAGCTGCCCGCATCCCGACCCCTCCTTGGGCTCTTCGGGCTCTCCGCCCTGCGCCCTTGGCGTGCTGAACGGACTCGCAAGGAAACAAGTTGGAAGATGCCAGAAGAGAAGTCTGCACATGAGTCCGCAAATGAGCCCACATCTGAGTCATTCTACATGATGATCATCTTCAGCTGCAGACATGTATGCCTTACTGAGAGTGTTATTACATTCTGAGCTCTCGACGCCTCGTCCGTGCCTTCCTCCTCCTGCTCCTCCTCGGCCTCTTGGCCTAACAGAAGGCAAAGTTAAAGCCCTGCCACAAGCTTGTAGAGGCACAGCACATCACTGAGAAAGAACACCTCTGATATTGGGGCAAACGCCGCAAAAGTAGACGCGACGTAGCGACAACGAAGGCTACCGACCCCCAGCCAAGGAGGCAACTCTTCAGAAACTCGATGAACTCCTGACTGCAGCTGCTGTGCTTCTGCGAGAAACCAGGATTCCAGGACGAACGCGCGTGGGAGTTGATGGCCCCACTGCACTAGGCGTCCGTCCTTGCGTGTGATGAAGGTGTCATCTCCCTCTCCGCCTGAAGGCTGAAGCCGTGAAAATTTCTGAACTCGTGAGACCTATTTGGTGCATCTCGAAGCCAACCTCGGATGTACTGGATGTATGTTTCCAGAGTGGCGACACGCCTGTCACAGCCCCAGCGTCTTAGACAGAAGGCTGTAGATCTTTAGCCTTGCTCATATAATATGGTCCCATCAACTCACGCTGGGTCAGGCGATTCCAGTACCGTGGCTTCTTGCTTTCTGCTTGCTATCTTTCCGCCTCGAGATGCGCTGCCAAGCCGAGTCGATCTTCTTCGTGCTGATGAGCGACTTCCTGGCACAAGAAGAGTTCGCCTCAAAGTTCCCTCATACTCGAGGTCTGCAGGACTCGGCAGCACGGTCTTGAAAAAGATGTCTTTAAAAAGATGCAAATCGAAGGCGAGCCAGGCGCACACGATGTCGTCGATGTTCTCTCCATCAAAAAAATCATGACCAGCCCCTGCTTTCAGATATCCACAGCACCTACTTGGGACCTGGTCACCTTAAAGGACTTGAAAGCACTTGAAGCTCGGTGATTCGCAGAACATGAAAACCCCCAGCGCTGCCCCCTGCATCCTTGCATCTCCCAGCCTGAGACTCGTCGCCCTGTCCTTCAAAAAACACCGACTACTCGTGGGGTGCGACGTGGGGTTCAGTGTGCGACAATGCTATCCAATGCCCTGGTCTCATCCGCTTCTGGAGGCCCCGACCGAGGAGTCTCGATCTTCACTTGAGCCGCGCCCATGTTCTTGCGCAAGCTGAGCCCCGCCAGGCCGGCGCCCTTCTGGGTTGTTGGCACAGCGACTAGGAGTTTTCATATGCATGACTTTGGGGGCAGCTTTACGGTCAAGGTAGGCCACTAGCTTCAACATGTATCGGCAGTGCAGGATGCAAGAGGGCCTTGCTTGGTGTTGCATTTGCCTTCGAAGGTGCGCCTTAAGGCCAGACTGCGACAGTCACACAGGCGCTGTACGTAGTTTTGCTGCCGAAGAGATGAACAGAGCAGAACAGTTCCGCTTCCTTGCGTAGACTGAAACACGCTACCCAGAAATTCCAGTCGTTCTCGCATCTGAGATCGGTGCGATTCTTGAAGTTCAGGGTGTTGTTTGGGTCTACCTCATGCAGCTCTCCTGCACCTGCAGCAAAAAGGGAGCCCGTGTCATCACATCAACGTCATGAGCAATCGATTCCGAAGCTTTTGGTACAATTGCCCACACTACCTGAACAGCAATCAAAGTTGCCTGGCGTTGAGCGCCCTCCGTGGCTGTCTGAGCTGACCTGCCTGTAGGCCATGACCTCACGTCACAGAGCTGATTTGGGACTAATGTTCAGGGTTTCGCGTTACAGTGGGCATCCACCGTGGAACAGAAGGACAATTGTTATCAACACAAACTCGCCGGCTGCCAAGCTCAGATCTGTTTACAACCCACTTTCAACTAGCCAGGTGGAGTCACGTGCAGTTCTCCTCCTGCTTCCAAATGGCAACCAGACTCTGAGGGCCGAGCCGGCTCAGTCACCCTAAAACCCACCCACCCCCCCGTGCCTCCATGCTTGGCCCCCTTGTTTGAGCCGAGGAGCAAAGCAACTCCTGAAACTGCCACTGCAAGCAAGCCTTCGGGCTTTCTCGGCGTTGCGAAGGTGCGATAGGTGAGCCGAGACAAGGGTCTGAGAGTCTGAGATGACCGAAGATACCGAAGAGATTTCAAGATGCTCCGAGGGGTGGCCTGCGAGCACAGCGATCACGTAGGCAGCCTGCCACGTTCTCGCAAGGCGCTTAGGTCCATTTAATTTCCCTGCTTCCAATCATCAGCAAGCCCAGCCTTCCTGGTTACACCTCCGATGTTCGATGCTGAAGCCCCCATGCTCATGCGCACAAAGGCGCGCGTCCGGCGATTCGCCCGCCTTCGTGGCTGTGGACATCTTCCGGCCGATGTTGCCCAGTGCACCGGGCATCTCATCGGGCGTCATCTGCAAGCAGCACTCGGCACTGGACAATCAAAAGGCGCACAAGGAACCTCGCAAGTTAACTTGATGCTCTGAATGTTCCAAAATTCCGCGTAGCAAATGTTGAGAACAAAATGAAGAAGCCACTTGACCAGCCTGCTCAATCAAACGAGCTTGCTCCTACCAGCATTGCAAGAGTGAACACAGTTGCAAGATGTGCAATTTCGACCCGCTGAACACGTGACAGGTCTAAGATCCTCTTGGACCACGGACTCGTAGAGTTCCACTTGAGCTCGGCTGGGTCGCCGAGCTGAAAGGACATCCCTGGCTGCAGTGCAGCAGAGCACATCTGTCTAATCTCATACATCTCCAGGCACCACGATCAGCGTCTGACCATTCCGCCAGCAACAGCAACATGCTGCTCTTACTATAGCTACTGCTACTAAAGCTACAGCTACATCAAGCTGGCACTGCGCCTAAAGATTGCAGAGCTCTTCTCATCATCGAGCTTCTCTGCTCCCTGCAGGACCTGTGGAGCAGTGCTTTGGCAGGATGGAGCGTTGCGAGAAATCGGTTCGGTAGGATGAGGGGGAGCCCGGCCTCGGCGACTGTCTTGTTGTCTACATGTTCATAGCAGGCGAAGACCTGAGTGAAAATTGTGGGGAACGGCATTTGAGTGCCAACGTCTGATCAGTGCTGGTGGGGTAACTTGGCCTGTCAGATTCAAAGTTTGTGCAGACCAAGGCATCAGTGTGCTCTAGTCGAGGCGCCGACTGTCAAAGAGAAAAGTTGATTGGCAGCTTCTTCTTCGTTGAGCTCCTTCATCCTTCAACGATTTAAACTTGAAGCTTACTCACAACATCAGGTGTTGCAACTGCGCCACCACATTGCAGGCAAGCAAACATGTGCAAAAGAACGATGGGGCTCTGTGCAGGCACCCTGGCGCGCTCTGCGCCATGAGCGAGGAGATGGTCGCCTCCACCTGCAACGAATTTCTGGGTTTAGGGAATTTAGGGGTTCAGGCTTTTATTTCCTGGAGCCGCCTCCTCCGAGCGCGTCTCCAATCGATGACGAGTTGCGCGAATGCACCTCGCAGGTATCCCACCACGGCAACTTGAGAGGGCCCCTTCGACGAAGGCGAGGGGCACGCGGATGCAGCACAACATGGAAGCACGCGGCCATGTTTCGCGTGGCTCCGGCGGCTAATCACAAATTGCATGCAGTGCACCTTACCCCGGGGGGGAGGAAGGTCAAAGGAGATACCCTCAGACGGTCAGGAAAGGGGTTGGGGGACATCTGTTCAGCCAAATGGTGCGACAGCCCATTTCAGACCCCTCGCTTCAGATTTGTTGGGATGGCCAACTGGTGGGTCTGGATTTGTGACGCCAGCAGCAATGAGGGAGGGAAAGGGAGGGGAAGGGAGGGGAAGGGAGGGGAAGGGAGGGGAAGGGAGGGGAAGGGAGGGGAAGGGAGGGGAAGGAATGGATCTACCAGCAAGTTGTGAACAAGAACTAAGAACTGCAGGCATGGGCCAACTCAGCACGTTCCTATTGCGCTTTCGGGCCGAGTGCGCCCTTTGAGAACTATAGATCCAAACAGAAGAATCATGAGAACAATAGGAGAACCAGGGCCTAACCGGGGCCCAAGCGCACTCATCCGCTTGCGACGGGACTTCTTGGAAAGCGGCTTGTCCACCTGAGTCCGTTGCAAGATGTCGGAACCCGGTTGTAAGCACAACTGTGACTTTCAGACGTGGGGATCTAGCATGTGAGGTTTTCCTGGTTGGGAATTAGGTCCGGGCTCCTGGGACCTAGGGCACGACACCAAGGTACTTTTTTGCTCGACCAATTGGGTCAGGCTTGGCGATGTTTCGGGTCACGATGCTTAAAGTTGGTGTGGGCAGCATAGCCTACCGGAAACCCACTATACAAGGCGACAGGCCCAGATCAATTCATGTGAAGGCGGTCGACGCGCAGCGTTTACAATTCTGGGCCCATCTCGTCTTCGTATATTTACTTCTAAGCAGCTCGGAGTGGCAAACACGTGATTCGCACGTGGCTCAATGACTCAGGCACCGTTCATGACTTGTGGACTGTGGTCCTATCCCGTGGTCTGCTGAAGCTGCTTCAAGGTTCGCAGCCCCGCAGGCCTTGGAGATGTCCCCCTGGGAGGCCATCTGTCCAGCGTATTGGAGGATCACGGAACAAGATCTCTGAAAAATCTCTGACATCTTGTGCAACACGGCAAACAAGAATTCTCACAGCGCAGCATAGACGTCAAGGCATTTGCATGGGAGCATCGGCTGCAGTCCTGGCCTGCTCCCCTTGCAATATAGTACAGAATGGTACAGTCACGTTTGCTTGTCCTTTATGTACAGATGCGCAAAGTCCGCCAGCACGGCGGCCTACGACGTGGGAGCTGCGAGAAGAGGGAATGGTCCAGTACCCAGTATGTTACACGCCCCCGACCAGCTCGGACCACTGCTGGGAGCCTCACCTGATCTGGATCGTGCAGGCGGAGCTCATATGAGCTCATGCATGAATTTGCAGGCGCTGCATTGCTCTTCATCTTGTCCTAGCGGAGCTGGCCTTCGATGCCATGGATCACAAGGACGGGTGACGAGGGCCAGGCTGGAGCGGCATTTCGTCAGTTCTTCGATGTTCTTCGGGAGCCGTCTGGTCTTGACATGCCTTGACATGCCCTGACAGCTTCAGTCTCCGACGCCGCGCTCTTTCTTGCGGCGCTCCTCTCTCAATGCTTGCAGCGCACTGGGCTCACGTGGTACGGAAACCGGGAGGGTGGCATGCAAACTAGTCCCCGGACCGGCATCAGGAAGCGCAGCGCCAACTGGGAGGTCATGTGATAAATAGTCTTCCGTGGTTCTGGGCTTGCGCCGTTGGTTCCGCAAGTCTCGCAGAGCAACGCCACTGTTCAGGCTGCCGGCGCTCCCCCCGCTCCCTGGACGGCCAGCGCTTATCGCACTTACCCCGCTGATCTGGGATTGTCCGGAGGCGGGGCGATCTTGAAGCAGGGAGCCAGCAGCAGCTCGCAAGGTCGGTGATCCAAACTTTGCCCTGTCCTTTGCAGAGACACCAGCACTTCCAGCTACGGGCTGCCGACCCCGTGCGCTGTCCTTGCCTTCAGGCTTCTCCTGACTCGGCGATGGCTGCGATCGGAGCCTGGACAAGAATGCATCGAAATCCTCTGGCGTGGCTGCAGCAAAGGCTGCAAAGTCGTCCTTGGCAATGGGACGTTGGGTGCCAAGACCATCCAAAGAAGTTGTGCCCATAGTGCTTGCGGCTAGGTCAGCCAAGCCCAAGCCCTGCAGAAAGTCGAGGCTATCCGGTTGGCCTGAGCCTGACATCAGGAGATCGGGTGACATCTCTGGCATCTCTTCCATCGGATACCCACCAGGATGGCCAGCGTCCAGATCAGGCTCCTTGTGCCGAGCTCTGCGAGGGGGCCGGCCAGGCTTAGAGATGACCAGACCCTTGAGACTCTTGTCACGACTGTCACCCTTGTCACTCCCCTTGTCGCTCCCCTTGGAGTCTTTGAGGTCGGCCTGGTCGGCCCCAAATTGCCTCAAGACCCCCTCCCAGGACTCTGAGGGAGCCTCGTCGCCTTCACGTGCACTGAAGGGTGCATCGGATGGGCCCGCGCCTGCGAAGCTGGAGCTGGTGTTGGCCTGTGTCACCTCTGCACGCACCTCCCTGATCGCATTGACCGCACCCTGCAACAAACTCAAGGGATCGCTTGGATCTTCGCCTTCACTGAGTTTGCTGTCTTGCGGGGGAAAGTAGTCTGCAAATTCTGCAAAGCCTCCAGATCCAGTCAGAGCATCATGAGCATCATGCGGCTCTGAAGCCCTCGGGCTGTCTTCGGCAACCGTGGGCCCCGCTGGCTCCGCTGGCTCGGTTGTGGGCTGCATGGTGAGATGAGCGCTGATGGCGAGGTTCTTGCTGAGTGAGGCACTGGCTTTCAGCCTCTCTTCCTCTCGCTCGGCCCCGATCCAAGTTGCACCCAAAGTGTTCGCTTGCACAAACTTTGAATCCCCAACGAGAGTGCCCTCCAGCATCTGTGTAGCCTCGTTGCCTAGGTTACCAATGCCGCTAACGGCAGTGTTCCCGAGCCGCTCATCCAGCTGAGCTGTGTTTTCCAAGGGCTTGCCCCAACTGTCTTCGAATAGGGAAGCCTCGCCCGCACAGGGTTCAGGGGCCTCTGCACTGATGTGAGGAAAATCCAGGTTCGCCGCTTCGGCTTCGGCTGGCTGCAGCCAGGGCACAGGCGCCACTGGCCACGCGTGTGGATCGGAAGGGATTGCAGATGTCATCCTTGTGTGGGGATCCTGCCTCAGCTGGCTCAGCTCGTCGTCGGTAGGATATCCAGGCTCCCAGCGTGATGCATCAGATTCTCCACTTGGGCCATCAGCACTTGAATCAACAGCCTCGTACTTCGAGTAAAACCCTCCCCATAGCTCGCCAGCAGGTCCGCCCATGCCTGACCTACCCTCCACCGGTGTTGAAGAAACTGAAGGAAGCATACTGTGCAGAGGAGCCTGGCCGGGTGCGTTGCTGCTCTGCAGGAGCATCTGTCTTTGCAGTTTGCGCTGCAGCTTCTTCACATCCTTCTCCTTCTCTTCCAGCTGCCTTGCTTTCATGTCCAGGAGGTCTTGCCGGGCACACTCCTTCTCCTGGCGCAATCGGTCAGCCTCCTCCTGAAGACGAGCAAGCGCATCCTGTTGGTGGCGATACAACTCCTGCTGCTGGTGCATCAAGCCCTGCAGCATGTCGTTCACAGGAGGAGCTCCGGCAGCTCCAGCAGTTCCAGCGGGTCCTGGAGCTGCGCGAAAGCTGGCCGGCATTGCCCCAACTGCGCCTCCCATTTCCCAAGGTAGGGGTGAAGAGCTCGGAGATGTGTTGAACGCGCTGTGGTGTGCATGCACCGGCGCCGGCTGCGCCGGCTGGGCCTGTGGCAAGCCGAAGAGGTCCGAACGCGTGCCACGGTCGCTGGCAAAGCCCTGGTCCTCCGTGCCTCGCATGGATCTCCGCGCCATGGGCTTCCGTGGTGGCAACGGCCCGGGCGGCTCGTCTTCCTCCTCTTGTCCCTGCCTTGCCACGGCTGCACGTTCGTTTTCCTCAACGAGGGCACGCTTCTTCGCCTCATCCTCTTGCCTGCGGGCCTCCAACCTCGCTTCCTCTGCCGCCTGCTCCCGGCGGATTCTCTCATTGTCTCGCTCCTCCTCCTGCTTTCTGCGCGCCTCCTCCTCCTTCTTCTTGCGCTCCTTCTCTGCCACCTGCTCGGCCAGCATGCGCTTCATCTCCTGAACAAACCGTTTGGACGAGAAGAAGATTTGAAGAAACAACAAAAACTCACAAGCGTGTGCCAGTGTGGCCTCATAGAGAATCGACTACTGTGGAAATGAGTCCCTTGTTGGGCCTCCTGCTTCTTTCGGCGCTGGTCCTGTCCGGCATCTGGTTCCCCCAGACGTCCCAAGGGTCCTGCCCAGAGCAGCGTGAGTTTACGTGTGTTCATCATCATCATCACCATCATCAACAACAACAACATGTAGCAAAATGATCATCACCATCATCATCATGAGATGCTGAGCGAAGCTGAGAGCAGGAACAATGCCTACAATTCATACACGTCATGTGAACAGCACTGACAGCCCTGACAGCACCTATTGCTCGAACAATGCCAATACAATAGATGCATTGGCTTAAACACTCTCACTTGCCACGCCATAATTACAACCCACACGCATTTGCACTTGTGGATCTGAAGAGTGCAATGACCCAAGGAACGTCTCGGAGAGCTGGGCAACACAAGGAGTTTCGATGCTCGCAGAGTGCTGTGTGCAGAGATGTTCGAGTCCGGCCTGGCCTTGTGCTGCGGCTGATGGGGTGCCAGGTCCGGGCTGTGCCAAGTGAGGTGAAAAGCCCTGGCCAAGGCCTTGCTGGCCTTGCTGAAAGCCCTGTTGAAGGCCTTGCTGGTACATCGGAGCCATGCCTGGGCCTATGGAACCGAGACCACCCATGCCAGGCATTCCACCCTGCGGGGCAAGGCCTGGCATGTTCGGATGCCCGTTTGGCTGGTACTGCAGACTCGGTTGCATGTTTGCTTGCTGCATGCCTGGTTGCATGCCTGGCTGCATGCCAGGCTGCATCCCCGGCTGCATGCCAGGCTGCATGCCAGGCTGCATGCCAGGCATCGGATTCATTCCCAGCTGCTGGTAGTCCATGTACCCATTGTACGCATCCACAGGCTGGAGGCCTTGCATCTGCGCTGCCTGTCCGGCTCCTGGAACTTCCGATGTCCGTCGCCTTGCCTGAGCTTCGCGCTTCTGCCGCTCCTTTTCTGCGATCTGCTCCTCCAGGGCACGCTTCATCTCCTGATGCCTTGGTGGAGAGCAGCTGAAGTCCCTCATTCCCGGATCTCTTCACAACATTTCACAACACTCAGAGAAACCAACCACATGAGACGTCAAGGCCAAATGCCTCGCAATGCACTCTCGTGTAGCATGCAAAATCACAGCTTCATTAAATTGAACAACACCTCATTAACATCCTCTTGTGATCTCTTGTGCAGTTTCACGACGATCTCGAGATGCTTCTGTGGGGCCCCTTTATTTAGCCATCTAGCTATTGGAGACCTCCCATTCCCAAGGACCCTCCTAGTGGCGTGAGTGCAGCGTAAGTGAATTGAGCATTGCGGCAACAACGTGTTCTTGTTTGCCGTTGGACTGTAGGACACGTTAGGACACCCTATCAGATAGGGCGGTGCCCCACCAGGCATATCAAAAACAAGCAAATTGCGTTCTGAGGGGCTTCTTGCGCCTTTCCAGCTGCACGGCATCTCCAGCCGCACCGAGCCCATCGACGCCAGCCGAAGGCCCCGGGGCCCCTTGACCTGGACCTTGAGGACCGATGCCAGGACCCGGCTGGCCTTGCGGGCTGTGGCCATGCGGGCCGTGGCCATGTGGGCCGTGCATGGCCATGCCAGGTGCATGCGGCACCCCCTGCATGCCCTGCATCCCCTGCATCGCCTGCATCCCCTGCATCGCCGGCATCCCCGGCATCCCCGGCATCCCCGGCATCCCTGGCATCCCCGGCATCCCCGGCATCCCCTGCATGCCTGACGGCGTGCCCTGCGTGGGGTGTATAAAGGGATGACCGTTGTGTCCCATGCCGTAGTTTTCTGGTAAATTGCCGGGCATGGGCTTCTCCGCGTAAGCAAGGCGCTCTTTCTCAGCCATCTGCTCTTCCAAAGCGCGCCTCATCTCCTCCTGCTTCCTGCGCCGGTCCAGGTGAGCTGCTTCTGGGGCGATCCCAAAGCCGCCGAGGCCCGAAGGAGAGATGCCTGCCGAAGGTGAGGTAGGAGCTGGCGCAGCCTGAGCCGCGTGAATGTGCACGGGCGATCCCTGCTGTTGCTGTGGCATCACACGCTCCTTCTGCGCGATCTGCTCCTCCAAGACTCGCCTCATCTCCTCCTGCCTCCTGCGACGCTCCATCTGCGCTGCGTCTCCTGCAGCACCCAGGCCTTCGAGGCCGGAGACTTGGGGCATTGAGGGCATTGAGGGCGCGCAGGGCATGGACGGCATGGACGGCGCCGAGGGTGAGGGCGCTCCCAGAGCTTGGCTCCCATGCTCAGGTGCACGTCCGGGCGAGGCCCGTCCCGGTGATGCCAGGGCAGCCGGAAGGACGGTCGCGCCAAACTGCGGCTGCGGCTGCGGCTGCATCTGCGGCTGCATCTGCGGCTGTAATTGCGGCTGTGGCTCCACTTGTGGAGGGCCTTGTTGCGGCGCCTCTCCGCAAGGCTGTGCGGCTTGAGGCCTTCCAACAAGAGCACAGCTTTTTGCAACGCTTTGCAACGCATGCTCTTCACTTCGGCATCGGCACCTAGAGGGAAGCCCAAACAGCCGAGCTTCCGCTGGGCCACCTGTCACAGACAGAATGCAAGAGGTTTTAACTGTTTTAACTAACATGGCGAAACGTTGGAGCTCAGTTCATGTTGAAAACAGCTGCCTCCGGCGGCCCCGGCACTGGGACCAAAGAGGCTTTTCTTGGCCCCTTTAGCATCATCAAAGGCGGCTGGCTTGGGAATCTTATTGCCATCTTCCTCCCAGTCTGCCGTGAGGTGTGACGCAGAGTACAGCAAGGCACGCCAAACAAAGTTCGTGGAATCCAAGAAGTCCTGTGCCGCCTGCGCCAGCTTGTCTTTGGCTGCCTGTGCGGCTTGAGCCTCCGCCTTGGGGCTCCCACTGCCAGGCAAGCTAACTGCAACTGCCGTGACTCCTAAGTTGTGTGAGCGCGCCTGAAGCATCTGCTTGAGCTCTGGGTTCTTGGCCTGGGCCCTCTCGAGCTCGACCTGACTCGTGTTTTCCTTTGATGTACTTCGAATAAGGTCCGGGAGCATGGAAACAAACTGACGCAAGTAGTGAACAGAGTGAGGTATGCGACTGAGTGCGATTGTTTAGAAGGTCTTCTCATGAAGCCCTGAGTCTTTGAAAAGGTCCCCCAGATCGAGAGCTTCTCTGGCCAACAGCTACCGCCGCCATGGCCCCGACTCGGAGCTGCACTGCCTGCCTCAGCCTTGGTCAAATCTTCCAGAACTGGGATATAGGCCAGGAATGCTTGGTCATGTCACTGAGCTACTGGCAGGTCGCCGCGCTCTTCTGAACCCTCTTCCATGAGGTTTGCGGCAGCTTCCATCTGTGCCACCTGCCAGGACCGGGCTTCATATGCCGTTCTGGCCGAACTCTCTTTTCGTCTTCTTCTCAGCCGGGTAAAGGAGAGTTCGGGATCGGACGTAGACGCTGCAGGTCCAGGTTCGAGGTCAGGTTGGGGTGACTGTACGGACCTCCACGACATCCAACACCTCAACCCATAACCCACAGGCCAGCTGGGCACTATCCTGAATGGGGAGTACAGAAGCGTGAGGTAAGAGGGGTAGGAAACATGGCATGGCCTAGACGCCCCAACCGACACTCCACAGTACGCCACTGGTGCATCACTGTGTGACACTCTCATTTCATCATTCTGTCTTGTGTATCAATCTTTCACGATTCGCCCCTTCTGCACCGTGAAGAGGCCGTGACCCATCTTCGTCTTCTCACCGGGCATGAAGGAAAAAGGGAAACCCCGGCCCCCAACCCTACGCGCACGCAGCATAGCAAGTGCAGCCCCCGAGGTTGGGTCGAACCGAAGTGAACTCTAGACTCTAGACCTCTTTTCTTCTACACAGCTGATGGACCTCGCTCTCTCTCTCGCTCTGCTCGATGCACCTCACGCTCCTTGTCTTTGAAGCGCTCCAGGACCCTGCCAGGAATCTTTGAAAGCCCAGGGTCATTCAAGGCCTTCCATGTCCAACCCCTGCCCAAACGGCGCAGAATCCCAGTCCTCTGCTGCAAACGCACTTCCCGCTGGGAATTCCATTCCTGGCAATGAAAAAACGTCATCCGAGCATGGCCGAGCAAGAGCGGCGTCCACGTCGAAAGGCCAAGACAGGCAAAGCCCATGCACAGGTGCCATCTCTGGGAGCACTCCCCTGTAACCTTCCTCGAACACCCTGCACCCTACCCCTGGCCCCTCAGACACCCCTACTGTAGGATGAAACCGTGGGGCCCCCCTGACCACCCTAAACCTCCTGAAGCCCTCCCACCTCCTGATCTCATGACGTGTGTGCGCTGCACCAAGTCTGCGATGCGCACGCTACTCTACACCCGGCATTGGCCTGCTGAGGTGGGGCGCGCAAGCGTTTACAATTAACTATAGCCGCGTCTTGCTCGTCAGTATTCTGTCTTCGTGAGTCTCCGCTTGCTTCGGTGTGCGCCGAGGTCACGTGATTACTTCTATCCGGCGATTTCGGCGCCTGTTGGACAGCCTCCTCACTGACGGCGGCGGCGGCCGCCGCCTCCTGGGCATTGGCTTCCATTCAGATGTCTGAGGCTTTCGGGCCATCCTTTGAAGATCTTTGAGGTTCCAAAAAATCCTCAGGAGCCGTCACACAAGTACGGCGCTTGAATCCTCGCTGAGATCCCCTGAGCCATTGACTCGATGGCGCTCTGCCCGTGAGCGGGGCTGCATGACTACCTGCCAGAATCTTGGAGGATTGGAGGCCTGGAGGTTTGGAACACGAACTGACAGAGTAACCTGCGACTGCGGTTGCTTGGTCATGTCGTGCACACCCGAAGACAGAGCGACCGAAACCGTTGTTGCCAGAGGCTCTCGGCCAGAGTAGCAGGTTCCCTGCATGAGCTTCACTTGTCGAATTGATTGTAGATTATGTTGAGCACAGGGTGCATCGATGTGGCTAGTGGAAGCTCTGCGCACTGCTTCGGGCACCCCTACAAGAGCCAGCAAAGAACCAAACGCTTGACCCACCTTGGCATCACTGAAGAGCTCAGACAGCCAGGGGTCATTCAAAGGGTCGGATTAATGCTTGGTTCAGTTTGCAACAACTCAAAGTGATCACCGTGTTCACAGCTGTTAGGCTCTCTTCTCGTTGCGTCTCTACTTGTTGCGGCCTTTCTTGACGTGAGGTGATATGCCTGGTATGCTCACTATGTCACCACACTGTGGGCTGTGCGGCTGCGGGAAAGGAAGCGGATGATGGACATCACCACACATCACTACAGATGTCAGCATGTCAAAACCAAGGCATACCGTAGCAGGCTCCGTAGCAGGCTCGAGATGCCTGGCCGCCAATGCCGATGAGGTCACTGACGTCCTCATTCTCGAAGCCCAGTGGAGCTGCTGCCTTGACTGCAGAGCGTCTACACTACCAAGAGTCTAATAAGAGTCTACTACAGGAAGCGAAAAAAAGCTGAAATATCAGGGTGTGGGAAAAGGTGCAAAAGCCCTCTAAGCTCCTTGCCAGAACACAAAAGAAGCTGGTAAACAGCCAGAGCTCGCACCGCATCAAGCAGGGGACGAGCGACGGGAAAGAGGTTCCGTGGGGTGTCTGGGGTCGTCTTGTAGGCTGCCTCCGCCGACTTCAGCTAGTCGAGGCTATGCTTAAGCTTGCTGAAGAGAGGCTGTTCATGAACTCGCACTCTTTGATGGTGTAGGATGAGCCAATGGCTAAGGTGGCACGGCAGTGAAACATGGCACAATCGGGTCCGTATGAGGACGGCGTGTGTTCTGCTCATCTCCCATGCGATCAAGATGCCTATCCTGTTTTGTTTTCAAGAGTCAAGAGCTCTCCGCAAGCTGTCTCCCCGTCATCCTCATGCACCTGAACATGAGCGAGGGTTAGGATGCTCTACCATCTTTAGCTACCTGCACATCACAGAGAGCTCCCCGGGCCTCCACAGAGCAGAAACTGCCCGTGCCCGATCCGAAGGGGCGCAGCTTCAGCCGCTTCGCTTCTTTTTGGCGGACCTGTCAGAGATGCCAGTGAAAAATCTATCCCAGGACTCTCCGTAGGTGTGGAGTGAAAGGAGGCCTGATCCATGCGGCGCTGCTTCGCTGCCGCGTCCATGGGCCATTCACCAGCTCCTGCACCAGAAAACATCTCAACACGACTCCTCTGCATGTGGTGCCCGGGCGCCTGCTGTGCGCTTGTTCTCCGAGATGTAGGCAAACTGCCGCACCTGGCCCATTGGCCCATTGGCCCATTGGCCGATTGGCACCAAAGCATGTGCCAATGTACTCGGACATGTTGCGGGCAGATGTGGGCAACACACATGAGTGGCTGAGACCGGGGCGAAGAAGAACAGGAATGGATCATCCATAAAGGAATCCTCCAGCAAAACACAGCCCATGTACTGTCATCGCCTATTTCATATTTCAGTCAACCCAGAGTCACGGGGCTTAGCAAGCCGCTACTGGTTTCAAGCTGATTAAAGACAACTGAGCGCATGACAAATCCGGGAGACTCCTCAGTCGGAATTGCAAGGCTCTTCATGCTACAACTGGCATTTACTTCGCCGCACATACCGGCTACACGTAAAATGAAAGAAATGTTGGGCCAGGTCGGGGGTCCAATACGGCTGGCGGACACGGAGCTGAGCTTCAAGGTTCACGCCAAGCTGTGGACAAGTCATTTGTGAGTAGCAGTCCAGGCTTGCATCGCTCTAGGTCTCTGGGAAACACAGGATGCACAGCATCACTCAACTCCCTCACCTGCAAACCCTAACTCCCTAACCTAAAATCCTTTTTGCATCGATGCAGGCGGCTCTACCCTGCGACCTTTAAAACTCCACGAGGACCGCTGGGGCGCCCCGCCGGGCCTTCTGCGGCTTCCCCAGTTCGGGGGAGCACTTCTTTGGCCAGAGCGGCCAGGGCCTGCATCATCAGCTGATCATGAGTATCATGAGTATCATGAGTCTCGGTGCCGGCTTTAGTGGGTTTTTTGGGGCGTTGGGGCTCAAGGCTTAACTTGGTTTCACATGGCGATCCTCATGTCTTGTTTTGTTGCTTTGAGTTGCTTTAGGGTTTGTGTCGCCCCTGGCTTGTCTTGAGCGTGAGGCCTTGAGACGGTGTGAGCTGTCTCTGGTGTGTCTTTGCATGCGAGGCACAGTTTGCCGCTAATCCCCCTCGAAGCATTGATGCAAATATGAGCTTGAAGAACCTTAAACCCCCGGACTCACCCGTCACCCCCCACAACACAGAGTACGATTTTGTGGTTTGAGATGACTGTTGTTGTTGACAATATGTAGGTTCGCCCCCTACGCGCAATTCAGTTGCGACATCTTGAGTCCCAGTGGCCTCCACGGTGGAAACGCAGCCTGCGCCAGGCAAGGCGTGTAGCAGAAGTCTCTCACGGATCGATTGCGTGTTGGCGCAATGCATTCACCATTGTCCCTTGCCTGTGCCCTCCGAGTGGTAGCGCCAGAATCGAGAAGGCGGAGGATGTCCCAGGCGAATCTCGCAAAGTTTCGGGAAATACAGGGATCCTAGATTAGAACAACCCCCACTTGGTCATACTTGCATGCACATTGGCCCCAGGCAGATCGGAGCTTGGCCAGTCGGGGGTGCTTGCGCAAGACCTGACCCCGAGTCTGGGCGATGGTCACTTGCGACTGCCTTGTGCACGTGGAGCCCATTTGTCACCACATCCAGGATGAATGCGGCCGCGTCGCCTGTGCCCTCTTCCACGGCGAGTCGATCACAACCTCGTGCAAAAACAGCTCAAAACACAGGTCAACAGTCCGAGGTTATGCAAGGCATTTCTTGTTGTGCAGAGCTTGGACAACTTGGGCAGAGACGAGCGTGAGCTGATCAAGTGGTCCGACATCCGACTCGGTGGCCACCTGCAAGATCTGCAAGGCACAGTAATCAGCTCCGAAAACTCAGTAAGTAGGAACACTTCCATTCACCAGGAACCCCAAAGCGGCCACCCGCCTCTTCGAAGGTTGCGCTGCTATCGTCCTCATAGCGGCAGAAAACAAATGAAAGCAACGTAATTAGGTTGGATGTAGACCTTCGGAAGCACCTTTACCCTTCAGTCAGATGCTGCCTTAAAGCCCTGAAGGTTTTAGACATCGCGGCCGAGTTTCAATCATTTGAATCGCTGGCCCAGGGTTTAGGGGGGCCGCGTGTCCGACTGAACGTGGGGCAAGGTGCCCGAGTCATCCCAATTCCGCGCTCGGCGTAGCTGGGGCGCCCCACTGGGAAGAGCACGAGCGTGATGTGTGGATCGTACCTCATGCAGCTCGGTTCCCCCCTGGCCGTCATTGAAAGCCCTTCTCAGAACTGGTTACTTCGGGGTGCTTTCGAAGCTATGAGTCCCGGTCTCTGGGATCTCACGGATGACAGCATTGGCATCGGAGCTGATTTCTCCTGTGCAACCCATGCAACCCTTGAACCCTGCTTTCATATGACTCATATGACGACCTAACCATCCGGCAGTCAAGAACTCAAGATTTGTCTGGTCCTCGTATGTCCTCGGACTCCGCCTGGCAAGCTTCGCTGCAAGTACACATGTCTAGTTGAGATGCTATGACGTGCTTTCCACTGGTAGCGATCATTGGCTAAAGTATGCTCTGAAGTATGCTCTGGTGTCAGCGCGACCGTCCCTGTAGACACCCATGCGCCTTCGTGGCGGTGCCCCCGGCAGGTCGACTCAAAGTACGGTTGGTGTTGGCCTCTGTTGTGAAGAGATCGATGAGGCGAACCTGCACGTGATACATCCCACGAACAATGCGACATTCCATCTGCGCACTACGCCCTCCCACCAACAGCACCTACGCGACGTACTGTCCCGCGGGTGGGACGGAAAACTCCCCCAACCCCACCTGTTCTGGCGCCAGGACTTTGGCGTGAATGCTGGTAGCCTCTCACGAAGGCAAAATGAGCAGTGAAAGCTTTGAGACGACAGTTCTTGGCTCATCTCGTTTACGGCCCTCCAGCATCCTGCCTTCTTCGGCGCATCATCGAAGATGATGTCACAATGGGCAAAGGGTAGCCTGGCCAGATCTCGCAGAGACGCTTCTCACTGCAGGTTGAAAGCACTTCTCTCGTGCGCCGTAAGCCAGCAGGACCTTGCCCGAGGAACCGTTACGCCTTCTGGAACCCCGAGAGGTGTGCCTCACCGCCCAAGGCTTGGTACAATGCTCTGGCAAGGATGAAGTGTCCACCAGGCCCTCGATATGCATGCTACAACCCCTCCACTGGGCTTCCTGCAACAGTAAGGACAATAGAACATCGCTTTGGCCCCGCAGCTGCCACACACCTGCTCTAGGAAGAGGCTTCTTTTTCAGGAGGCAGAACAGAACAGTCCACGAACAGCTTCATCGGAAATAGCATTCAAAATCAAGATGCATGAACCACTCAGCAGTGCTTGTTGTGACCTGCGACTGCCTCCAGCAACCGTAAAATGTCAACAGAAAGCACGAGCACACTGGTCTCGACCCAAGTCTACACAAAGCAAGCCTGACCTCGAGATACTTGTCAACTGTACCCAACGACGTTGCATGGCGACCATCCAGATCCTATGCCTGACTCGCTCTGACTCTCGGCTTTGCCTCCCTCCGCCATTTGGCAAGCTCGGCAACGAGCGCCTCTGGCACCTCCAAGGACTCGAGGGCACTGTTTCCACTTGGGGGCACTGGAGGCCTCCCCAATTCTTACGTGCTCCAATATGCACTTAGGGGCCCTCTGCTTAGAAGCCTCCGGAGAAACTGAAAAAAAACCATCAAAAGCATTAAAACAAAAAGCGCTCCTCGGGGCGCCCCGGCTCTGCCGCCATGGACGTTTCGGTTCGGCTCTGAGAGTTTATCTAAATGATCTCACACGCTGTTTCTCCGGGTGGGTTCGGAACTTCTGAACTTCCTTATCCTTGGCTCCCCTCTCGACGAGACAGTTGGTTCCGATGCTGACTTGGGCCTGCCAGGAGGAGGCGGAGCAGGTTTCATGCAGATCTCAGGGAAGACAGCATCCGGGTCAATCAGCAGGCTTGGATGGAGCTTTGACTCTCGGAGATCGCAGGAGCTGTGAGCAAGTTTCTGCTTCCACTGCAAACAGCTTGGGAATTCTTGCTTATGCGCCTTGCGCTACCCTGAGCTGCAACCTTGCCCATGTGTCGTTCACAACATGAAGGCAGCATGAAGGCAACATGACGACAAGATAGGGATGTTCATGGAAAACTCTCCAACCGCTCACAGCCGCCCACGCCAAGTTGAGCACCTAGGCAAAAAAAACTAACTAGGAAACAACTGGCAAGGGATTCAGAAGTGACTGCATCATGCAGCATCGCCAACAATGAGCCAGGAAACAGGATGATTCGTAATTTCAAGGACCCATGTGGGGGAATCGTGAGCGCTCCAAAAACATGCCCACTGGGACTTTGCTCATCACTGCTACCTGCCAATTGACACAGTGCCGTGCCATGTCCGAGCAGGGCTCTAGGCCCACTGCCCTCTCATTCAGAGGCCTCCTGTCGCACTGAAGCACTCAGGGTTTGATAGCATGCTACAGTACCAGCACAGGTACCCTTCTGCGCCCCTGTCAAATCATCTGTCGTCATGCTCGCTGGCAGCTTCTCAGAATGAGAGCTCGTACAATTCGGTTCTTGAGACACACAATCCATTCGGACTTTGTACATGTCCTAAAACATGCCACGCTGACACTCCAATGACTCCAATGTCACACACATACACGCAGACATCACGCTGAACTTCCTCCTCACCCTCGTCCCCTTCCTGGCTGAGGCTTCCTTCAGGGACCACCTGCAGTTGTAAGATTTCATTAAGGCTCAGGAGGGCACTGGAAGTGACGTGCGCAACGGGCCCCGGCCTTGACTTCAATGACGGCAATAACTTCTGGGGTGAGCTCAATGGTGCCACGGTACTCGCCGACTTTCGTGATCTGCGGGAGCTGAGTGGTGAGAACCAGAGTCGTGGGAACCAAAGCTCAAGATCTGCCGATCCCTGTTCAAGTTCGGCTGCACCAGGCTGCTGTAAAAGACATGCAGTTCGTGTCGCCTTGGGGATGTCCACGGAGACTTGGCGCACAGGCACGGCTGTGGACTTCACTACCTCCTGTGGTTGAGACGGCGCCAGGATGTGGGAAGACAACTATCGCGCAAACCGAGCACAAGTTGTGCAATGACTCTCTCAAATACTCTGACAACACCGTTGCAACCTGGCTCTCCAGCCCGAAACTGCAAACATCGACCGAGAGCAGTCATCACAGATGGCCGGCGTCCTCAGCAACATTGATCTGCGAGAGGGATCCGTAAATGTTCTCTTTGTCCTCGCGAACCTTCTTCTCAAACACGAACCTGCGAAGTTCCGAAAGTGGGGAACTTGTTGGCGAAACACAGGCTGCAGAGCTCAGAGGCTCACGGGCCATGGCCCTCGATGGCTTCCTTCCTCTTCAGAGCTTCTTCTAACCTGAAGTCCGTTGCAACGATCAGCTCGCAGATATCAACTAAGTAGCCGAAGCCCCTAAACACCCTTAAAGAGATCTTCTCAGGCGGTCTGTAGGCGATCTGTAGGCTGCTTTTGGGGCTCCCGGCTCCTGGGCCGCCTCGCGGCTCTTCTGCTCCTTCTCTTGCCTGAGCCTTGGAGAGGGGTGCCATCGACGCACCAGTCAAGAATTACATTGTGGAGATAGGATGAATTTGGGGAACATTTGGAGCCTCACGAAAGTCAGACTTTATCTCGTGCATCCTTCTCGGGATACAGACTTCAACAAAGCCGCCTTTGGCGGCGAGCTAACGGTGAAAGGTCAAACATCGACAAAATCGACTCTACGTAAGGTATCCCACTTCCTTTGGTTCCGCCCCATGCTCACTTTCAGAGTCAGAACTCAAGCCGTAGGCCCCGGGCTGTCGCAGGATGTTGGCGTCCTGCCTCTTGGCTACCCCCTGTGGGAAGAGCATGTTGCGGTAATAGCCCTTCTTCACCTGACTGCGCGAAAAATCTACATGTCAAGAATTCCTTCCGGCGCCCCCCAGACTCATGAGACAGGTCGGTGTCTCACACAGTATCATCATCACGGAATCATCACGGCATCAGATCCTTGCAGAGCCGAAGCTAAGACTCTGGCTTTCACGACGTCGCCCTTCTTGCCAAGCTTGGGATGATCCTGAGGGCAATGACAGCTTTGCAACACTGACTCGGACTCGTGCTCCAGCCACTTTATGGAGGGCGTGCCTGCAAAAGCACGACGGTGGGCTTCCACCTCCTCTGCCTCATCTTCTTGGGCCTTCCCCACCTGTTTTTGGGCACCTCCGTCTCGCCATGAGCGAGCGTCTCGCCAGGGAGCGAGAAAGAAATTCCGCCTGAGGTGCGGGAGATTTACTTTTATCATGTTCTGTCATGTTCTGCCAGCTTTGAGGCTTTGAGGCTGTTCGGGGAAAGCACTGGCAAGATCTGGCCGTAGGGCTCTGGCCGTCGCCCGCAGCAAGCAAGCCAAGCAGCAAGCTCAGCGACCCGGCCAGCAAGGCGCTAAGGAGGGCCAGGGAGGCCAGGCCTGCTTAAAAAAGGAGCACACGGTTTGCGAGAGCGATCAGAAGATGAAGGAGTTTTGATAGCGCTGTAGGCCCCTTGCTCAGCGTCCTGCGTGGTCGCATCCTTGGCACCTCGGCCAGAAGCACCTCTCCGCCCTGTAAAAAGGTTACGGCAGAAGACCAGCGCATGGAGGTAGCGAACCGACCATTGAACACAGCAATGCCATACCCAATACAAGGCTTCCTGACGCCACTCAAACCGAAAGCCCCAATCGACGGCTGGGCCACTTTGGCCCTCAAGCTGAGATCGCCCTGCCAGAGGAGTCTGCCAGGGAAGATGATTCAGATGCCCTGCAATGTGTACTGCCGGCCTCAGCCCACATAAGGGCCGGTTGTGGGCACTCGGCACACCCCTCGGGTTTGAGCCGAGGCTCCAAAGCGGCGAAATGCAGCGGCCCTAGCGCCATGCTTGACCCACTTCAACACTCATGGCCGACAGCGGCCACCAGCCGACAACGCTGCCCAATGCAATGCAAAGATGCTGCTTTTGCACCGGCCACATGGGCTCTCACTTGCTGCAGGTACCGCACGATGCGGCGGTGCTCCACATTGTTGAGGCCATGCCGCCGCCTCAAGCAAAGTCCATGAGAACATTCTTATCGGCAACTGAAAGGGAGAGTGAGGATGCAGTGAACACGCGAGTTTTTGCTCCGTAGGTCTCAGCTGCAAGCACGACCTCTGCTGTGACCACCTGCGCGTCTGGGCTGCCAAGACAAACGGAGGATGCGAAACAACTCGACATAGCCACGAAGACAATCGACAAGCTTTGGGCGGGTGTTGTCGGATGCCCTGAAAGGATGAACCGCGAAAAGACGACGAATTCGGCTGCCCTACTTTGTGACGGCCTCCAGGTCTGTGTCCTCACCTACTGCGAACGGGACCACCACACCACCTCCCAGGTCCAGATCGACCTGCGCCAGGGTATCGGGAAAGGGGGGGGGGGTTTAGAGAGGGGGTTGGAGGGTAGCTGCGAGGGGGGGGGAGGGGGGGGGGAGGGAGGGGGGGGCAGTACCGCCAGACGTTGTTGGTGACAGCAACGGCAGGCCCTCCTTGGCACGCGCTTCATTTCTCCACGCAACATACCTGGACATCTTGGCAAGACGGGTCCAGCAAGCCAATCTGCTTGCTTTCGCTGGCTCCGTCCATCATTGGCCAAGAATGAACAGATTCAAACAGATAAGCATAAGAACAGAAAGCTGGCTTCTCTGCACAGAAAACTCAGCTGTCAGTATTTGACCCTCTTGGTCCATGCGAGCTAGGACTTTCGTGGGATGCTAGCCATGCTCCCTGCTTAGAGCGGGCCTTTCTCACAGGCACCTCCTGGACAAGCCGCGCATTGCCCCCCCCCCCCCCCCCCCCCCCCCCCCCCACAGACGATCCCCTGAGTCAGCTGTCCTCCCGCAGGAATGAGGAATGCGCCGCTTTCGGCAGGTTCCTCGACGTAGAAACAAAAGGACAGACAGATGCATGAACTCTACAGCAATGTCGTCGTGAGATCAACCCCCAACTAGTTACCACCCGTGTGGTAAAACTAGAACTCATAAACACGCAGCCCACGTCGCTCCACCTTGCAGGAATCCGCAAGCTCAGATGGTCCGATGCGACCTGTCGGATTCAAGTTGAAGACCTTGTCCAAACTATGTCAATGTGACCCCAGCCTGGTTCGTAGGCTGGTGAAGTCCGGGTGTCGCCTAAGCAAGGACGGCACAGCATACGACAGCTGACAAAGACCCACCCCGCGCATGCTGCCGCAAAATCTTTGTAAGTTCTGCGACCTCCAGCTCGTCTTTACAAATCTGGAAGTAGAATTGCAAACTGGGCCGTGCAGTCCTGCTTGTGGGCTACACGCCGATGCGGCAAGTCATGGGGACGCAGTGAGGTCTGTGGAAGCAGAGTGGGCTGTCCTTTTGTATTCAATGCCCCCACAGAGCTCTAGAGGTGCCCATGAACAAACCTAGGACTTCAGGATACCTAGGGATGGGCCACGGCATCATCAAGAGGCCAGACCCGACTATAGGCGCTCGCTTGTCGGCAGCGTTAATGCGCCAGGCATTACGAGGCTGTCATGCTATTGCAAGCACGCCTCATAAAACAAAACAGCAAATTCGGCTTTAGGGGCACATCAAGCGTGCCCATCAAATCAAGTCTACGCTAGGAGGCATCTTCAAAAACATGCCTTAGCCTGCGTCAAGTTCCACGCAAGCCGATCTGCAGAACGATCCAAACTGAGCAGGTGAGCAAACCACAAAAACCTTTCCTTCTCAACTATGTTCAGTTCAGTTTGTCGCTCCCGAGCCGGCCGTACTGAATTCACTGCCCATCAGTATAGACATGCCTGAGAAAATGCCCAGCAGCACGGGCACAATCCAAAGCAGGACTACAATGAGGCAATCAGAGAAGGCCTGCCTTCAGCACGCCTTTAAAGCACTGGTGGCTCCACCCAGAAGGGAAAACCTGAACGCACACACACACACACACAAGCTGAGCAGTTGCTGACAGGAACTAAAATGATGCACCTCACCGGGGGCGCCAACCCGGGTGGCCGGTTGCCGCACCGCCGGGGCAGCCTACAATGACACCTCCAAGCGTCTTCGCACGTCAAGGTACGTTAAGGTCCTCCAGCTTGCGCCCCGCCTCACCCGCAGTTGCCGCCTGCTGCTTGGCAAGGAGGCGGCGCATGTCTCGAGGATAGCTCCAGTGGAGCAGGGTGTAGGCCTCAGGATCACCATGTGTTGCCTTGTTCTTCTGCGCTTTTGTGCCATGTCCCAGATCCCAAGCACTGGGCCGCCAGAGTGATCAGCCAAGGAATGCAGATGGTGGCCGCCATCGCCTAAGAGGCAGCGAAAGGCCGCCATCGGGAAATGTGCGTCATGTTGATTGAAAAACGGAACAGTATACGAGACAACTGGGAAGACACAACACTGGGAACACCGGCACTCCCAAGAGCCGTCGCAGAGTGAAGCGATTTTCCGCTCTTCTCCTCCTCACCGAATGTATAGCCAAAGACCTCAGAGCTTGAACGGAAATATCGTCGACGAGAGCTGCGAAGTGCAAATAAGTTGCTGCAGAAGTGCTGCAGACGTCTACACTCGGTCTTCGGCACAGGGCCACTGCACACACAAGAGCTTCTCTGCAGCAAGGGCACGCTGGTGGCCAACATGGAAACCATGGCAGGCCCGATAGCATTCGCCAGCGAGTTCTCCATGGCACCTGAGCATCTGACAACTGTGCACAGGCCGTAAGCACAGACGAGTAGAGGACAGGAATCAAAAAGCGAATGCTAAGCAGCTACATTGTATCAGTATCACCTTTCAGCTTCTCCGAGGCACACTCCCAAGCCATAACCTTGCTGCGATCGCTGGCTGGCACGATGTCGGAGAGAATCGGGAAGTTGGTTCCGGACTGGGCCCAGGATCCCAAGATGCCAAAGCCAGCGATGAGGGCAAAGTATGTGCCGAAGCTTCCCGACCCCGCCGGGATGCCGTAGAACTGCAGGAAGACTAGCGGAATGCCGATGGCCACGGTGATCTGGGCGCTAAGGGGCCGGCCATGATAGCCGAAGCGTCGGGCCAGGGCATCGGCAACCATGCCTCCGATGATGTTGCCGAACATGCCCATGACGGTGCCCTCAGAGGCTAGGATGCTAGCCTCCCAGTCCTCCAAGCCACACAGCTTGAAGTAGAGCAGATTGTTTCCCATGACGCTCCACGGGATGGTGCCGAAAACGCCCTGCATGATCATCACGCAGAAGGTCGGGATGCAAAGGAAGTTCAGGACCGTGCAGAGCTCTGTGCGCACAGCCGCGCAGCCCTTCTTCTCGGCGGCGGCATCCAACTGGTGGGGCGGCTCCACAAGGAAGCCAGCGACCCCAGCCGCCACGCAGAAGGCCACGAGGCCTGCACCCGCGAAGAGGAAGCGCCAGCCAGGGATGTCACCTACCTTGGGGTTAGCCACGTTGCCTGCGATCAGCAGCGAGCAGAACATGCCGAAGAGCAGTGCGCTTTGCACACGCCCGAAGATCTTGCCGCGGCGGTTGTCCGAGGTCAGGTCGGCAATAAGACCTGTATGCTCAGACACGATGACTGGAGCAGAGCCATGAGTATCATAGGAAAGCCATGGACATGCTGTTGTTAGCTCAGATGGCTGCGCATTTGGCTCTGAACACATGGCCATTCTTTGTCCAAGGCACCATTGCATACGGGCCGCAGGGAGGCTAGGAAGAAGCCACTCATGCCGCGCAGGAGCACCATGACGAAGAAGTTTGGGACGAAGGCAAAGATGGCAACCGCGAGGCCCTCGCCAAGAGCGCCGACGAAAAGGATGTGCTTCTTCTTCATAGTACCTGCAGCGTGTGTGGATTCTGTGGTGAGTTGTGGACTTGGGTTGTTGTTACCTCATGTCATGGGATTTTCGATAGGTGCCTCGGTCGGCAAGGATCCCCCAGAAGGGTGCGGCCAGGTTCGTGAGCACCATCTGCACTGTGGTCAGGATGGCAAAGTGCCCAAGACTGAGGCCAAGGTCTCGCTGCAAGGCAAACTGGCATGCCGGAACGAGCTGAGTGTCCAAGCCCTCCAGAGCGCTGACGCAGCAAAGCCAAAAGAGGATAAGGGAGCTGGGCTCCCTCTCCTCAGTTTGCTCAGCCTTCTCGGACTTTACAGTGGCCTTCTCTGTGCCGTAGACCTTCGCATCCTCCACAACAGCGTTCGCATCCGCCTTGACCGGGCTGGGTGGGGCCGCTACTGGGGTCAACTCTGCCATGGTCCTGGAGAGAGTGAGGTTTGCTGCGCACGGCTTGGCCAATCTAGGGCAAAATGCTCTCCAGAGCCAACAGGTCCAATGAACAGGCGGATGCGCAGGGCGAATGCAGAAGGCAAGACTTATGCAACATAACAAGCAAGAAACAACACAAACAACAGACTTGCAGCAGACGTTCCACTGCTGTGTTTCACACATTCGTTGCTTGGCCACCACGCATGATCCCATCCAGGATCGGCAAGCTTGGATGTCATGGAGTCCACCTTCTAAGATGCTGTTTACCAGTTTACCCTCGAGACATCTCGAGACCATAAACGTACGTCAGAAAACGGAACGCAAGCTGCACGCAGAGTCGTAGAAACATCGAGAACTTCATTCACGAAGATTTTCTGCCGGTGCTTTGGGTCTGGTTCGTCCGGTTTTGCCAGTGCCTCGCCTGATGGCGAAGTTGCCCCACAGCTTTCTCCACGACCGCGCCATCGTCAGAGAGGCACGAGATCCGGCGCGACATGCTAGCAACCGCCTTTTCAGGCCAACATTGGCGACATTCAAAATGTTTGTGCAGAAGTCTAGAAACACCATTGGTCGCCTTTGCGAAGAAATCACCACTCTCGGCAGCACTCTGCTGGCAACGATGCACGTGCTCCTCCAACTCACAGAGACAAAGAGGGAACAACAGCTGTTCCATTTGGCAATTTGGAACTACTGCAACCAGCAAAACTACAGCGCTAAACTCGCGATGGCTCGGTGACATGCAATGATCAAGCGTGTGAAGTCATGGCGTCTCACTAAATAGATTCCAGTGGAGTCAGCACGGATCCAAGTGATGCAACATGGCAACATGATATGGCAACACTCACAGCCCCGCAGTGTCCTCCACCGCTTGCAGTCTAGCAGCCAAGTTCTTGGGGGAGATGTCAGCCTGTGTTTCACAGGCACCAACCAGTCCCAGGTTTAAGAAACTTTACCGGGAAAGGGCGCACGCGTTTATCGTGCATGTGTTGGCACCTTCCGCATCTGGATAGGTCACGGCAAACAGAGAATCCACATTTTACCCGTATCCTCGAAAAAGGTTGGCCATCACATCCGACGGAGGAATCTACACGTTTCTGCAATAACGATGATACGATGCTCGTAAGGCTTCAGAAATCTGGACCTTATCACTTGCCCCCACCAAGCACGACACAGTGTCCGAAGCCATGAGCAAAAACCCAGCTCTGTCACAACCCAATAATCGTTGTTTCCGGAATCCACTTTGCCCTGGCTTCCTTGAAATCAGCATTGCCTGCTTGATTGGGTTTCTTGCGCCCGGCAGCATCTGACACGAGCGACCGGGACATACATCTGATGCCAGAAAGAGATCAAGCCAAACACTTTTCCAGTTCGCCCGAGAGCACACTGAGACATATGCAACATCTCTATAGATTCCGCACCCACCTCTTCCCGACTGCTGACTTTACCTCCCATTCCGTATCTTCAGTCCTCCTTGGCATCCAGAGTAACAGCCAGTCGCGCCTCATCCTCCCTCACCCGCCCCAACAACCTTGATTACCAGGTTATTGAGATCAACCCGTGAACATAGCAGAACTGTAGCTGAAGCCCTCCAGGTGTATGTGTGTGTGTGTGTCTACGAGTGTAGGTGTGCGTGTGCGTGTCTGTGTGTGTGTTTATGAGTGTAGGTGTGCGTGTGCGTGTCTCTGTGTGTGCGTCTATGTGTGCACGCGCACGCAAGTACGTGCACGCGTGCACGCGTGCGCGCGCTCGTGCAACCAGAGGGGGTCATTTTTGTGCAACCTGGATGGTCAAAACTGCAGGAAAACAAAGAAAATGGTTGAGCACTCTCAACATGAGCAAGGAGCTGGCTCCGTGGAGCTCTTCCGTGTCCTTGCCAACTCCTGCCGATATCTGCCGATGATAAAGTGACATTGCCGTGACACAAAGAGTACTTCTGTCTTCCTCGCACTGACACTGCGTGGCCACATACGCAAGACACCCCCCAGCTCGTCGCAAAAGCATGTTTTTCCTGCCCTTGCCAGCAGTGAATGCAATTTGGGGATGAGAAATTTGACTGCGGACTCTGTACAGCGGCAGCTCGTTGCTTGCAAGACCCTGGCTTTGAGACGCTGCACCTGCAAAGGACGCTTGCGAAGCCGACCAGGAGGTCTGACAGCGCTTTGCTTCGAAGTTCCCTAAGCACACCTGCAGGCCGTCTGATGGTCTGAGATGGCACAGGTGCGCAACTTGTAAGCGCAGCCCAGTCAAGAGACAAGAGCGGTGTCTGGAGCTCTTCAAGACGTAGGTCAGGTATCTATACGTTCCCCAAATCTGCAGCGGACCCATCTCGAAAAGCTCAGACAATATAAGAGTAGCCAAGTGCTTGTGCAGCTCGCTACTCTGCATCCTGCAACAGCCAAACTGCTGTGAGCAAGCCTAGAGTTCAAGCCAGAAGAACCCTGGAATGGAGTCTAATGAGTCTAATGGAGTGTCATACCAGGTATGCACGCCGCAAAAGACAATTAAACGACGCGGATATATACAAAGCAAATGGTCCGCGATGGTTCACTCCGCTACCGCCGCTACTGTTCAAAGCTCGGAGGCTGCAAAGCGGACTGAGATTTCAAAGTTCGCCAAGGACTGCAGGCCGCAAGGCCGCAGCTTGTCAAGCGGCGAGTCAAGAGAAATGTCTTATCAACCGAGAAGTTGCTCTGGAGGAGTAATGGTCCTGTAGCAGTTGACAGATGCACTTGACAAGAAGCCATGACAAAATCTCGCTTGATCCCACCTCCTGGAAGCAAGAGAGGCCTTGACCTGAGTGGAAGAGTCGACGCACACTCGAAAAACGAAGACCATGCAGCAGACTCAGCAGACTACATGCACGAATACTCCCCCCCGTTGACGAAATCGAGGCGAGCACAAGCGTCGCCAGGGCTAGCGACGCAAACAGCCTCAAGTCGAGACTGTACAGCAACTACATGCCAAGTACTACTGACCTGAATGCCACCGTCTCCGTGGAAGCGTTGTGCCACCTTGTGCCATGCTGTGCCCATCATCGACCATGATCACATCCAAGCGTCCCCGCTGGTAGCTGCCACCCCTGAAGTGGCAACGAGAAAGAGCCATCCAGCTGCTGAAGCTGCTCCGGCTGCTCCGGCTGCTCCGGCTGCTCCAGGAGATCGACACCGCTGCCCCGCGCCAAGAACGCAGAGCGACGCGCCGAGGAAGGAGCCCTGCAAGCATGAAACCGACACATGGGGCCTCTGGGAAAGTGGCATGTCACTATTTCAGCCGTGGGTTAGAGCTCCTTTTAATTTTTTGGGAACTACAAATCCGATTCACAAGGCATACTCATCCGAGTCGGGGATTGGGCCGAAGCCAAGTGTCGGCTGAGCAGATGCAAACTCCCCAGGCACGAAGGATGGGATAACCCCTGACAGCTGGTGCTTCCAGCCAGTCCGGTGCCTCGGAATTGAGACATGAAACTGCGATGCTGACACCAAGTTCTCGGCGGCTTCGCAGTCTTGTGTAGCTGCTTGGAATGGAACATTGTGACTCTGCAAAACATTGCTTCATGGCCGACACTGGTTAGGGTCCGAGGGGCATGTAGCCGCCTAGGGACCAGCGATCAGTTTGACCAGCGCCGGATGAGTCCTCCACAGCATCCTGAGCGGTAGGTCCGCTGGGCTGTGGCCCTCCCTGGGAACGGCCTTGGGTTGCATCTGAAAACGTCAACTCTGCACAAGTCAGGCATTCTGGGCATATCCTCCCATCACAAGGGGCTCTTCTTGTGTCAAGATGCGCTTCTCAGCTGCCGCAGGCTGCTGCCCATAGCCAGAAGGGATAAAGTCTGAATGCTCGTCTTCCCGAAGCCTGTCAAGATTCGGCACGTACTTGTTGCTGGGCCCATTTGTATCGTAGCCATTCATGTACTTCTTGTAGTCCTCGTGCATGTGGCCGAAGCCACTTGACGACCCCTTGTCGCCTCCAGATCCCTGAGGAAGAAAGTCTGGCATGAAGTGGTGGTAGTCTTCTGAGTCACCATGCGTGGCAGCGCCGTTAGCATCATGGCTTGTTTTGTGGCTGGCGTCACTGTGAGCATCCGCATGCTTGCCATGGCCATGCTTGGATTGTGCGATGCCCAGCTTGCCCAGGCTCCCATAAGAGCTGGAGTAGTCGTGGAAACTCTGCTCCTTGTTTGATGCAGCCGTGTCGGCACGGATGCTGGCAACTTTGGTTGGGAAGGCCTGGTATGAGCCAGGAATATAAGTATGGTACGTGTGCTGCATGCTGTTGTTCCACGCCGCCACCTGCTGCTTTGGCTTGGACTTCCAATCCTCAGTTATCTACTGTATACAGGGGCACAGGGGCAAGCTCGAACACCAGCAAGACCTACACATAACTTAACTTTTGCAAAGGGTCAAGGCAGTGCACGGTATGTCACTAAAAAATATTCTGCAAAGCGTACAGTAGACACCGATATCACAAACGAACGCATTCCTTCAGTAACTCATTTCTTGACATAGCCATCTGTGCTCATGGAGCCTTACAATCAACATGCCAGCAAGGGTGTGCCTGTGTGAGTAAAGACGTTTGCACGAGCAAGTTCCGGCCCTAATCGGCCAATACAGGCAAGGATCTTTGCCAGAAGCGGGATCGCTACCAGCCATGGATGCATAAGTAGGAGCTGCCTTCGTGCAGGGTCTTGCAGGCACACAAAAGATTTTAACCAGCACGCCTTTCCAATGCACAGGCCTGCCCAGAGGAATTGTGCATCACCGTCGCCCAAAGAGCAAGAGGCTCCTGCCTTCCATACACTTTGGTACTGCAGGACACTTCAAACGATTGCTTCTGGGCCTGGACCTGGAGGGACTTGAACATTTACAGCACTGCTATCGAGGACATGCACGACGATCTTGAGGCTAGGGAGGGAGCCTTCCAGCTCTCTCAGCAATGGCTTGGTCTGCAGAGCACAGGCAACACAGGCCCAGCGAGAGGAGAGCCGCCAAGCGACCAGTAGCCATACCCGGCTGCAAATGCGGATGCTTCTGCTGGTTGCTCGTCTAAATACTCTCAACGGCAAGAGCCGAACGTCTGCAAGCCAAGGGGTAGGTACGGTTAGGTCAACCACCTCGCGAGTACTACCGGCAGGTCTCAGCGTACCACGCGTACGACACGACACACTGACACAACAAGGACGTTTTTCAGAGCTGAACTTGCCCACGGCCCAGGCTGGGTCCTGTACACACCTCTGCGAGGATGACACACAGCCATGCAGACAGCCGAAAACTGCACAAACGGCTGTTCAGCTCCATGCTGGTTAATTGGGTTGTAGCTTTGCCAGTGGAGTAGCTGAGCTGCCAGGATAGCTTATGCCATGCTCTGAGCAAGCCGTATCAAGGAATCAAAGCGAGACTTCTTGATTTCTTTTAAAGACTCCAGATCGGGGTCCTCAGATCCGGCAAAATTTCACAAGAAACATCGAGAGCAAGAGACAATCTGATTAGATTTCCTTGGAGTTTTGCCTACACCAGGCCCCGCACGGTAGCCATATGTGAGTGCTGCCGATACCCGGCCCCGATGGCACTCGAGAGCGATCCCACAGCAGCATCCAAGCGGGCATCACCTGCATCTTTCGCCGTGTCACAGCGCACGTCTAAAGTTGGTCACACGATGTCCAACGTGTGCGGGCCAAGTCACACAGTGCCGACACGGAAGTTCCAAACGTGTGCTTGGGAGGCAAGTTCGGAGCAACCACTCCGCCTATGAGAAGCAATGGAGCTACCACCAGACTGTCGGGCATGCCCGACAACACCGTGTCCTACACATTCCCATGTCCTAATATGTCCTACGCTCTCGGCCTGCCATCTCCGGGACCTGCGAGCAACTAGCCAGGCCCAGAGCTCCTGGAAAGGCGGTCCGGTACTGCAGGATCTGGATGGAGACAGCCACAGCCTGCAGCAACCCCTACCAGTAGTAGCCCTAGCAAGCCCTAATGGCCCTGATTGAAGTTCTACCTTCGGAGTGCGGCTTCACTCGGGAAGCGGGACCTGGCAGCAGGCCATGTTGTAGAGGGACAGGCCATCGGGCTGCCCATTGATCTGCCAAAGGATGGTTAGGGCTGGACAGACAAAGCCAGACTAAGCAAAGCTACGCTTGGCAGCTGTGAGTTCCGAGGCCATGCTGTTCGTCCAATTTAAGGCTCTGCTGGCCCGAAAGAGCCTGCACATGCAGGTCGTTTGCAAGCCGGAAGATGTGGAACGCGGTATCCAAGTGCTGCCGCTTCTCCAACAAGCTCCTTCATTTTGGCACAAGCGCATATGACTGGGATTTATGGATTTGAATGTGAAGACAACATCACTAAGTCTTACTAAGTCACACTTAAAGGTAGACAGCTGCCGCTTGGGCACAAGGCGGTGCCGTGCAGCCAGCCATATCCTTCCTGTGTCAGCGGCACCTTGCAGACGAGAGCCCTGAGATCTCCATCTAACCCAGCCAGCGGCTCAAAAAACTTCGAGAGCGAAGAAGGGAACGGTGACAATGGGGGCACCAGCGGCTGCGGCCAGGCCGGCTGGGGCACTTTTGGCACAAGAGAGCCGCTGCCTGGAAATTCCAGCACAGACGGTGGCGAAAGTCCGCTCAGGAGTTGCAGCTTGTCGCTTGGGGTCATGTCCTTCTTGGCGAATGCTGACTGGAAACCTGCATCCATTAGGTTGCCATCCCATGAACAGCCTTTGTAAGCTTCCTCACAGATATCCACCGCGCGCCTGATGTCAGCCTCGTCAATGGCATGGCCTTTCTCAACGACGAAATAGAACTGCACCGTGATGGTCACGGAACAATCTGAGTCTCTCTCAAAGCGCTCCATGCGTAGCCGGTCCATGGGTCCCGCATCTGAGCCCGTGGACACCCGAGCGGCGTGCGCTGCATGCGCGGAATTCTGGGAAGCCAGGGATGAAAGCCCGATGGATCCAGGCTGGCACGAGCTTCCGAATGACATGCACTGGTTGCTGGATGTGCTTGCACCTCCGAATGGAGCTGAAGAAGGGCCTCCAAAGCAAGCGCCCATTCCCACAGCTCCAGCTCCGGCGGGTGGGCCTCCGAAGAGACCGCCTCCCATTGGAGGAGGTGAGAGGCCCCATGGGATCATCGGGCCAGCGGCCCCGAAAGGCTGCCTTTGCTGCTTCATCGGGATCTGAATCGTCATGAGCCGATTGAAGCCCGTACCCATGGCGCGCGTGCCAATGACAGTGGAAGCCGCCTTGCCCTGGCGAAGTGCCTCTGCCCTCTCCTCCGCAGTCTCTGTTTGGCCCATGGTAACCCCGTGCCGCGTAGTCATGGCCTCGAGGTACTTCTTGCGCCATGCCCCGCCCTCGTTGCTGTGCAAGAACTGTGGCACGCTCCCTGGCCCATCCTGCTGCACGAAAGTGCCCTGTGAAGTGCAGAGAAGCACAAGGTTCCGTGGATCCTCCCAGCTTCTTGTTTGGTAGTTGTATGTGTCAGGATAGAACTCTTTAACCCCGGGCTTGGTGGGTCCGAAGATTGAAGACTGGGCGACGGTTGGAAGAAACACTGCCTGGAAACGGATCCCGACACTGCGATCGCGAGTCTCGGACAAAAGCGAGGTGCCGAGCGGAACAGCGCCAGCGTAGGCGGCATGAGAATGGAAGTCACGCAAGTATTGCTCCAAGGTAACTGGCTGGAGGCTTGCACCGCTTCCGACCAGGACTGCCACATCAGCGGCCTTCACTCTCCCAATGCGCTCGTCGAAGTTGTTTGGCCGCACGACCTCGAACTCTTGGAGCCCATGGATCAGGAGTTTTAGGAGGCTCAGGAGCCTCATGTGAAAAGAGCCTCACGGAAACACTGCTGCAAGAAAACATAATTGAAGGTGCCGAATCTGCAGGCGAGCCACCAAGAAGTCTTCTCCGTCCTTCAGCGCGGTGCATACACCATTTACACCACGAAACACTGTTCGAGGCACCCGTCTGTGACACTGTGACACCAGCTTCCAAGCTTTCAGAAGCCCTGGTGCCTTCCCCTTGAGGCGCGCATCCGTGATATTGCTGCCGAAACATGAGCCTTGCTGACGCTGATTGTCATTCCACGACACATACAGCGCTTTGTAGTTCGGGTTGTGCTTGGCGAGGACTTGGTTCATGTGCGCCTGCAACAAAAAGTCTACCAGGCAGACGTGAGCGTCTCTCTCAGCGAGCCCTGTCTACATCAAGCCTGCTGAGGAACCTGACCGAGCCTGCATGTTCGCCTGTTGCGCAACTGATCCGGTGCCGAACATGGCGCCGACGGCTCGTCGATATTCTGCAATTTTAAGGATGCTGACTCCGAGCCGATGACCGTCGGCGCTGCTCCCCCTCTCCCACCCATCTGCGCACCATGAGAGTATGCATTTCGGCCCTTCGCCTACAAGGTGAACAATGGCCTATGCTTGCCCGAGTGTGGTCCTTGCGTACCCTGGTCACCTCCCTGCCAGACCACAAAGACGCCTGCCAGGAGCTCACTTTGGCCCCAAGGACTGACCCCGTGATTGTGAAGGGAAGGGCAACACTTCTGCCCGTCGCCTCCATGGCCTGAGCCAGCTGCGCCTTGAGCTGCTCCAGGGCCTCTGGATTCCAACATGGGCATCGTGGGGGGTTTTCAGTGGCACCGAAATGGAGCCCGAATGCCTCTCTGCGCGAGCCATGCTAGCAGGACCCAAGGCTGTATGTTGATGGAAGGACCATGCAGGGTTGGCATTTGAAGGAACACTGAAGAAATCAACTGCACTTGCATTGGCAAATTGGCAGAGACCCAAGGCTGTGGGCACCACTCCCGCCTCGCGGAGCTGTGTCGCCTCCCGTCGTCGCACCTTCACGTTCTTTCGTGCACTCGGGCTCAGGTTTCGATGGCTTCAGGGTTCCGAACTAGAAGATGCAGATGCCAGAAAGCTGGAAGGCTGCTTTCTAACTTCAGACAGGCGTTCTGCCTGAGTCGCTCACTGACGCTCACAGCACTCGGGCCTGCTCCTGCAGCTCCACCTGCTGCTGTAACGCCTGCAGAAATGGAGAACACAAGACATCTTAAGACATCCCAAGACATCCCAACGACATCCCAGGACATCCCAAGACCCCAGCTCAAACTTCCAGAGCCCTGTCTGCCACAGAGGCGCCTCACGCAGGTGGCGTTCGCAGAGCACAACCTCGCCAACACGTCGGAGCTCCTGCATGAAGTTGTTAAAACATGTTAAAACTGTGTGTCTGGCATGGGGGGCGGCGGCCGGTCTAGGGGTCTTGCGGCCCTCAGCGGCTTGGCCCTAAAAACCCAGCCCAAGCCGAAACCCTGAACAGGGCTGAGACTCACCCCCCACCCCCCTTCAAACCTCAAGCCCTAAAAGCCTCATTCCCTAACATCCATAAATCCCTCAAATCCCTAAACCCTAAACCCGTAAAACCCCAACACCCTAAAGCGCCCAAACGCGAAGCCCTCGAACCCTAAGTCCCCGACCAAAACAACCAAGGGGGAAGGAGGGGGCCCAAAACCCTAATTCACCAAACCCTCCGGCTGCGCAGGTTGTCTTGGAGTGTTGGGAAGCCCCTTGGACAAAAGGCTTGCAGAGCTGCGATGCCTGCCTACTTTCTGGCAACTGCTGGGTTCCAGTGTAACCCTACCTCTGATTGCTCCATGCGTCCAAAACATGGGGCATCCGCAAGCCATCCGCAAGCCTCCTCTACGCGTTGCACAAATGACGTCTGCTCCTGGCCAAGCACCAGTGTGCCGAAGAGTGCTGCGTGCTGTATCTCGCAGGTATTCGTTAAGCGACAGGGTGCTGGGCTCGCAGGTGAAGACATGCGTGTTGAGCCCAGGGTGTCCTGGACCAGCCGGGCCGCCCTCGCTGTGAAATCATCCTGAAACTTCTTTAGAGCTGTTTAAGATATTTTAGGTCTCGCGGAGTATGTGTATATATATATATATATCTAATATATCCCAACGGAGTCTAACGGAATATAACGGAGTCTAACAGAGTCTGCAGAAAGAGCCACAGGCATGAGGTCGAGGACCGTCCTGTGGCTCTTCGGACACCTCTGAGGCTGCTTGCCAAAGAACTGCCAGCTGCCTTGACGAGATGGAGGGGACTAGCAGATGTACGAGAAAGCGTGACGGCGGGTTGGCGTTAAATTGTAAAATGTAAGACGTCTGACCCATGTCACATTGTCACATTGCCGAGCTGCGCCGTCGCCCCCGCATCGCGCCTCTGCACTGCCTTGCTGAAGGCAGCCGCGGCACCGTTCAAGCCGGCATCCACCCTGGTGGTGTCCTTACCGTCCCGCGTCTCGTGCGCCTTTTGCTCGTGCGGCTCGCTCCGGTGAAGACTGGAAGCCCAGGGCGTCGGAAGGGTGACACCGATACCGATGGCACCGATGGCATCGGCGCCCTGCGGAGCCGGCAAAGGCTCCGTGTCATCGCTCTGCAACTTTGGATACACACCACTTGGGGAAACGCTTCCCCGGGAGTGGTGATGCTGAGCTCTGTCACGCGGGCTACGCGAGCAGCTTGAAGGGTCAAGCAACTCGCTGCTGGGAGACGCTGCCAATCTTTGTGGCAGACTCTCAGAGGGGCTCCTGAACCCCAATGGTCGTGTCCTTTCATGATTCGTCTGGTCTTGTGGGACGGTGTCTGGGTCACCCTCCACTGACGTTGCGTCAGCCATGCTAATGCTGCAGAAGCTGGGCACGGAACTGCTTGAAGTTGTCTCGTCCCGGCACCCATGCAAGCCCAGCAGCTGCCTCAGGCCAATTCAGTAAAAAACGAATGTGAAATCGTTCACGTGTTTGATGAGGTTTCTGTACGGTTAGGCAGAAGGCAACAGGCATGAGCCCTGCCTGGACCTTGACGGGCTGTCCTGAAGCCAGGCACCGCCCAGATCGCCCCATGCGTCATCGAGCATTGCTGGTGATAGGGCCCGCCTAGAAGTGCCGCGGGGGACCCTAATGGATGATGAGTGGGGGCTTTGATGGGCTTTGGCTGTGCTGGGCTGCGTGCCAGGCAACATCCCAACAAGTGTGATGAGACAACTGCTGAAGCAAGCGCAGAAAATTCACAATGATGCCGAGCAAAAAGCCTGGCTGAAGCCCTTACATACTTACGTAGCTTCGCATCCGAAAGAACAGACCCGCGCTTTTCGTGGACGACCGCACTGGCTTGCCAGCATCGCCTGACCGGCAAATTGGCCAATCGCCTTGGGCGATAAACAAGAGGCCTGACAAAATGGGGCGGGGGGGTGGGGGCGGGAGGGGGTCATTGGCTTACTTTGGGAACCTGGTCGGGGGTGGTCTAGCATCCCGAGACTGCAACGGAAACATCATGCCGGTCTTTCAACTCCTGCTAGGAGGGTGCACAGGTCAGGCTCCTTCGGAGCGTGCCTGTAGCAGTCACCGATCTGAATTAAATAAGCAAGCCCCCAAACAGCGACAAGATTGATCCCCCTGGCTCCCTGGGTACTAGCTTTTGCAGCATTGCCTTGCAGACTTCATATTGCCTGCGCTGTTTGACGACACCGTAGGTCCCGATGGACTGACAGAGACGAAACAAGTATCCACGATTGATGATAAGACAGGAGCAACCCATAAACAACTGTATCCACGCCGGTGCAAGCACTACATCAAGACACACACGTCCAGTATCCCAGCAACTCTCTTGTCTGGAGCCGAATGCTCAGTGGAATTCTGGAAAGACCTTCGAAGAGTCAAGCCACGACACATCCAGGCAATGCATCGAGATTTACCTCTAACTTTCAATACATTCTTAAACCCTTACAGTATCCTTACAGTCCCTTACCAACTCTCTGTAGTCCTGAGCCCCCTTGCCTTCTTTCCCAAAGGGAACTCGAGGTCGGTGATCTCCTTGCTGTGCTGGAAGGTGAAATGATCTTGCCCAGGGGCGCCCGAAGAGCTTCCTTTCCAGATTGAACATGTTGCCGACATTTGTGGGTGGCTTTGCAAATTGCAACAATATCGCTTACAACTTGCACAGGGGTTTGGGAAGCTTCGGCGCTGCACCGCCTTCATGAGTTTTGAAATTCGCAGTCTCACCCTGTGACCCCGTGTCGCCACGGAGGACGCCCATGTCGTGATAGCCGTGCAGGCGGCTAAAGCGCGTTCCAGCCTCGGCCACGCACACCGACACTTGGCTCAAGGATTCAAAGGTTTCCGAGCGCCCGACCGCCTCGATTCCATCAGCTTCATCGGGTATGAAGACGTTGGTCCCTCCGCGTCGGGCGCGCGTGAAGTTGGGGCCCTCCTCACAGGCCTGGCAGTCCCAGAAAGGTCCGGAATGTTCCAGAGAAATGCGTTCCGGCTCCAGATACCTGCGCAAAGCGGCCGAAGAGGGTCCCCTGCAGCTGCTGCTGGCCCCAGTCCTGCACAGAAACCCCTGCTGCTCGGCTCTCTCAAGATCTAGCTTGGGATCACCAGGAACGATACTTTCATGTTTTCGGAAAGTACTTCCAGCAGACGTAGCAGCATTGGACAGCCTCCTAGATGAGAGCCTTCGTAGCAGCAGAACTTAAGGCATGTACATCTTGTCGGCTAAGAGATCGGCAACAAACCTTGTCGGTTGCCTCGTGGTATGCTGAAGCCCACAGCTAAGGCTCACGCGCAAAAAGCAAAGCTGCGGCCGAAGGAGTCACGAACAGTCCGAAATCTTTGCAATCCTCTCCCCTCAACTTCCCCCTGACCACAAATGCAACACCTAACACGCGGGACAGATCTAGGGTCAAAAGGTCCGAGTGCCGCACCATCGGCTCTAGAACCGGTCGGCTTAGGGCCCGCGTGCCCACCGCACGCCTCGGGGCACAATGGCACCATGAAACCCTCTGAATTACCCTTAACTGTACCTTCACCACCAAAAAAACACTGACTTGCTCTGGACTTCTCAACAGCTCCGAGACAGGGAGGAGATAGGGAGGATCCAGGCAGGAGATATGGGAGGAGATACGGGGAGGAGAGGGGGAGGATATAGGGAGGAGATGGGGAGGAGATAGGGAGGAGATAGGGAGGAGATAGGGAGGAGGAAAAAGGGAGGAGAGGGGAGAGGCAGGAGACGGAGGAGAGAAAGACGAGGGAGAAAGGGCGAGTGAACGGAGCAAAAGACAGCGGGTGCGGACAGGATCCTAGTGGTTTATGACAGGTGATGACGAGACTGTTGACACTTTTTGCACAGACTCAAATACGTGGTTTTCTTGGCCCCCTCACGGATCTCGCATGGCCGAGCGCCGCAGAATCTCTGGGGAGCTGCGGCTGCGGCCAAGGACCGTCTCGGCAACCTTCCGAGCCCTCAAAAAACGCCTCTCATCTGTCAGTCTCTCAGTCTAAGAAGGCATGGGCCTCATGGAAGGCTTTCTCGGCTTCGGTGTCGTGTAGCTGCCGCTGCACGGGGTCCTCACAAGTGGCAAGAATCCTTTCAGTTGTGCCTCCGCGTGGCTAAAGGGCCTTGGAGACATCCAGCTTCAGTTGCTGTCTCTCATGAGGGAGCTTCCAGCCTGGCAAATGGCAGGTTCCCGGGGTCGCAGAGCTTCCTCAAGCCTCTACCACACATGGCAAATACGCCCGCCAATGCTACATTAAGATGTGCTCCTTGCTACTATAGCTCCATAAGAAGCTCCCAGAGGAAGCTGGTCCGCTCAGTTTGTCATTGAATCCTTAACAAGAAAGGCCACCAGGCCATGGAAAACCAAAGGTTGACCGTCTCCTCCCCAGTCTCTGAGTTCGACCAGCTAGAGTACGTCCAACATTCCCCTTTTCCCAAGATCCCTTCTTCTCATCGCACTGCCAGGAAAAGACAACTGGTTGTCACAAGGGGCTTTCCCACAGGCTAGTTAATAGCAACAATATTAATCATATGTAGTGTTAACAACAGCATGAATAATATATTGTGTTTACTTACTCAACCTGCCTACTTCGGGCAACTTGCCAGGCAGAGTCTGGAAACCGAAAAGCCGTTGACAACCTGATGCTGGAAACTCGAAAAGATTCGGGAAGCTTAACGCGGATTCAGGAAATTGGAAAACTCTGATTGCAGAAACAGTGAAGATATCTGAAGAGCGCCTACAAGCGTGGGATCGGCTTATGTACATGCCTCTGTTGGAATCAAACGGAAGCATGTACTCGACCTGCTGCTCAAACATTGGAATTGATGGCAGCTTCACTGACGAACTTGGATCCATTGAGCTTCTGCTGCGCCATGCGGTCTGCCGGATTGAGGTAATCAAAGGCCTGCCACAGCTTGCTGAGAAGGCACTGCATGTGTGTCAAACCTTAAGTCTTTGTTGGGCCTGCTTGGCAATGGGATGGGATACGTGTTCATCCCACTGGGCATAGAGGTCCCACCGGCGCTGCCTGAACGGTTTAGACAAATAGTGAGGAGCGCTGAGCACCAAGGCAAACATGACAATGTCAAGCTTGCAAAGACCGCCAGGGAGACTGATAGCGCTGCTCAAAGGCCGCAAGGTTCTCAGCGCATTCCATCGCCAGACCTAGCCATCATGGCAGAAACTCTCCAATGATTAGTGTCATTGCAGATGTGCCCTTGCAACCCTTGTCCGGGCCTCCATGGTCGCAGACCGCATCCACTAGTCGCTTGAAGCGATCATCGCGCATCGTTTTGGCCCTGGGCACAAGAATCGCCATAGCAGAGCCCCGTCGTTTCGTGCCACAGTGCTAGAGTTTGCTAGGAACCCTTCGGTTGGTTGCAACGGTCACCTGCGTGGTAGCGAGTACATTCTGCAGGTCGGTACGAGAGCTCAGTCGCTTAGGCAGTTTAGGGTTTCAGTTCAAGCCCCGGGTTCTTAACCCACAGCATCATCGCATATCACCGCTTGACCCAATCAAGGGGCTTCTCCGCGCGCTCCCGGATGAACTTCTGATCGGCCTGCCGAACGACCTCCACCTCAGGACTGCAAGGAGGGGAAGCGAGACATAGCGAGACATGGTGAAACATAGCGAGACACAGTGAGACATCGTGAGAGTGATACGTCCTGTGTAGCTTCGGTAACTCATCCCGACCTTGTTGAACTTGGTCTGAAGCTCAATTCGGCGTCGGGCCTGTGTTGGGGCCGGTCAAGAGAACACCGCAAAGAGGTTCATCGAACTTGTGTGCACATGTATGTGCACGTAGTCGACCCGGCAGCTAAGACTTAAGACGCGGTCGTCAAAGGCTAAGGAAGCAGAGCCTCCCACCTCGGGTCCATCCAGCTGGTCTGCCCTGCTTGTACGCACCAGAGCCTGGGAGCGAGAGAGTTCAGGGGCCCCAGGCATGAAACCTGGGGAGAGGCATGCCAGGCAACAGCGGTTCTTGCTTCTTGCAGCTTCTTGCAGCTGAGGTCTCGACTGCTTCGTCGCTACCTTACAGTGTTAGTCTGTGTGCGTGTGTGTTGGTTGACTTGCTTCGGGCAAGCATCCCATCAGACTGCGCATGGCACGTGCATGGTACGCGACCTGCCTGGGAGCGTCGAAGTTGCTGCGAGCGTGGAAGCCTGCAAGGGTATTGCTTGATCCTGATTATGGACTCAAGTCATGTCGAGTGAAACTTTTGTGGAGTGAGCTCTTTAGTCCAGCTCTCACTCGGAGGAATATTTGGAAGCAAACCCTCTCATCAAAAGCGCAGAAGACCTGACGCTATGCGCCCGACGCTCGGGGAGGCGACATCAGTCACCGGCTGGCGCATGGTCCTGGACGAAAGGGTGCGAACCCCTCATCACGCCAAACATCCCATGCCGTTGAGCAGCTTTGCTTTCCTAAACCCGAGGTGCCGACTCTTGTTGACTCTCACAACCTTCGTGGTTCTCTTAGCATGCTCCACAAGCCCTCGTGGGGACATCCTGCTGCGGTTTGCAGACTTCTTCATGGTCTTCTCCCGATGGGCTGCCTCGAGTGTGCGAGATGCCTCCGGGAGAAGCGGCATGCGAGCCAAACTTTGCTCTAAGAACACGCACTGCACGATTCGGGGGTAGGGAATGTCAACTATACGGTCTGGGCAAATTGCAAATTCATGCAAAACTCGCAAATTTAAAGGTTGCTAATTATTTGAGAAAATGCTCTCGCCCACCTCCGCTTCTACCTTCTCCCGCAGGGCATCGGCCTTGATGGCCTGCGACAGAGGGAGCGGGAGAGAGAGAGAGAGAGCGAGAAAAAAAACACAAATGCAAATCAAAAAGGATATTAAGAAAGAGTTTACACTGAATTTGTTGAGTTCACAGACAGACAGACAGACAGACAGACACACACACACACACACACAAGAGTTGTTTTGAAGGAACAAGTTTTGCTTCTTACGCACGAGTCTGCCTACGAACTGCATTCGCTGGCCTCGACCATGCCCGTGTCCGCGACTTCGCATCTGCCGCCGCCTGGGCGCGGGCCCTCCCGTGGCCTCGACGCACGCGACAGGGGGGCCCCCAGAAGGGCACCATCATACAATGCAAAATGCAGAGTACTCCTTTGAGCAGATTGTGGGCCTCCGAATGCCTCCAAGCTTGATGCGTGAGAGGCTCCTGAGCCTCTGACAAGCGCAGCAGGTCATTCCACGGGGTAGGACCCCGTCGCCGTTGCGTGGAGCTCCAGGACCTAGGCATCGAACTTGCCCGGCCAACATGGAACGGGCGCAAACAGGCGCAAGCCATCTCAGGCTCTTTCCTCCCAAGAAACAGGCCGAGGACCCAGCAGCGAGCTTGTCATTCCGCTCCGTGTCCTTTGGGGCGACAGCGTCCCCGTATCCTGAGACAACGAAAATCGATAGACTTTGCACTTTACTTGCCTCGAGCACTGCAGGCAGGCACAGGCAGGCACTGTGCTCAAGAAAAGCCGTGACTGGGAGGCGTACAACCGCAGCGGTCATCGCGGATGGGTTTAGTTTGCAAGGATTCAATGTAGAGTTCCACTTCTGAGCTGCATTGGGTCTGGAAGGTCTCGGCTTGCGCAACAAACTAGAGGGGTTCGACTTGCAACACGGTCTGAGGAAACATACTCGTAGGCGGCGCCAGCAACCACGTCAGAAATGAAGAGACGCAGCGGTAACATGTGCGCACAAGTGCAATATGTTAGCATGCGCCAAAGACCTCAGCTGATTGCAAGCCCATGCGAGTAATCTAGCCGAGACTAGCCTGCGCCACTTTTGCTCTTCCAGCTGAGCTTTGAGGCACGAGTACGAGTTCTGGTGCGGCCTGATGGTGCGCCCAAAGGCTGTCTCAAGATTTTTGGCACCTGCATCGCAAAAACGTCAGACATCGATACTGCTTCTGAATACGCCGTTAAACCAAACAATCCGAGTCCCCGCACCGTGCCAACTTCACTTCCAGGAGCCGTAGCCTGAGAGTCAAACTCAGACCCGAAGGCGCGTGCTTCTCGCTCAGTTTTCTGCAATTCTTCGTGAAATTCGTGAACTGAAGTTGTTGCTTCTTCCACTAGCCGTGCACTCACATTGCACTCGCCGCTCGTCGCGCCTCCGCCGCCTGCATGAAGCGATTTGAAACGAAAGCTCTCGAGTACTTAGGGGACATGGATAAGGGTGTCTGCAGTCTAGACTACAGACTGTCGCAACCATTGCATATCGATCACGCACACGTATCTCGACGGGCATTATTGCAATCTCCGCTGGCCTTGCCCCCTTGAAGCACCCTCAATCCCAACCCGATCTTCCCCACCTACTCAAGGCAAAGAACTTCCAGTTACTGGAGTTCCGGGCTTGGGGCACAGGGAGATGAAACCGGTACCATGAGACAGCGCACGCTTCTGCTGGTTGGCAACTGCGGAAGCAGGCCTCCCTGATATCCGCCGCCCTGCATTGCCTTGCATGGAGTGGAGGAGCTGGTGCAACGTGCAAAACTCGAAGGTCTCTGGGCCTGCGCTGCCTGTGTGATGGTTGCCATGAGCTGCTGCCAATAAGCAGCATCGTAGCCACCTCCGCCTCCTGACAGCTCTTGCAAAGGGGCTTTGAGCTTCCTACCGCTTCCTGAGCTTCCTGAGCCGAGGCAATATCCCCCCATGTGAGGCCCCAAAACGCCCCAAAAGGAGCCCTTCTGAGCCCGAGAGGAAAAGCGACGCTCCGTAGGACTGGCCGTAGGGGCCGGTGCCGTGGCTGCGGCCTGGGAGCGGTTTCGAGACCCCAACTCCGTACTCCGAAAAGCACAAACGCAAGAGCACTGAACGGCATAGAACGGCCTGCCGGAGCTTTGCCGTAACCTCCTGCCAATCTGAAAATGTTGCACGATAATGCACAGAGCTCATGACCACAGTACATAACAGGCTGAGCATGCTGAGAGTGCCAGAGCATGTCGACGGGCCGAATGACAAGTTGCGCTAGTTGCATCCATTTGCCCAGTCCTTTGCCGCCGCCGCCGCCACCACCGCCCTTCCACGAAAAGCTGGGGTCACCGGGGGCTTCCACCTTGACCCGAACTGCCTCGCCATGCAGTCGCGAAGTCTCAAGCGCAAGGATAAGCAGAGCAGGCACAAGAGCTTAAAATAGAGCCCTGGCAAGATGGCAGCCTTTGTCTTGCCGTTTCGGTCATTAATCTCCAAGTCGTAGCTCAGCTTCGCCCCAGGGATCATGTCGGCTTCTCCTTGGTTGAACGCTGAACTGCGAGCGACTGCACGGGAGGGGGGTTCCATGTTTTCAGAGGCAGGCTTGCGCCGTTTTCGCATATGTTTACATATTGTTTACATGTTCAAGAGACGAGTCAGGAATTGGGCAAAGGAGCTTGTTAAGCATTCACCTTTAGCTAGCTAAGCATTCACCTTTAGCTTGCTGGAATCCGGCTTGCTTGCGTTTGCCTCGGCTTTCTCAGGAAAAGGATACTTGTGAAATTCAGCATGCCTCCACCATGCCAAATAATGGTGCCTGGCCCCTGGCTGAAAATTGGCATAGCGTTTTCGAACCCTAGAGCTCGACTAGGTTCCTCCCTCTCTGATGAAGCAGTGGGGGGGGTCTTCGGACCAGCCCGCTGTTCCTCTTCAGAGCCTTGTTACGGGGTGCAGGTTGGTGTTCAGGAGGTCTTGTCACATTTTGGCACAAGTGGGTTTATGTTGCCACATACTGCAGGCATTGAGTATTTATATTCTAGGCTCTTCTGAGCGAGGCTTTCAACACCACGAGCTCTTTTCGCTGGGAGCTCCTTGCTGGTTCGGTCTGGAGGCCATGCCACGACGGGCGCCGACCCGATGTCCCAAGACTCCAGAGATTGGAGCCTTTCCCTCACCGCCTCCAAGGACTGCAGATTTTCATCGACCTGATGGTAAAACAGCCACTCCTTGATGGGCCCCACCAAATCTAAGTCCAAGCCCGTTTCTGCCGATATCCACCGGCCATCTGCCAGCGGCTTCTGGAGCTGAGCCCACGCCTCCGAATCCCTCAGCTGTTCTTCTACCGCTTGCTCCGTGGCTTCCAATGCTTCCAGCTCCAAGGAAAAGCTCGAGGACTCCGAGGACTCGGAGCCCGAAAGCCAGGCTCGCTCCAGGCGTAGGTGTACACGCACAAACTCCTCCCCACAGGCGACGAGGAAGCGGCGGACGGCCCCGGCATCTTGAGCATCTGGGAGCTCTCCCAAACAAAGCACGTGCTCGGAGACGAACCTTTGCTCTCCCTTGCTGAAGTGAAGCTTCTTCATGATTTCCTTGGCCTCTTCCGCCTCCACCTGCGCCAAAACGAGAGTCATGGCCTCCTCGAAAGGTCGGACTTCGACTTCAGAAACCTGAACTTTGGGCAACTCCCTCTTGGCTTTCTGCCGCTTCGCAGTGGGGAAGGGGCGAGGGAGCGGAAGTGTGACAACAGGTCGGAGTTGGCAGATGGCACCCTCTCTCATCAGCATCAGCAGGATGCGAGCGACGTTGCGCGTGTCTGCGATGCCAGAGTGCACTCGCCCCACGTTCGGGATGCGCAGGTACTCGCACATCAACCTTATCTTGCCACGGCCGGGTGGAATCATCCCAGGGTGGACTTGCTCGAAGACCTTCCGCACATCGATGAACTCCTTCCACTGCACGGGCAGCGGACCTTCTCCGAAACTCCGCCTCCACTGAACCGGCAACATCTCCTCAGTGTGTTCGGGAAGGTGGAAGTCAGCGATGCAAGCAGAGGTGCAAGGAGCGTTCAGGGATTTCAGAATGTTTCAATTTTATGTGACGGATGCTTCGAGCTATTCTATTCTTACACCAGTCCTCCAAGTCCCACTCGCCATCTGCCACCCAGGCAACCTTGGCTCGTGAGGTCTTTTCCTCGAGCCAAGACAGGAAGTCTTTTGCCACGTCTCCGAAGGAAGGAGCAGTGTCCACAGTGGACTGGGAGATACCCGTCAGATGTTGGCAGTACTTGGAAAGCTGGCTGTGCACAGTGGGCCGGACAAAGCTGTGGAATTCACCAGCGCATGTCCCAGATGCAGCATGCAGAAGCACCACTGGGAACTCGATGATCTCCTGCTGCATCGCAACCTGGCCGCCTTCCCAGCATGTGGCTTCAAAGTCAACCACCACGTAGTACCTTGCAAGCTGCGACCCTGCACATGTTTCGCGCTGCACATGCTTCGCGCAGCTCACCCCCTGTTGTGCTTGTGTTCGCGTTCGTATCATCCGCCGAGGCCTTGGGCCGCAGGTGTCTGCGTAGCACAAAGCAGGCACCCCACCTCTCATCCCCTCCCCAAGCGGGACCAGGTTTGCACCCCTTTATTTTGCACTTTTTGGCCTGAAATGGGTACCCCCCCTCGCCGACAAGTGTCCGGGAGCAGACGGTGCATCAGGACCAGGGGGCACTTCAGCCTGCCATGGGGGCCGCACCTGCCAGAAGTCCTGCCCCCCCTGCCTGAAGCTTGAGAGCTTGGAGAGCCTTTCACCTTGCGCCTGCCTGCCGGCCTTCAACCCCTGGTCTGGTTGCCTTGTTACAGAAGCTCAGGCCGAGGCGGGTCGCGTAGCGTTAAAATTAATCAGGGAGATGAGATGTGGCTCGCTCTTGAAAACTGTGGGCTGCCCGGCTCCTTGCACCAGTTTTTCTTGTTGCGTACCACATTCATCATTTAGTGCTTCTGCTGGCGTATGTGGGATGGTAGTTACGGTCCGAAGCTTTTGCGGCTTAAGCGAAGCTTAACAGCTTAGCAGCTCAGGAGCTTTGGGTACGCTGGAATCCCTTCGGCGGTTCACGTTTCAGGGATTTTCAGGGAGAGAAACTCATAGAACCGAGAGCCCAGATACTCAAAGGGCTGCGGCCTCGCTGACGGCACAGGGTGCGCGAGCGGGTCCTGAAAAAGCGCAGTCTGGTCGGGCCGGCCGGGCCTCTCCAGCACCAGTTCCTTGGGCTTCTCGAGTGCCAAGCGCGCTCCCACCTCGGGCAGCATGAAGAGCACCTTCAAAGCGCCCAGCTCCCGACCTGTGCGCTGGCTGTCAAAAAGGAGCTTCACAGTTTGCTAAATCTTGTCAAGTTCTTTTCGTAAAACCACATCGCATACACTCTTGCACATGCCAGTTTGAGTCTCCGTGTTGAATGAGTTCCGCCAGAAAAGCATGCAAAGACGTTGGGGGTGGGGGAGGAGGGACGAAAACGCGTCCAGGGGAAGTGGGCAAGGGGAAAAAGGCTCGTAAAGCCTCTGGCATGGCATTTTCGAGAGACGCGGCGATTTCCGAACAACAGCGGCATCGATCTGCGATCCTCCAAGTCCAGTGAAGGACGATGGCCCGAACTTCTTCATTCTGGACATCGTTGGAACCTCCCTTGAAAGCTGATGGAAATGCGCCGCAGGGGGCCGCTGGAGTGCCACATGGCTTCGACTTTTCGAGGGACTCGTCGAGACTCCCCACGCGCAGATCGGCAAAGCCCAAAGCCCCGAATCGCAAACCCTAGGCCCTAGGCCCTAGATCTAAACCTGCTTGGCATAAAATACTTTGGTGCAAGGGGGTCTCAACATGTCTCAACTAGGCTTGCCAATCGTTTCCCAAGTCTTGTCACCTCCCGCCTCCCGAGCAGGGGCTGCAACTTCAACTCCACAAACGAATCCTGAGCCCTAAACCGAGGGCACAGGGTTCAGTGCACACACAAAAAAGTCAATCATTATCACAGAAACAACAACCCACACGGGGCCGGGTGTTGGCGGGTTTCTGTGGCACACCGACTTCGCCCGAGATACATCATTTCGTGGCTCGAGCCCTCATCGGAACCTCCCAACCCCCCAAGATGTTCCCGCCAGTTGTCCAGTCTTCAAAAGTTCTGGCATCGCTTCTCAAAGGTGCAGGGCTTTCCCTCTGGGACTGACAGCGTCAAGTTACGGGAACCGAGGCTCCCAAGCTTGTGAATCTCACCGTGGGCTAAGGCTAAGGCTCAAGGCTTAAGGGTAAGGCAAACTGTGCAACCCTTTTGCGGGCCTTCCAGCTCCAAAGAACGGCCCAGCACAGCCGTCAGCACCCCATCCTCGACCATCTGCTTCATGGCTTCCCAGCCTCTCGGTCGGTGGAGAATCTTCTTCAGCTCGCTCAGAATTCTTTGTCTGGCAATACTTGCTAAGAGCTGACCACCCTCTTCCCTCAGCGCAGCAGCTAAACTATCATGCATAGTCCACGGGATCTCACTGAAAGCTGCCCAAAAGCGGTAAGCGCGCAGAACCCGCAGACCGTCCCTTCGCATCATCTGCACAGCAGGCCGACTCACAGCTCGCAAACATCGATCCTTCACGTCCTCTCGGCCACCGAAAGGATCATACATCACCCCGCGGGTCATGTCCACTGCCATGGCGTTCACCGTGAAATCTCGGCCTTGCAAGTCTTCCAAGAGGCTGTCCGCTAGCTCGGCCTGCTCTTGACGTGCGCCCTCCGTGCCATCTGGTGGTTTGCGGAGTTGCGCACACTCCACAAGACAGCCCTTATGCTTCACTGTCACAACTCCATATTTAGCACCCGCCATGATTGGATCGGGGAAAACCTGCTGCAGTATCGTAGGAGTCATTGTGGTCGCGACGTCCACATCCGCCGGCTCATTGCCAGCCAGTACGTCGCGCACTGCGCCTCCAACTATCCAAGCCTTGTGCCCGTAGTTTTGCTCTATACGATGGATGACCTCCCGGATGGATGGGTTGATCTTGCTCAGCCATGCCCGCAAGCCGCTTGGCACGGGCACTGGTTTGAGACCTGTGGTCCAGATCGGCTTCCCACCTGGAATGCTGAACCCACGGCCACGTTCACGTACCCGACGCTGTGTGCGACGACATCGTCGTGGCGCAGGCTGTGATATGAATGAGGCGATTATCATCGCACAGGCACCTTTCGCAAGCAACTCTGCAGAAGCTCGATTTTGGGGATCCTGATGATCCTGGCTTGCACGAACTAGACGAACAGGGCAAGAAGCCTCGTGCAGGATTCGTGAAGTCGCGAGACTCACCTGCAGAAGGCTCGAGGGAGCCGGCGGAGCCGGCGGAGCTACGGAGGCCATGGCCCTTCAATTCCTGGACACGAACCAGTAACAGGCGCCTCATTTCTATCGCTGATGAGTACCACATGTGTGCTGGAAGCTTGGACGCGCATCTTTGAATCATCGCTCACACAACACAAGCCCTCCATTTGCACGCTGCAAATAAACAAACTGGAACTGATAACCAAGGTGCCACCATTTATCAGCGACTGAAAGTGGATGAACACGTCTTCGCTACCATCATCCGGCGCTATGTAACCTCCACGGCAAACCGCGACCGGAAAATAGCTTGGGAAACTCTTAGTATCGTCTTGACATAGGTTGGCTTCTGCACATTTGCAGGCTCCCCCAGCAGCCTATGCCCTTTTCGGCGAAGAACTTTTTCAAGGTCCCTCTCCTCAGTCCACCCAGGCAAGTGTTGGCTGATGCGAGATCGCCAAGAGTCTGTGAAGCTTGACTAGTGGAGCCAAGAGTCATAGACATGGTGCTACTACTTGATCAGGCCAGGCACAACCTGAAAGGCCCCCTGCCCACTTCGCAAAGTGGCGAAAGGCTGAGGCTTGATCCGAAACTTGCAGTCATGTGACAGATGCCAGGGCGAAACAGCTTGCGATCTTAACATCGCCGGAGGCAGACTTGTTGCACAGACGACACTGGGCATCCGCAGAAATCATGGTGTGGCCCAGTGCCGATATCGCATGAGGATGACCACTGAAGGTTGATCTAGATTTCATGCGAATATTCTGGAGGCAGGGAGGGGCCAACCAGGACCAGTGTAACAAATATGGTAACGCATGTGTTTCTCCTCCCCTTGCACCATCTCGAGGTCTGCAACGTGAAGGGAGTCACTGCAATTTTCCCCGAATTCCCGCAGAATGGAAAATGGGCCCCCAACTAAACCTACAAGTAGTACTCCTACTTTCTCTCACCGCTTCTTCTCGTGGGCCCGCCTAGATGCACGCTGAACCAGCAAGCGCCACCTGGTGCAGGGCCGTGGCCAGCGTAGACCGACTGTGGGATCGTGCGGGCATAGGTCTCATCTTATATTTAACATGTGTCGTGCAAAGTGCACAAATGTGCAAACAAACATGTGCAAACATGTGCAAACATGTGCACAAACGGCTTGATCAGACCCAAGTTGGGAGTCTCAGTATCCCACTGAAGCCAAGTCCATCGCGCAAACATCTCTCGCATGGCTGGGTTCTGCAATGTGGCGGCAGCCACCAAGCCCAACATCCGCAGCGCCATACCAATGAGCCCCGGAAAACGCAGGATAACTCCCAGGGGCAAGAGCACGGCTGCTGCGAGGCTCTTGTGCTTCCAAACGAAGGCCTTGGCAGGGGAGAAGTCCCCGGCCTGTGCAGCAGTTCCGGCTTCGACGGCCTCCTTCTGAACTATGCGCACGCGTTCCATCAGACGCTCTGATCCCAGCTCCTTAGAAGGACCCACACAAGTCTCCCCAGCACCCACACTGCTGCACACTTGCCATCACTTGACATACACTTGAAACACCTGCCACACTCCCATACTTGCCTTCCCGCCTCCAGCACGGCACGGAAGAGCTCGAAGGGGTCCAAGTCCACATTCGGCGGCGGTGGGGCCCCCTGGCTTGGCGAACGCCTGGCTCCACTGAAGCTCGACGTCTGCCCGCCCGAGCGTAGGAAGTGGTCGTAGGCCTGTCGCTGGTCCGGGTCGCCCAGCACCTGGTAAGCCTCGGCCAGCTTTTGAAACTTCAGCGTTGCGTCCTTGGACGGGTTGAGATCCGGATGGCACTTCTTGGCTTCGCCAAGATAAGCCTTCTTGATCTCTGCCTGTGATGCTGAAGAGGACACGCCCAGAACTTGGTAGTGGGTCTGGTTCCTTGTGGAAGCGAAAGCGCGGATGCCATTGCTCACATGACCAGATCTGTACCAGGCTACGTGAGGAGGCAGGGGCCCGAAGCTGCTCGGCCACAAGGGTGCCGGTGGCCTGCAGATCCTGCTGCCACTTCCCCTACCTGGCCGAAGCGCAGAGAGTGCCGGCGCCGAGGGCTCGTGAGGCTGCAACGGCCGGAGTGCATGGCGGCTCGCTCTGCGAAGCAGCTGCTTCATGACGTCATGCTGAATCATGTTCCTTCCTTGAATGTAGGATACAGCGAAGCCTTGAAGATCTTAAGCTCTTGCTCACGCAAAGGGAGACACTGCGAAACAAGCCCTACAATCATCTGTTGGCGAAGATTGGGATTGGCTGGTCAAAGATGTGGCTCGAACGGGCCAGTCATGCTTGTCGGTTCAGATCGGCTCATTTGTTGACATGTTGACATGTTCTTTTCTGGATTCCTGAGAAGCCCCCACTCATTCCGAGCCAGTGCACCCGCATGTCAAGGCCAGGCCCCTCGTTTGCCCCCCGCCCACCTCTCCCTCCTTCCCACTGTGCAAAGCTTGAAGTGGTTGGTGTGGGAAAGCACCTTGAACGCGCAGGAACGTTTCGAGCCTGGGCTGTCCTGCCAAGGCACATGAAGGCACTCAAGGCCATCAGAGTAAAGTTGGCGCATCTCGGCCTGGGATCTTGCATTTCTGCTCCCGGGAGTCAACGGTGCCTGAAAGGACAGGCCAAGATTACCCTACTGGTCCACCATCTCAAGCGCTTCCCTCCACCTCGCGAGAACGCTCTGCCAAGGCGGTTAGGTTGATGACACTCTCGAGCGGTTCCTCCACTTTCACAAAACACATTGCACTTCCTGCATGGGACACTGAATCACACTCATCACATCAACTCCCGAGGTCCTTGGGATAACCTCCACTGCTGGTTGTCCTGCAACGGTCTGGTCTGGCTACTTTTCCATTTCGGAAACTTACTTCTCTCATTCCCTCCCTCTCTCCCTCCCTACCTCCCTCCTTTCCTTCCTTCCATTCCAGCGAGCTTCCGAGGGGCTGCGCCGAGGCAGGCTCGTCACGCGAGTTCTCTAGTGATCTTTCTCTTTCTCTTTACTTGCCTTTCTTTATCTTTCTCTTACTTTCTTTCTTTCTTCCTTTCTTTCCTTCTTTCTTTCCTTTTTTGTTTTTTCTTTCTTTTCTTCTTTCTTTCTTTCTTGCTTTCTTTCTTGGGGCATGAAGGACGAAGCCTCCGCGCTTCAGCGCACCCCCACGTTGTCGTGACGACGTTCGACGGAGGAGCGGCGGATATTGCACTAGGCTCCTTCTGCACTGCAGCCGCATGCGCTGCGTTGAGAGCACTGACCAGGGGGCGGATATCCTACCCCAGTAGCCCCCCAGAGGACGCAGTGACCTAGTGGATGTTCCCCCCACTGGCGGCAACGGTTCAACTTTCCCTCCTTGGGGTGTTGTGTTCTCCCAACATTGAGGAAAGAAAGTCGGGCTACATTGAGGGAAAAGTCGGGCTGCGCGGAAAGACATGCATTTCTGTCTGGTTGGTTCGGAACAATGTCCAGCCCATGAATTAACCGCACGAGACTCCCCCCTTTTCCCCGAAAAGCCAAACCTTCCAGCACCCAGGACCCACGAGGCGAACAGAGGGAGCTTCCTGTTGGCCGCGCGGAATGTACTGATTTTCTGGCTTACTGATATTCAGTACACCTGGACCTGCTCGGTCCCACCGCTCACTGAAACATTGTGTCCCCAACCACCCCCAACCCTCTCTTTCTCACTTCCTCTTCCTTTCTTCTTCTGCTTCTTTTGCATCTTCTTCTGCACTTCTGCTTCTGTTTCCGCGCCCGGCTCCCGTTCGGACGTCGGCGTGAGACAAAAACGATATGGGGGAACATGCTGAAACACACAGTACGATGGGAGAGAACTTCCCCTTTTAATTGTCAGGCTGCAGCAACCACGACAACTCTCTTTCTCTCTCTCTCTCTCTCTGTCTCTCTTCCGCTCTCTGTCTCTCTCTGTGTCTTCTTCTTCTTCTTCTTCTACAGTGCCCTGACCATCGCGAACTAGGCACGCCCGGGTTGTCCACAGGTCTCGTAGCGACTCTTTGGACGTGCGATTAACATGTTCAGCCATATCGTCTCTCTTCTTCTCTCTGCACGCTTAGACCCCCCCATGCACAGCACTTAACCCCCGAAGGGGTCGTCCCGAAGGACGTGCTCTAGTGGTCCAGTGGTGAAAAGTGACACAGGACAGTTGCTTCACAAACCAAGACAACTCTCTCTCTCTCTTTCTTTTTTTCTCGCTCTTGGCCGAACGTGCGTGAAGCTTCGATAACAGCTTGCCACAAATGCCACGGTGGCAGAAATTTTCACCCAATTGCAGAACCAACGCACGCAACCGCCGACTGCAGTCCCAGACAGCTCCAGGGACTTTCTGCGCTCTTGCTCTTGCTGCGGCCGCCGGAAGGATTGCCCCGCAGACACCTTTAGTCAACTCGCTACTTTGCTTCCACTTCTAACGTCCATACAATATGTTACAAGCTTTACAAGCGCTTGAGGCCGCAACCACTTTCTTGGCTTCTACTGCAGCCAACCAGGCAGGGTTGCCATCGCTGCTCCGCACCTCCTTTGCAGCTCTCAACAGAATCAACGCCCCCTTATATACAGCTGCACATGGAGTACCAAACGCAGCTTGTGCGTTGAGCGTAACTATGACATATGAAACCTCCCTCCCACCAATGAACCTGACATGCTCAGGCACACTCCTTCCAAGCCTTGTGCGAACTCGAAAAATTTGCCGCGATGCCCCTGCCTCCTCACTACCTGCCAGAGCCTCGAGCTGATCTGAACCTCGGCTTCGGGAGGTAAAGGTGCCCAGGGCTCTTGGAACTCCGTGAACACACTTGTCTGTGACATCTGGGAGCCATAGCTTTGGTCAGGGACGAGCTCTGCGGCGAAGAGGCTTCAGCTTAGGTTAACCGGGATGACCCGACATGTCTGCTTTGCTTCTTTGCGTTTCCCGAGCTCATGGAAATCACGGAAGCAACCCATGACAGCAATACCGGATCGACCGAAGCATGCACAGAGCCCTCGGCTGCGAGAAAAACTACAGCTTCAGGATGCTCTGTACTTTTTTGAGTTTTTCGGGCCTTACACTTACACAGTTTAAGGCAGTTCAAGGCTTCTGGAGCTCATCATCCGCTCCATTTGGAACTTTTGTGTTGGAATCCTAGCATCGCGGCGCATCGTGGCGGTTCCAGTCGAGGAGGTATTTCGATGGGCACAAGTGGCGAACTTCATTCGTTCACAGCCACGCACGAATGAGAATGCACTGTGACTATGAAGCCAGAACTGGACACGCTGCTTTGCTGTCACGCTGGCTGAAAACGGCGCTCCTGGTCGGGCGGACCGGGAAAAGAGAATCGTCTGTGCCAAGTCAGAGCTGCGCAGTGTGACCCCCCAAAGACTTCAGGCGGACGCTTGGCCCGCTAAGGGTAGCAGGCCCGCAAGGGGTAACCAGGCCAGAATTCTTCAAGCTGACCCCATCAGTTTTCACCATATCGAACTCAAGCGGGTAAGTATGAGTGCGAAAAGTGGTCGGGAGTCGGGAATGCAGACCAGGGCACAAGACACAGGTTTCGAACCCAAGCAGGGGAGGGTCGTAACCACGGCTGTCGTTCCGCAGGGACGTGGTCAACATGGACCGAGATGAATTGGCATTCCTGTAGCAGAAGAAGGAAGGAAGGAGCGCGCAGACGCCCCTAGCAAGTGAAGCTGGCAAGTGAAAGGCGGTGAAGGAGTTGTCCCAACAGAAGACAACATGCACTGGCAAGTGGCCTGGCGGCAAGAAACAGGAAAGAAGGCGCAAGAGGCCACACTGTCCCACGCGGTGATGACGTGCTGGGGCGACACTTGACACGCGGCAGGCGACAAACCACGAACACCCGCGCACGTTTCGGACGCACACGCATCTGCGAAAGCTTTACATTGAAGGTGAGGCCACAGCAGCATGGGCGGAAATCAATGCCAGAACGGCACAATTGTAACCTCATGGCTATGACTTCTTGAGATGACAGATTGGAGATCTGCAGCCATAGACGCTGCGACGTGATCGGGAATACAGGAATGGAACTATCCTGTGTTCGGGCAACACGAAAACGGCGCGAGCCACAGGGGCAGAAGCAATGCCGGAGCACAGACCGTGAGATCCTGAGCAACGGCATCCGGGCCAGGGTGGAGCGGCGAGAGGGACATGGACCAGAGGTGGACGGCACTGGTCCAATAAAGAAGGGGGGCAGTGAAGACCGGAATGCTCGATAAAGGCTGACAACCACAAAGAGCTTCCCAGTTAGCTTGTCCGGTTCCAAGCGGAAACGGAAAAATTGGGAAATCGAGCTGCCAACCGATCCAAACCAGTTGACGTGGAAAGTGTGGCATTGTGCCGGCTCATGGGCACATTCAACCGCAGTAAAAGCACAACCAGGAGGGACGCAAGCAAAGATGCAACGCGGCCACACAGGCCCTGCAAAACCCGGATGCACGAACATGCTATGCCATTGCGTGCTAGGCAGCAAACATACGCGTACAAGTACAATTATATGTTGTTTGACAGTTGCCACGTGGCCTCGAAAGCAAGATAGTACAAGGAAGCCTTAGGCCACAGCACTGGCCAACACTTTACGCACTTTTTCCGCCCGGATGGAGCCCAACCTGTCTCATCCTTATGACTTCTCCCTTTCTTCCCTGCGCCACTATACGATCCCGCTGACAAAGGTAAGAGATGTATGGAGTGACTAGAGGCTGGGCCAGCGAAATGCGCATTGCTCAAGGTTGTCCGAAGTCTGCGTGTTCTTTGGCGACTCTTCCAGATTGAGTGTAGCCGGAGAAAGTTCTGGCGTTCGAAGGTTTACAAGATATCATACCCCAGCGCCCCAAAAAGGTATGCAGATATATGCAGTCTCAGAACCTTGGGACCTGGCGTGGTGACTCAGACCTCGGCTCCTGAGGGCGGTGGGTCGGGTGCCGGCGAACCCGAACACCTGAGCGGCGTCAGTCAGAAGCTTCTCCCAACCTTGCTTCAAAGTGATTGTAGCGTTCTCAGCGTTTCCTAGCTCCCCACAGCAGCACAATACAACAAAACGCAACACCATGCAACATGAGTGCCAATACACTGCAACTGACCGATCCGAAGCTGGGCTGCAGCACTCTGCAACGAAGGGGAGGGTCGCCGCGGTGACACGCTCCTCACTTGGGACTGTGGGAACTTCTCACGAGACAAATGAAACAAATGGTTTTCAGTGAGAAAGCGAGCGTTTACAAGCGTATTCTGCTAAGAAAAAAGGCATCTTGAAGCGGAACACAGCCTACACCGCTCTGACCGTCGGCCAGCACATCTGACTGTTGAATCAGGCACTATTCGGGGCACAACATTCAAGGCCATCTGCCACACCCCAACATTTCGCAAGTGCTGCTGTGCCATGACAGGCATTGCCTCTCTGTCCCCGACTGGCTTAACAGCTCGAAGACCAGCACCCATTGTTTGGAAGGAGCCCTACGGATGCGTCCGGCTGCCGCTTCAAGCTTCCCGACTAAGTCCGTGCGCAACATGCTGAACTTGCTCTGAAGGTTGTGCGATGCGTGTCCGCGCTGCCAGAAATGCAAGTGCGCAATCTTGCGAATGCACACACGCACCTCGCCCCTTGAATCTCCACATGACCCCAGCACGACGTCCAGCAAGCCAAACGCCCGGCGGCAGGCATAGCCCGCATGATGGACCCCGTTTCTCGCTTCAGGGAAGGCCAACAGACACACGAAATGGTCGGAGGGCAACTGGGCCCTGGCTGTAAACTGGTTTTCCCTCAAAGCCGAGCGAATGCCACACTTTCTGGCCACCTGACAAAGTTCGGAGTACGGAAGGAAGTTCTTTCACGAAAGCTTTCGTGACCTGATGAGACTTTTGGTCTCACTCCACCCGACCTGATGGGACGCAGAAAACGTGGACAACCTAGGTCAACCCCACGCATCCCCAAACATCCCCACTCGTCCAGACCTTGGCTCGGATCCCCACCAAGTGCGACCTGGCACCATGATGCACCGAAGCTGAGAAACATGAAGCTGCTGCACACATGCGAAGCACATGCACGGCTGCAAAGCACATGCAAAGCACATGCAAAGCACATGCAAAGCACATGCAAAGCACATGCAAAGCACATGCAAAGCACATGCAAAGCACATGCAAAGCACATGCAAAGCACATGCAAAGCACATGCAAAGCACATGCAAAGCACATGCAATGCACATGTCGCCGCTGCTGCCACCCCTCTTGCTGTTGCTGTTGTTGCTGTCGTTTGCTGTTGTGTTGTTGATGTCGTTGCTGCTGTTTACTGCTGCTGCTGTTGCTATACTCATTACATGTCTGCCCCAGTTGTTCTTCGTGTTGTTGCTCTTCGCGTTATTGTCCTTGTTGCAAACCCCAACCCTGTACAACGAGACAAATACTGACCCCACCCCCTGCACCCATGCCTTAGTCCCTATCGGCTGTGGGCGAAACAGCCCCATGAGATTTACACAGCCATGAACTGCAATCTCCATTGCCTCGAGGCGGTCCATCCGGTGCTGTGCGGATGCCAGGCATGTACCGCGCCGGCAAGATGTGGGCCTCGGTCTCCGCTCACATTAAACCCCGCAAACCCCCCCTAAGTACGCAAACTTCATCTAGGAAGCTCCTTTGGGGGAATCGGGCGAATGGGGCAGGGGGAGCTTCACAGAATGGTATTTTGCATGGCCTCGCAAAGCTCCAAAGAAAAGAACTTAACCCTAGAGCTGGCGTCTAGAGGAGATCCAAACGCAGCAACCGGCAAACAGCGGGCAGCCATCAGCTAAGAGAGAACCGTGCCCACTCGAAGCATGGTACATGGAACCCGAATATTAGGCAAAGGATACTGTGCCGCACTGCCGTAAGGCGTGCGGGGACAGCACCTCGGCACTGCGGAGCAAAGGAATGGCCGGTTTGGGATTCTCTGAGTCTCCGGCGCATCTTGGCGGGCCTGGACTGCGGCCCTGCCGCGGCCTTGAGAAAACGCTGGCGTGGCAAAAGAAGGATACGGAGGAAACACGTTGGAACATTAACATCAGGCAAATGGAGGCCAAGCTCGGGGCTGGCGCCGCCCAGGGACCTCTGCTCCACGCGGATCCCGGCATCAACTGGTACTACGTGCTACTACCTGGTGCTACGTGGTTCTACGTGGTGCTACGCACGCCGTGTCGAGTGAGATGTGGGCAGAAGAACGTAGCAAAAGGAGGGCTGTGCTGCACTAAGGCCGAGGCGGAGTCAGAGCGCGAGCTCAGCCTCAGCTTTTGATAGCTCAGGTCCACCAGTAGTAGCAATTTTTTGTACGTTTGGTGAGCCGGATACTGTCAACCTTTCGATTTTCGGAGGAGTTGTCGCATGTTTTCGGGAACCATCCTTGTCTTCTCTCATCGATATTAGGCATCTGTCGTTGCTGTCGGGCAGCGCAGGCCCAGTCAAATGGCGCGACGAGGGTGTCGACACGCTGGTGGGGGCCTCCAGGAAAAACACAAAATGCGAAGGAATGCTGTCTCTGCACTGTCTCTGTGCTGTCTCTGTGCTTCCTTCTCAACTTTTTGGCTTGTTACGTGTTCACAACTCAGACCACAGCAAAACTGCGACAGAAGCCCCTATAACAATATGATAAAGAACTGCAAGCTGCCCGAAGTGGCCCAGTGGCAAATGTAAGCAGAGCCTTGGCTTGGGAGCCATTCGCTTCTATCGGAGCGAGGTTCAGCCACAGCAGCCGGAGGGTCAGCACCTTCAGAAAGAGCCTCCATGGGCAAATCTGCACGCAAATCTGCCCACTGCGGATCTGCAGTGTGGGGCTCAAGGGTTCGAAGTCCCCAACACCCCCCGCTTTCAGCAGGGCACTCGAGCTGAAACTGCAGGCTTCCAGATCCGAGAGCCTCCAGCTGTGCAAAGGCAGGTCATACCAAGTCCCCACAAATGCAAGGCCTCGCGGGTGCAGTCGAAGTGGGAAGGCCTCACCTTGGTGCGGGCATGCCAAAGTTGTGCAACGTTGTAAAACCTTCTCGCATGAGATGTGGGCGGGCGGCGCAGGTCTCCACAACTCATTCTGACATACCGATGGGCTCATCTGAGCGGACGGCCAGGCTCATCTCGTCAGAAAGCCACTCAATGCTCTCCCGCTGCACGTGACGGGCACGGAACCTCAGAGCATGCCGCGTCACATTGCGTCACCTCTGAAGATACATGAAGCTTGTGCTTGGAGAGGAAGAGAATGCTCAGGCCCAGGCGGGTCCTGGGAGCCTTGTCCCTGACATGGCCCAGAAAAGCTCAGCACCTCGGCACTGCACTACAGGCCACTACAGGATACTACAGGGTTTGGGGGGGGGGGCGAGTGATGTCTCCAGTCGCTGGGGGACGAACCGTGACGCAGCGAAGACCGGCGGCCATGGCCCACTGCCCTGTTCGTGTGTTTCTGAAGGACTGAACTAAGCATCCTACCGTTTACCTGACCTCGTGCGATTGCAGCATCAAAGCTGTCGGCGTTGCACACGTCCACCAGCAGAACCGCACAGTCACTGAAGGACTTACGCTCCTTCACACCTTGGCATTCTGAGGCACTAGCTGGCACAAGATCAAAGCTGGCACCCCACTCGCTTCTCTGTCCCCCCCTCCGCCCCATCAGGTGCCAGTGTTTCAACGTGCAACGTCATACAATCCGCTGAGGCCTCGGGCTGTAGGTGTCTGGGTACCAACCAGCAGGTGCCCCGCCTCTAATCCCCTGCGGCCTTGCACCTCTTTATTTGGTACTTTGCTTGCAGTGCGTCATGAACAGCCCTGGCGCCGGGAGCTCCCTGGTGCTCGCTGCACCCCCCGCCCCTACCGTCGACATAACCACCTTCTGGTGCCCTTGGGGGTTGCCTTACCGCTGGGCAAGCCCCGGCCGAGGCTAGTCGCGCTACGTTAAAGTTGCAGTGATTGTAACTTTAGATGTCAGCCCAAGTCCAGGCTGTGGGCAACTTCGTAGATCCGCTTCCACCCACCAGTAGGGCACCTGGCTTGAAAAGCTTCTTTTGCGACTCTACGAAGGCCCAAAAAAAGACACTCCCGCAAGACCTCCACAAAGTTGAGTTCCACTGCCGGTCCCCTCTGCAATGGATCTTCCAGGAGCAATGCGCCGGCCCTGCCTGCAGCGGGGTCTATATACTGCAAACAGTGTCTGGAACCCCACCCCGGTCCCCATCGGCCCCGAACATTTCGATGCAAAAAGTCAAGACGCCCTTCTCGAAGACCGTGACAGACACAAAGCTGGCAGCAAGCTTGGCTCGGGTAGCTCACTGGTCGCCTCGAACTCTTTGTTTCGATCTTTGGGGCCACTCAGCCGCATTGTAGCCTAGGTTTTCTGGAGAGGCTCTGAGGCTTTGCTCCAAGGCCTTCGTCATGAAGCAGAGACCCATCCATCCCACAACTTGGAGTTCCGAGGTTGCCACACTCCCGGCACAGGTGGGGGAAGGCACTTTGGCCGACCCCATCCCCACCAAGCACGAATGCCCGGGAGGAATAGGTCAGAGACATTCGACTCGGGCAACAGAAGTTGGAGTCATTTGGCATCGGGTGTACTGTGACCTTGGTGTCATCTAAAGCCTATACTTCATGCAAATGCTCTCCCAGAGCCACGAAAGTCTAAGAGTTTAAAGACCTCTCTGGTCACATTGTCAAGGAGTCCAGCTGCTTCTAGCCGGCTGCTGAGCCGACGAGGTATGTGCAGCACACCACATCTTATCAAGGAAATTCAAGGCTTGCTCTTCTCTACCGATCAGCGACGCTAAGCTACCATCAGCCAAGCAAGACTTCATAATGTTGCACCCGCAATATTCTAGGGGGCCGCTATTATGAAAAGTTTTTCGGCTATTCAGGATCTGGACCCTTTGTTTTGGAGGTCCGCTATAATGAAAAGTTTTCGGGCCGTGACTGTTTTTTTGAGGGTGTCAGGAAGGCATAAGCTTCTCGAGAAGGAGAGATACTTGAAGCCTGAAGCCTCGACCTGTCCAGGATCTCCGACAATCTTCTTTTTTCAGGGCGCCTTTTCTTTATAAATTCCTTACTTAAAACTAGATGATTCCATAGGCGAATCATATCCGGAAAGGGGGTACCTTACGGAGGCCTCCGGACACACTTTAATGCCTTTGTTTGGGGGCCCACTATAATGCAAGTCTCCCGGGGCCAGGGGCTCAGTCCTTCGGTTTTCAGGAAGGCATAAGGCTTCTCGAGAAGGAGAGATACTTGAAGCCTGAAGCCTCGACCTGTCCAGGATCTCCGACAATCTTCTTTTTTCAGGGCGCCTTTTCTTTATAAATTCCTTACTTAAAACTAGATGATTCCATAGGCGAATCATATCCGGAAAGGGGGTACCTTACGGAGGCCTCCGGACACACTTTAATACCTTTGTTTGGGGGCCCGCTATAATGCAAGTCTCCCGGGGCCAGGGGCTCAGTCCTTCGGTTTTCAGGAAGGCATAAGCTTTCTCGAGAAGGAGGGATACTTGAAGCCTGAAGCCTCGACCTGTCCAGGATCTCCGACAATCTTCTTTTTTCAGGGCGCCTTTTCTTTATAAATTCCTTACTTAAAACTAGATGATTCCATGGGCGAATCATATCCGGAAAGGGGGTACCTTACGGAGGCCTCCGGACACACTTTAATACCTTTGTTTGGGGGCCCGCTATAATGCAAATCTCCGGGGGCGCGGGGCTCAGTCCTTCGGTTTTGAGGAAGGCATAAGTTTTCTCGAGAAGACGGGATACTTGAAGCCTGAAGCCTCGACCTTTCCAGGGTCGGGGGGTAGCTTAGGGAGGCCTCCGGGCTCCGGACCCCTCCCCTGCCTGACTGTTTGGGGTCTTTTTTTATTCAGGGTCGCGACTGTTTGGGGGGGGGGGTTACATTATTAAAGCAGATCCAACATTACCTTGGTCATTTTGCGCCGCGCACCTTCAGCGCTGCAGCCCTCTCTCAGCCCCATTCAGTAGCAGTGTGGGCAGAAGGGTGCCACCTCTGGGCCAATGACTTGCTCTGCAAGGACACGCAGAGGCAAAGCTTCCAAGGTCGCGGCCCAATCTCCAAACGCAGGCGCCTGACCGCACACCTGCTCCACCGCGGGCAGAAGCTGCAGGCAGAACCCTTTCGAATCTCCCAAGCCCCATCGCTAATGTGCCTCCTTCGGCCACTGGCCTTTCTTTGGCCAGAAGACACAGTAGAAGCATCCCTTTCCAATGCTGGAGACGTCCGGGATAAACCACATGAACATACCTTGAAACCGTCAGGTGCTCAGGTGTAATTTTGCGCCAACATAATGTTCCACAACAAAATGCAAACCAAGCACTTCTCGGCAGATGCGCACAACTTTGAACCAACCAACAGCTGTCATTGTCGATGGCAAAACGCCACAATTCTTCACAGCTGCTTCCGAAACCAACTTCCATGGGGACCCTTAACAGAATGGATTTCTATGTGGCGTTCTCTGTGTCCTCCTGTCCCGAGACGCATCTCCTATCTCATTCACAGAGATCCCTCCCTGTCAAGCCGAATGGCTGATGAAATCTGCCATCTAAAAACATGCGCCGACCTAGCGCCTTTGCTGACGTTTCAGGTATATCCTCGACATTCAAGCACCCTCCCACACACGAGAACTTATGAATTTGGGGAGATAGGAAGTAGTGGTGACGAGCCAGGCCACAGTTCTTGAAGAAGTCTGCAATGGCCAGCAAGAGCATGACGCTCCCCTGGCAGATTCGCTACCGAGCTCTGCGGTCCGAAGCTCCATGTAGTCAGAACCCCACGGCCAACCTTGATGATGGCGAGGATCCAGTACAAAGTGACTCGTGCAATGGTCAGCACCACCATAATGAGGTAGCTAAGGTAGTACAGAACCTGAACACACCAAAACTCGAGCCCTGTCACTACGACTAGTACAGCACTGGCTCACCTGTGCACCGTATCCTGAAACGCACGCAGATTTGTGGCATTGGGAGCAGTGCTTGCTGCTGGGAGGCTGCCACAACAAGCCAGCGCAGGAGGGTGACACTGGTCACGACGAAAGCGCACCTTGCAGCAGTCACTGAGGCTTTTGGCTTTATGCGCATCCGCCGGTCTCCAGACACCCTACAGGAGTCACTGGCATGGGGGGAAGCGAAAGAACTCAGCTTGGTGGCTCTCGGCCCAACATAAGCACAATGTACCCGGAACGCTGCAACGGGTCTCGGGAAAGCCCGTCTGAATCGCTCTGCTGAATAATGACATCTGTCCAAACTGCCGAACTCTCATGGCGGCACAAGCTAACGGGCAACACCCCATTCTGACCCCCAATCCCTTCGCTCCGATTTTCATTATGTTGGCGCTAAGGCACAGCCGCTGTCTGGTACAGTTGAAGGCGTGCTTGAACCTCGTCTCGAGGAACGCAGCGCCGTGGCATGATGCGTTCAACATCAACGCACGGATCCTACAATGCCAGAGTTGCAGCTTGAGTGGCCACTTCCATCCATTCTCCACCGCCCAGCCTGAGTTCAAGATGTTCAAGAGAGCCAATAAACCACACTGCAGTACAGAAAGTAAGGGGGGCGGGGGGGGGGGGGCTGCACCAACTCACCACCCGCTGCTTTGGCAAAAAGAACCAGGTTCCGAGCTCGTGGTCTCCCAGCAGCGGATCAGGCCTGCCAGCAGAAGAGCACCAAGAGCACTAGGGGATCCTTGCAAAGCAGGGTCGGCTGGCCTTGCTTGATGCTTGCCTCAGCTGACCATATTCCTAGCCTACGTGACTTAAGCAAAGAGACAGCATGGGCTCACGGGTTGGGACACTCTTTGGCAAGACTGCTGCTTGACTTGACCTCATCGACTTTTAGCAGGGGCTGTAATCCGTCATACCAAGAACCGTGGCCTGAATAAGCCACTCACATGCAGTTCGCTTCCAGGAACTAAAGCCCGAAGCCCCCCAATGAAAGAGCTACTTTTTGCTGACGAGCTGCGGCAAACTCACCTGAGGCCAGATCTCTGCGCAAATTGTCATCCAAACAGAACTCTCGCAACGGCCCCTGGGGCGGGCACCCAGCTTCTCAGCGAGCCTGGCATGACCCAGACATCACACACAAGATTCTGTCGGAATTTCATTCCCAAAGCGCACCATCGCCCAATCTCGGCAAAGGAATGCTTGGAGCAGTCCACTGAAGCAGCCACCTGACAAGTGCCAAGACCTGCCGAGACCCTGGTTAGAATTACAACCGACAACCGCCTTCTCCGTTGGCCCCGGGGCTGGGCCGAAAAGTGTGGGGCCCACCGCCTGCCATGGCTGGAGAATGCGAAGTGTCATCGCCCCGGCTCATGTCAATATACCATTACATATATACTAGTATGTCATGCCATATCTCTTGAAATCATGGAAGAAGGCTCAAAACCAGCCACTTTGGTACCTCTCGCTCAGCGCCCCCGCCCAAAACGAAGATGTTCCAGAACAGTACCTTTCGAGGCACGGCAGTGACTTGGCAGGGTTTGCAAACATTTGCAGAGTTCGGCCCTTCGGCCACCCCTGAGAGGCACCACCACGCCATCGAAGATCGGCCGGAAGTTGGGAGACCAGCGCTGAATCAGAACCTCAAGCATTCTTATGCCATTTCTTTCACAGGCGTGCGACATGGCCCCAATGGCCCCGCAGCCCCTTGAGCCGAGTGTCGTAGTTGACCGCCTGGCTGGGTGGCCAGAACACCATGTCTTGGAGATAGTCTCCTTGCACTCCCCACATGGCAGTTTGGACAGTGCTAAGCTTTTGGTTCTGAGATTTTGGTTTGGTTAAGGGTGTTGTTGAGCGTGGTTTTTTGGTTGCTTCGGGCTTAAGTCACCCTGACTCCTGGCCACAGCTGCACGGCCTGGACGGCGCTGCTCCTCCGATGTGCGCTGGGAGGTACCATTGGAAGGACCCACAAAAAAACACATGTAAATTCCCTTGTTACTGGGACCTCCTTCCTAAAAGCTAACACTCAAACAACCCCCTACGAGGTACTATGAGGTCGCGTCGTGAGGCGCTCCCCAAGTTCCACGGAAGCCCAAGCAACGCAGAGGGGCCTCGGGAGAAGGGGTCTCGAGAGTCTGAAGAGCCTAGAATGGGTCTAAAGTTCTTCATTGAGATCTTGGCCACAGTTGTCAGTGGAGTCTGCGAAACTCCGGAAGACGAAGCAAATGGACACAGCCTCGGGAAGAGTCTGTGCTAAAGACCACACAGAGAGTCAGAGAGTCTGCGGAGGCACAACAGATCTGACACCAGGCCGAGGCGCATAAAGCAGAACCCCAAGCGGCAAGTATCCAAAGGTGAAGGCTGCTTGCATCTTCAGGGCCTTCAGCAAAGCCTCTGATGAAGAATCTCGTGGCAGAATCTGGCAGAGGTTTCTGGAAAGGCGCAGCATTCTAATGAACTGTCGCATGCCAAGCCACTGCTTGCCATGTTGTAGCAGACCCAAAGCGCGCATCACCTAAGACTTTCCAGATCAGGGCTCCGGGCTCCCGGACTGTCGGAGCTTTATGCCAAGCTGCAATAGTCGTAGAACCGGCCGAGGATTGCCACCTGGCTCCCCTAAATGGAACACAAACGCAGTTCGCAGTGTCTCGGAAGATGGCTCCAGCCTGGAACAGGCATGCGCAGGCCATCACGGCGAGTGTGTACCGCCAGTCCCAGCCACCGATCTTGTATCCATCCTGAAGAGTCGCATTGTACTGGTAACATGGCATCGTCTGTGCCCGCAAACTCCTACGGCACAGTGTGGATTCAGCATTGATTGCGGTTCCATTGCGGCTGCGGATCTTGCAGATTGGACTTTTCGTGGTAGGACGGCACCCGTTGTGCGAGAACATCGGCTAAGCCAAACCTTCCCAGCTGCGAGGCAAGCCGGCCAAGGTTTGGTCGCAAGCCAAAGAATGACAGAATGCCAGTGTTAAGAACCGGGTTCCGGGGGCCGCCAAGTGGCAGGAAGGCAGCACACGACCTCAAGCTTGCAAAGGCTTTTGCAAGCGACAAGAAACGTCATGCCAGCATATGCCAGCGTATGCCAGCGTATGCCAGCATATGCCCAGCGGCACAGGGCCTCTCGAGCTAGATCCAAAACACGGATTCCATCAAGTCAAGGCGAGTCAAGGCACAGCTGCACGAAGATCTTGTCCTGGCACACAGCGAGGTGAGAAAAAGGGACGGGAGAACGTAATATCCGCAAGCTAAAGAATGGCAGAGATGAAGAAGCTCTGCAACGCTTGCCGTGCCTTGTGGAGCTTCAAAGCCACCTCTCACATTTCGGCACATTTCGGGCACGAAAAGCCACTGCGCAGTTTCTTCCCATCCTCCTTCCCTGTCTTCTTGACGATCCAACTACTTGTGAAGGTTGCACAATGATGCACAGCAAGCTCCCCGGCCATCTTCAAGAATCGACTCACATCCGGGGAACCCTCGCGCTTGAGGATGAAGGAAGCGCCATAGCCTCGACATCGAAAGCGGGAGCCAAACTTGAGAGATCCGAGCAGAACACTTCCAGAGCCTGCAGCTCCGAGTCCGCCCAGAAGCCCCCAGAAGTGAGCCTAGCAAAAGCGCAACAGAAAGCCGAAAAGCAGACTCATAGTTGAAAGGAACCTTACACAGCCAGTCAACAACAGCGCTGCGCACTTTCATTCTTGGCGAATGGTCACTATTGACTCTTGATCATATGTCGACAGCATCCTGCAGCTGGGCGGCCACAAACTTTATCTCCTTCTTCCTCTCCTGCCAAGTGCCCGTTTGTGGCTCTGGCCTGAAGAAGAAAAGCATCTTCCGGCCACAAACGACACAAGACTCAGGGAATATCTACCACCTTGACAAGCTGTCTAAGGCCACGAGCGAAGTCTTCGGGTCTGCAGTCTGCCAAGACCATGCCGCACCGTGACCTGACTGCTGAAACTCTCTGTCCGACAGGTCCACACGAACTCGGCATCAGGGCGGCGCTGACCGTTCGGTGCACCAAGGTCTCCGAGGTCTCACTGCTCGGCCGCACGGCACCTCTGCAAAACCGCATCCGCTCCGCTCGTGTTGAGCGCCACTTCCTTTCTGCCAAATATGACCTGCCTGCCACAGAGAGCACTGTCAGAAGCCGCCAGTCGATCTGAGGATGCACACGCTGCAGAAAGACGTGGCATCACACATCGCCCGACTTGGCTCGCGCACTCCGAAGTGCTAAGTCCTCGACATGCATGCACCGTCGGACCTGCCAAGGCCACAAGCGTGGCCCTGCCGGCCCTGCCGGCCCTGCCGGCCCTGCCGGCCCTGCACTTCCAAAGGACGGGGCTTCTGCGGCTTCTGTGAGTGAAAGCGAAAGCTAAAGGCGGAGGCATGTGACGCCGTCGCTACTCCAGTTTGCAAGACGAGCCTTCACCTCATGCCGACTGTAGCATGAAGGTGTATTTGCCTCCGGCAGATGCAAGTTCTTGTCTTGAACACTGCCCCTTTTCTTCGAAAGGGTGCCATATCGCAGACAGATTGCGAAAACATGCTAAGTCCCTGACCAAACATCCTCCGCTTTCGGGCGGGCATTTCTCTCGAGCCAGCATACCATCAGCAGCGTGCAACCGCCAAGCTTAGAGACACAGCTTCGTGACATGCTGAAAGGAAGAAGTGACTATCGCGTCTGTCCAATGGAAGCAGAAAGCACTTTCAGCACAGCTTCAATAAAGACGAGAGTTGGGATGGTGGCGTGTACAATTCCTGACTTCCTACATCGAGTGCTTCATGGTTGCAGAGCTGTACCACCCACCGCCCAACTCTGCAACTCTGCATGTCTTGAAGTCCAGCCAGTCTATAACGGGCAGCCGCCGGGCGTCCCGCAACAACGGCTGAGATGCTGGGAGCCTATGCCGAAGATGCTGAGCCCCTTTGAGGGTTCATGGGCTTTTTGCCGATTGCCCCTCAGCCCTCAAACTCTCACTTGAGGATCGCCAAGTCCAACAAATCACCTTGCGAGGCTGGTACGCAGAATGACTGGAAAACATATCTGCATGTTCTCCTTCCGCACCTGTTTGGAACTTCGATGACGACAGCGCCTTCGCAGCACATGGGGGAATCGCGACGTTGTGCAGTCTAGGCTGAGTAAGAGAAGTATGCCAATACTGCCAACAATGTCTGCTAAGGCTGCTAAGGCTGCTCACCGTGCAACGAGTCTGGCCTTGTCATCATCAGGACCACGTCTCGCGCAGGTGACCGTGCCGAGGTTCGTGCTGACGTTCTTTCCAGTCTTGTCCTCTGTGCAGGAGCGGTTTTCGATGTGAAAGCATGTCCGCATGCCCGCACTTTAAGATTTCCGCTCATTCTGGTGGTTTTTGAGCCGTTTCAGGCAGTTTCGGGCAGTTTCGGGCGGCTGAGGCCGCAGCGGGATAGATCAGGTTGAAGGCCAGCTTCACCTTTGGGTCTCGGGCCTCGGGCGCCACGTCCTTGATGAGATCCGCCAACCTCGAAAAAGGTGGAGCGTGGGAAGGAAAAATGGAGAGCATTGCGGTGAAGTGGGAGAAAGAGGGAAAGGGAGAAAGGGAGAAAGAGAGAAAGAGAGAAAGAGAGAAAGAGAGAAAGAGAGAAAGAGAGAAAGAGAGAAAGAGAGAAAGAGAGAAAGAGAGAAAGGGAGAAAGGGAGAAAGAGAGAAAGAGAGAATGGGAGAAAGGGAGAAAGAGAGAGCTGTGAGAGTTGGGACTTCGTGCGGATACCTCTTAGGCAAGACACTCTCTGAGGGTCACATCCGGCCATGCGTAGACCTCGCACATTCTGTGTTTGTTTGCTGCAGAATACACAGACCTGCAGCGTGCCCTTTAAGACGCACTGACCCCGGAGCCTGCAGCTCATCGTGAACTGGTTCCTTGCCACGCTCCGTGAAAGCCTCTGATCCGCGATGTCTGTGTGTGGAGACCGTGCAACGCAGCGCCACAGCACCGCAGCACTGTAGCGCCCCGACGCCGCAACACAACGCAACACAACGCTAGGACATGCAATCCCAGCCTGAATGCCATGATGTTCGCCTGCATCATGAATCATGGCTTCATGGTTTCATGGCGGGCAAGAGCTCGGTGACACGCAGCAGAACCCAAACATGCAGAATGATGCACTACGATGCGCTGTAGGTGCACAGCCTATCTTCCGAAAGATCCGAAGCCTCGGGGAGCCCGAGCTGACAGCAAAAGCCTTTGCTCTGATCTTGCCGTAAGAGTCTCGCAGGAAAGGGCAGGTGCGCGAGCGATCCAGCGTCTTGCGGGGCGGAGGTAAGATCGCTTGCTTGCCACGGCCTCCGTGCATGGAAACAGCTCCAACAGAACGAGGCCAATCTCGGACCTCACGAAGTCTGCTCGTGGCCTTTGGCGGGTGCCTCGCCGTATCCAGCACCCCCAGGGGCGCCCGCGGAGCGCTCTCCCGTACGCTCCGGGCGCGCAGCTGACGCCACCGAGGCGGCCATGGCCCCGGTGAAGTTCCTCAGAGCACCAGCCCCTTGGCCTTGGCACAAAAAGATTTCGAGGAATATAGAACAAGGCCACACATAGATTCATGCAGTCATGCAGTTTCTACTGTCCAGTTTGATTATGTGACTGGTTGCCAGCCCTCGTACTGAATCGGTCAGCACGGACATTAGTCTTTCACAATACACGTCTGCACCCCGTCCGCTGCCTCCTCGCTCACGGTCACGGTCACGGTCGCGGTCCCGATCGCGGTCACGGTCACGGTCCTCCTCTGCAAGGCTTCTAGTTGGAGCACACCCTTTAAATTTCAGATCGTCGCGGCCGAGCCCTATTCCCAGCCTTGTCGTTTCGCTCCTCACGTTCGCGCTTCTGCCCACGTCGTTCTCGTCGCTCCTGTGATTGACTGTCATCAGTCCTCTACTTCCCCAGAGCAACCACCTTGTGCGCGATGGTACTGAGCTGTTGTGTCATTCCAATTTGTTGGTGCAGGCTTGGCACAGCTCCTCCTGCTCCTCGCTTTCGCTGTCATCCGACCCCATGGCTTCTTTTTTCAGCCGTAGAGAACAACGCAAAAAATGAGAAGATGTTTCACATGAACGCAGACATTGCATGCCTAACCAAGCAACCCTGCCCATCTACCTCTTGTCTTCTGGAGCCAAGATAGCGTCAGAAAACAGCAAAACCTACTCCACTCTCTCGGCTGTGTCCTCGCATGAAACACCAAACAACATGGAACAATTGCAAGCTTGTACACGCCCACGGTGCTCTCACCGCTCGGCTGCTCTCACCGCTCGGCTGGCAAGCTTCAACCGCTCTGCTTGACGGCTTGCCCTGTACAGCTGCCACAAATGTGGCAGGGCATTAACGGATCTTCGAGGTGCTAGCAGTACGCGGCGTCATCGGAAGGGGGAACCTTGTGCTTCGAGTTTGGAGATTTGCCATCCTTGGATGCATGAGTTTCCACCAACGAAGTTCCCGATCCAACTGGTTCGAGTCGACAACAATCCCCCTGCAGAAAAGTGGGCATCGGACACGGTGAAGCAAAGGCAAAGGAAGATCTTCTTCCAACTTCCTGCCAAGGGCACACAGCAACATACACACATGCACACTTGCATCCCCCACCCCTCCCCCCCAAAAAAAAGGGGGCTGTTCACCGACTTGAGTAGCTTCAGGAGCGGCGGGATGCGGGCTGCTTGAGGTGGTATGCTGCCGCTCCGAAGACCCCATCTACTCCAAAACAAAGCCAACTCTCCTGCAAGAATCGGCCACATCGTGGAGTGCAACCTTCACGTCCTGGCCGAGTTTGCTGTAGCTGGACCCTCGACATGTGCAACGTCCACGGGCTGCTCGACTAGCGCACATCAATATAGCAGAGTCCTGTACAGCAGCTTCTGCAGCTTCTTCACGATCGACGACGATCTCTTTCACCACCTTTGGCATGCACAGCCGAAAGCTTGAAACTCGACGCAGGAACGTGCATGGGGCCAACAGGGTTGGAAACTGTATGAGTTGGCAATCCTGCATGGTTCGCATGACACCTCCAATGATAGACCGGCCAAGCTACATCGCGGTAGAGCCAAAGGCAGACCTGAACACAAACAAGCAACTTGATGAGTCACATCAGCAGAACTACCAAATTCAAAGCTCAGTATCTCTTGTGCTGGTGTGAGCACTGCTTGCACACGAGTTCGTGGAGCCAGGCGGCCACAATCAAAAGCACGACAACCAGAAACACACCTGAGGTGCCGGTCTTTGCGGCTTGTGACACCCCATCAACAACAAACCCCGTGCAGACAACCCAGTTGCGCAAAGCTGAGTAGCTGACACATGTGAAGGGTTCCAGACTCCTGACTGCTGCATGAAGGCAGCACAACGCTGCAACACTGCCGAAGCACGTCCGCTTTGGCAATCGAATGTTAGTGCGATTTGGCAGAATGATTCTACGCTGTCTAGCCCCGGAGGCTTTGAAAGCCTCAGAAGGCCTTCAGAAGCATTCGAGGGAACCGAACAGTGCCGTCGCGAGCTTCTTAGCCTCTAAGCCTCAGACCCCCTTTTCCACTGTTGTGGTTGCGACCCACCCTGCCCAACCCCAGGCTATAGACAACGACTTTTCGGAACACTCGACGAAACACACGCGCGCGCGCGCGCGCCCACACACACACACACACACACACACACACACACACACACACACACACACATCGAAAGGGACACCAAACGCAAGGCAAGGCAACTGCTTCAGTCTGCTTCAGCCGCTAGCCACTGCAACCATGGCTCCCACCAGTGAACTTCTTCTTCAAAATCCCATTGGGACCACAAGCTCTTGCAGTACCCCTCTGTGTTGCCATCCATCTGACGGCCAGAAAACACGCATTCTCACAAACTGTGTGCACGAAGTGGCTGGCATATGCGTGGCAGCGGTGCAAATCTGCAATGAGCTGCCTCAGCAGCGAAGACGCCTCGCAGCACTGCTCCTTTCTCTATCCTCAGTGTCTGCCTCGGTCACTGGAGTGAGAAATAAAGCGAGCGAGAGAGAGCGAGAGAAAGAGAGAGCAAGAGAGAGAGCGAGAGAGAGAGAGAGAGCGAGACAGAGAGGGAGAGAGAGCGAGAGAGAGGGACACAGAGAGCGAGAGAGAGAGATCGCGAGGCAGACTTGCCCCAACTTCTCGCACGATCGGAGTGTGCCATGATGTGCCATGGTCCATGCTCGCGTCCCTAAACAAAATTCTCCCTCTCCGCTCCCAAGCGCCATCCGGCCACTCGCAGTCCTGTGTGGATTCTTTCAACGAGTTGAAGCAGCCACAGCGACTGAAGAGAGATGACCTTGGATACTTGTCGATGTACTTCGACTGGCTTCACAATCACAAGGAGTGCTGCAACTGAGGCTGCGACGCCTTGTCGGCATCAGACATGGCGGAGTGTGCCAAACATCTGCAGGGAGCACGGGACCCGCGAGGCCCTACAAAGTACTGGCAACAGTCTGCAACTGTCATCAGTTCTAGGCTCCCGCGCTCGAGCAACCGAGCCGTGGCTTGCCCAACTATGGTTCTGCAGTTGCCGCCATCTTAGTTTGCGACATGCAAAAGATTTTTTTCTCTGTCCATTCTTCGCGCAGCATGTTCACTCACAGATGCTGACAGAGCTTCCATCGATCCCTCCGTGCATGGGCCATCTACTTCATGCAGCCTTGTGCCCATTCATGCATCTTAGATGCTGGGGCTGCCGAAGCCCGATGTTACTGGCGGACCGAATGCAGGTGGCAGCGGGGGAGTCTCGGACATTGCTGGACGGTCTGTCTTGTCACGATGAAAATGAACTGACGAAACATTTTTTTGCTTGTCTGCAAAGGGAATTGCGATCCAAACGTGTTTGGATGACATGTCATCAAAAATGCTTTACGCTTGCTGAAGTGCTGCGACTCCCGACACGCTCATATATACCAGAACTTGAGATCGGGGCCACGAAAGCTAGAAACGCGGCTGACAAGCAAGCTTTTTTCGAGTCAGGCGCAGGGCCTGACCAAGACGGAGGGGGAAGCCTGAAAAGGGAAGGGGGGGGGGCCACAAGGGGGGGGGGCCCCCCCCCCCCAGAAATCAATTAAGGCGACCCTGAAAGGAGGCGGGGGGGGGACACCTTAAGATTGATTTTGTCAATCCTATAAGGGGGGGGGGGGGCCCCCCCCCCCCTCCACAGCCCTTTATCTCTTTGATTTTCAGACCACTTAAGGGTCGGAGTCGCTTCTTGACCCAGCTGAACACTAGAGAGAATTCTTGTAAACGACAACTCTCGCGAGCTCCAAGGAGCTAGCTTTCGTGATTATATACATGTATCTATCTCTCTCTTCTTCTGCTCACTGGCAGGATTCAGGGCCGAAGCCGCTTTGCCCACCCGCGCCCGTGCACCCGGGTAGTTCTCAGCAGAAGGCGTGCACAAGCGAACTAGGCTGAGCCCCTCCCTTGCTGTCTCTTCTCTCTCTCTTTCTCTCTCCTCTCTTCTCTCTACTCTCTACTCTATCCTCTGTGCTCTCTGCTCTCTTCCCTCTCTTCTCTGTTCTCTCTTCTCTCGTCAAGACTCATGAATTAAACCATTGAAACACGCGTCTTGGAGTATGAATCTTCTGCACACCTCATTCGTTCGCCCATGCACTTATCATATAATATCGCGAACGCACCAATCATCTGTTCATTCACTACACCATAACCCCTAATATTAACAAGGCGTGAGCACAGTGAATAAAACTATAAGTTAACGCACAAGTTTTATGAACGAAGAGAGCGCACATCCCCCATGCACCTATTCTACTATTAAGGGGTTTCGAGCGGTCACACATTGAATCCTAAGTCTTTCGCTTCTCTCTTCATCTTCTCACTCATTATCTTCTTTCATCTAATGCTTCGCGAGAGAAATGCACGCATTAATAGTAACAATACAAGTGAATACGCGTGATTTTACGATGAGTGCGTGAATGCAATGAGCCCCAGAGTGAGGATGGTTTTCTGGCTCATTTTGCTCTCTCCTTTCCTCGAAACCGGTGAAGATAAGAGAATTACAGTGAAGAGAGCGAATTTATCATATAATTGGCAAGGACTTTTAGGACGCACGGTCTTTCTTCCTGATCTCTTCTCTGGTCTCTTCTCTTTCCTCGCTTCTCTCTTCTTTTCTCATTCTTATATCTTTTCTCTCCTCTCTCTCTCCTGCCTCTTTTCTCTGTTATCTCTCTTCTCTCCGTTCTCTCCCGCTTCTCTCCCTTCTTTCTCTTGTCTCGCCTCTCCCGTCTCTCTGTGCTCTCTATTTTGTCTTCCTTCCGCAGCACTTGGCCCCCGAAGGGACCGCCCGAGGGGCTCAACTGAGTTCAGAGTCTGGTAAACGCCCACTTTGGAGCAAAATGAGGGAAAGGCAAAAACGTGCAGTGTACCTTTTGCGCAGCCAAGCCCTCCAAGCCTTGTTGGCTGGGTTCTTCATCCTTTGCTCCCCCCTCCCTTCATGTCTGTTTCGCAGCCAGCGCGCCAGCGCCTCTTCAGGTGTTTCCTTTTGTGGTGTGTGCGTGGCCCCTGTGGGGTCGGCGGTGCTCCCGCCGCTGCTGCTGCTGCTGCTGCTGCTGCTGCTGCTGCCGCTGCCTCCGCTGCTGCTGCTGGCGGTCCCTGTACCACTGCTTGCCCCGCGTTGGTCCGGTGGATTTTGCTGGTCTCTCGCCCTCTCTCTCCCGCTCTCTCCCTCTCTGTTAGGGCCGCTAGGGCACGCTTTACAGAGTCTGTTGGTGTGTCTCCTCCTCCTCCTCCTCCTCCTCCTCCTCCTCCTCCTCCTCCTCCTCCTCCTCCTCCTCCTCCTCCTCCGCCTCCTCCTCCTCCTCGTCGTCGTCGTCCTCCTCCTCATCCTCCTCCTCCTCCTCCTCCTCCGCCTCCTCCTCCTCCTCTTGTTCTTGTTATTCTTCTTTTTCTTCTTCTTCTGCAGGGCATGAGGTGTGCCCGAAAGCGGCCCACGCGCGAGTGCGCACCCGAATCCGGTCCCGTCGTGAGACTGCCAACTGAGGACTTAGCGTGATAACACCCCACCAACGCTCGAAGAGTACAATACCGAATGTCTAGGTATTAGCTGCCCTGATCCTTAGTCTCCTCTTTTTCTTCTTGTTTAATTATTCTTCTTCTTCTTCTTCTTCTTCTTCTTCTTCTTCTTCTTCTTCTTCTTCTTCTTCTTCTTCTTCTTCTTCTTCTTCTTCTTCTTCTTCTTCTTCTTCTTCTGATTCTTCTTCTTCTTCTCCTCCTTTTTTGTCTTTGTTTCTTTCGTCCGTTTAGGGTTTAGGGTCTACTTGATGCTGCTTGTGAATGGTTCTCGCATGCAACATAGGGTCCAGCTGTCCTCCACATGCGCTTCGCTTGTCCTCTGCATGTGATGCATTTTTCGGTGGGAGGCGCGCGTCTCTCAGGGCCAAGCACAGCATTGGGGTCACACCTGACCCAGCTTGGCAGCAAGTTCGACCGGACACAGCCGGGGCACCCACTAGCCGTCACTCGCCCTCGCTTCTCAAGGTCAGAAGAAATCGACCACGACGTCACCTCCTCCAAGGCAAGCGCGGTTCGATTCAAGTGACAAAACGGCCGCTGTCCCGTACTGATGGCAGAATGTCTGTAAAGACGAGAAGTCAGACGGTCTTAGAAACGGAAAGAGCCTTCTCAACAGCAAACTCCAAGCTATGGCGCTTGGTCTGCATTTACGAAACTACAATTCCAAGATGTTCCCTAAGCATGGCTTGATGAGAGGCGCTTGTGGGCTTTGAGAGGAGGTGTCCTGAGGGCTTTTCGTTCAGCTTGGCGGCCTCACGCTCATCGCCCGAGTCCATCCAGGCGGCTTCAAATTTGCCTCTCTGCACAGCTTCTGAGGATTGGAATGTAGACTGGAATGTAGACTGGAGTCTGGAATGGAATGTCCTAGTAGATTAGAGTTCCAATGTACTGAGGTTCTGAGGTGCACCAGAGCCCAAAGCTTTGCGACGCGAAAGGCCGGCGCACCGTCAGGCTCAGCATCCGAGGGGCTGCTGGGAGCCTAGGTGATATGGTGGTGATATGGTCATGAGGGGTTTAGGGTCGTAGGGGTTTGTGGATCATGATTTGATAGACTTTGAACAGAGGGTTGAGCTACTGTGTCAAGTTCCGACCGGCATGTCTTGCCACCCCTGTCAGCAAAGAGCGGCAATACCATCTGAGTACTCAAAGCTAAGCGCTGGACGACAACGGGAGATGGGCTTCGGTTCCTCTTAGCTGTGGTGGAAGGCTCCATCCGAACCGGAGCTGATGATGCCCCACCTCAGAGGGCGCACCGGGCCCTGAAATATCCACAAAAGTATTCTCAAGTTGATTCAGCGTGTCACGCAGCTTCACACTGTAGAATCGTCTCTGCACTTCTGCACCGTCTGAGCAGCAGCACCCACCGCGCAGGAGCCCAAAGCCTGTAGGCAGCTCCATCCACAGACAAGCGCGTACTTGTGGACCAGAGTGCAGGGTGGGATCAGGGTGGGTTTGGGCGGTTGAGGTGGTTCGGTTTTGGCGATGTGTCCTCTGCACGCGCCTTTTCCACAATCTCCTTGGCCTCTTCATCTGTTCGTTGCACACCCTGCACAGAGAGACCCAATAGGAATGTATTACACTTGTAAACATCTCCCGAGCAGTTAGACAGGACACAAATGTGGACCTTCTGTTGCCAAAGGAATCAGAACCTGTTTTGGGGTCTAGGGCTGCTAGGGTTGCCAACAAACATGCAGAGGAAATAGATACATAGCAAATACAGGTTTTTCCTACTAAACAGCACAGTGAGAAGAAGTTTGCCATGGTTTGCCTATTGAAGAAAACTAGTGCCAGTGTAGACCCCAAACACTGAAAGACTATGTGGCAATGCAAGAGCATTCCAAGGGTCCTCGCAACATACGCCAAAAGCACTCCAGCACTCCGACAACGTTCCATTGGCACTCGAAGAACATCCCTCAAGAGAACTCCAAACGCATACCAAGAGTTTCAAATATCAACGACTACGCTTCGTGGAGACGCGCAAACGCGACTTGGAGCCATTGGTGCTCAAAACATCCTCACATTACTATTGGGTTGCACTACAAGAGTCGACTTTGGAGCCACTCGGGTTCCAAACGCCCTCCGCGTACTACCTTTGTACTGCAAAAGCTGACTTTCGAGCCACAGGACCTCCGGACGTTCCCCGTACTACATTTGTACTACAAGAGTCTACTTTCGAGCCACGAGAGCTTCGGATGTCTAAAGTTCCTTTTGCGACGACAGTTTCGCGTTTGACGAACCCAGACGGCCAAAAGCGACGACAGTCTCGCAAGTCGCGAACCCGCCACACGTCCAAAAGCGACTACAGTTACGAGGATGGAGACGTCGATGCGCACGGCGCCCAGGCGGGAGCGGCCCAAAACGCAGGAATCCATGCCTGCCATGTTTTCAGGACGCGGAGCGATGCAAGCCTCAAACAGTGCACGGGACCCGACGGAGAGCACGGCTTCCAACCGCAAGCATCACAAAATGTGCACGGCGCCGAGGCGAGAGCGCGACTCGAATTTGCCATGTTTCACAGGCCACCGCTCGAGAGCGTCTGCGAAGCCTTGCTTCTGGATCTGCCCAGGAGAACTGACTGTATCGCCGAGCTCCACATCCATTTTCTAACTCCCACGCTCCGAAGTCGGACTGGGGGCATCAGGCTTGGTTGGGAACATCGCACGAACTGCTTGAACCATATTCTTGACTTCAAATTTCTATGCATGGGAAAGCCCCTGCAAAGTACGTGTCGGGCGCAATCCTCTCGACGTGTGTTTTTAGTACTTTGAGTCAGCTGTTGCCTGCCATCTCTTCATGCCGGCATGTCTCTTGCTTGGCCTGAGTAGAAGACAAATCTGAAATGATAAGCATGCTCAGCATGCTCAATCGCTTAGCATGGCCACTGCGGGTCTCGAGCAAAATCTGAGGTTGCCGCCGACACTGCTGGGAGCTGTTGTTCAGTGTCGTCACAGGCCCGGTGTTTCCAGGCTTCTTGCCCGTGTTGGTCATGCCGAGCCTGAGGCTAGTGTGTAGTGTGCGGCTAGTGACGGCTTTCGTGGTGAAATGGGCAAATCTTCAATTTCGGGCTGCAAGGTGAGAGAAATCGTTTCAAAAGACAGCCTGGAAGAAAACAGGGAAGACAAAGTCAGAAAACAGCACCCTCCAACCCAGAAACCGGCCGAGTCAGAAAAACAAATGACACCATTCAGAAGCCCGCGAGTCTTTCTACTTGAGGTCTTTCACGCTAGGGTTGCTACGCTCTTGCTTCTAACCCCGTGAAGCCCATAAACCCGACAATCCCACAAAAAAGAACAACCAAAACAACACGGTCACTCGGACATTCCCCTTCTTCCTTCTCTGGATCAGAAGATGCAGAAAACAAGATGCCCAAATGTGCCTTCGATTTCGACATAGAACCCTGACTAAGTCCTTGTCTGCTTTGGGCGTAGACAGCCCTGTTAGATACCTTCACCTGGCAAGCACTGCTCATGACAGGCCCCACATGTTTTTGCGCACATGCATCCTGGTCAAAGAGTTCAGCAAAGGTTTGGCAGGCAAAACTCCCAGCTTGCAGGGTCGGGAGCAGATGATGCAAACTATTCGCTCTTCGAAGCTCTAACCTCTACATCCAGGTGAACTATGCCGCTCCTGGATCATGCATCAAGTGGCTGCCAGACTCCTGAACCTGTCAACTTGAAGACTGCTACAGCACATTGGCCCGGACTTCGATGCTCCTGCTACGCTGCTACGCAAACCACGACACATTTGTTCCCTGTACAAAAACTGACATTCTCCGACATTCCGACATGATGCGATACTCGCAAGAAAGCGTCATTTGGAACCACCAGCTTCAGCTAAAGCTTGGGGCCAATATCATGCAGTGTCCAGAGTATGCAGCGTGCCCAATGGCCACGCAAAAACGGACAAACCATCAGGCTCTCAAACCTGCAGCTTCAGACCGTCTCCAGCTACGCTCCAGCTTGGCCAGCAGTTCCTTGAATGTCACGCACATGCCACTTATGCCGCTGCAGGGACAGGACACATTCACAAAAAAAGTGCTGACAAGCACATGAAACAAAATGGAGCTTGGTAGCTGGAAAATCACCAATGGGGTCTATGATCGGGCGACAGCGCTTTGCCTTACATGGGGTGCGCAGCCATGCACATGTAATGTAGCAAACCAGATGTCAAACTGCGTCAACCCTCAACCATCACATCAGCGATGCTGCAGCAGGAACTGCTTCTTTGGCGCTGAGCCCCGCAAAGTGCATCAAGCAAATGCAGCCTCAGAATGGGAAAAGACACAGTGGGCCGACTCTTGAAATCTCTTGAATTCCCTGGATTCAGCTCAGCTCCATTGCAGCTGCTACGTACCCGCTTCACATGCTTGCATACAACTTTCCTTACAGGTCACCGGTGGTGCCCGCGCGATGTGCACCAGCCAGACAGTGGACCATCACATTCTTTCCGCTGGCCAGGGCGGCGCCTGCACGTTGGCCATCATGGGCCCGATGGCCAACACACACAACAAGAAGTGATACGGTGTAGTTGTAGTATGGTGTACTGCAATGCAACGACGTGCAGACATTCTCTGTCTTGACATTTCAGCTTAGGCACTAACCCAATCCAGCATCGGCTGAACAAAGCGTGCTGCGTCGGCATCCGTCTTGACCAGCCGATGGAAGCTGGAGATGTCGAATCTGTAGTACTTGATGAAGCTGCTCGGGGTGTTTTCATGGTAGTTCGGCATGTTGTCCGTGCAATTGACAACATGTGTCACACCGTTCTTGTGAAGTAAGGAAAGGTTTGAAGCCGCAGTCTGGTTGCCGACATAGAAGACAGCTCGCGTTTCGGGATGCTGCCACAGCGCATCCATTGCATTGTAGGGTCCACTTGAGATAACTGACGGATCCAAGTTGAGGCGAGCCCAGAGTTTTTTGGCCTCACAAGATGCACAAGACTCCAATACTTCTCCTTGCAAGTCTTGCAAGTGGCAAAATCACTTCCAAACCCAAGGCAAGATAAGGCAACTACAACGAGCAGGGAGCATCTGTGCCTCCTCATCGAAGTCCAAGCCGCGACTGGCCGTCTGGGCTGCAGAGTAGCCATTCAGCTTGGGCTTGCTTGGCACGGCCTCACAGGGACTTCAGAGGAGTCGGGAAATATGGAACCCTTGAGAGTAGTCACTGACAGATGACATGGCAAAGGTGCCTTTTCACTCAGGAGGTCCTCCAAGCTGTCGCCAGAACACGCTTTGGTCCAAAGAGCTCCGTCTCGCCCTTTGCTAGGGGTCCGAGCCCCGACCATGGCACGGCCAACTGCAGCCGCTGTGCTCCGAATGTCCACACGGCAGCCACTGAGGCCATTGCGGCCACTGCCACTGCGGCCGCGGCTCGAGGTGCGAGGGACAGCCTGGACAGAGCCCACGGGGGGCCCTCTGAGGGCTGTGCCAGCCGTGCCGGCCGTGCCGGCTGTGCTCATGGCGCACGAATAAAACCGTGCACGAAACGGTTCTGAAATGCTTAGAACGCTGCTGACGTATGCGGTTGACTGTTGGTCCTTGATAGAAGCTTCCTGTGACTGTGAGGTGGCGAAAGAGCCACAGGCATAGGCAGCACGAATCGCCTTTTCCAAGCAAAGTGCCAAGGAGTCAAACCGACAAGTGCAGCCAGGGACGGCACTCATCAGCGACTTTGCGCTCCAATCGCCGGCGCTCCTGCAGGGCCTCACAGACGACAAAACACTGCTAAACCATGCGGCCGTATCAGTAGAAGATTGAAGTTAGCAAGATGCTGCAAGTCAAAGATCGTTGCCTCCAAGGCCTTTTCCGATGCATCTGCAGTACCACGGCCTCGCGGCTTCGCAGCCTCCAAACGTGGGTCCTGCACGGGGACACCGTTCACTTACGTCTCCGATCTTTCCCGCCATATTTCCCGCCCTCTCGGAAGCTACTGGAGGCTCTTGAAGCTACTTGACGCTCTTGCCTCGCCGTTCTTCGGCGCCTTCAGAAGCTGCTTGGCACTCTCAGAGAGACCGGGGCCTTCCTCCGACAGTGGCGAACGGAACATGTGGTATTTTGTTCCGAAACTTGTGTGAGAAAGCACAAGGGGCACTCAATAGGCGCTCCTCGGTGGCCTTTTTCTTGCGGACCCACAGGCCCTTCTCATTCAGCTCCAAGGACTGGAACAGCAGTGGCTGTGGCTGAGACATGTCTCGCATGTGCTCGCATCCCATTGTAGCTGGAGCACGTTTCGTATGTCGCCGTTCCGTTTGGCTGTGCCTGGTCCACTTCGCCACGCTGTAGAGTAAGGAGCCCGCTGTCCTGGCAAAGCTTCAGTTCGCAAAAGCATCTTGGCAAATCTGTTTTCTTAAGCACTTCTGATGATTCCGCAGAAGGCTGATGAAGAAACACAACGCAAGGTGGTCTATTGTTATTGCTGCTATCGTATCTTTCAACAAAGCAAACCTCAACAAACAGATACTGCGGCTAGTACCATTGCATGAACAAAGCAAAAACGCATTGGGGGCCCTTGGTCGGTGCTGCTCAGGCCCTCGACTTCTGCAGGACAAAGGCGTGTGAAGTGCGAATTGTCCAACATGCAGATCATATGCACCAAGTTGGCCCCAATCACTCTCTGGCCTCCTGTTTTCCACCGAAAGTGCCTTTGGCACCCCAAAACACTTCGCCGGGCTTGTACTTTCGTTCTCAGTCCACCACAGTATGCAGGAGCCAACATATCAATACGAAACAGCTTGGCCAAAAATCAGCTTCAGAGGGCCGAACTGTCTTCGTCACGGGTCTGCTCTGGATTCGACCAAACACCTGTTTCTTTTCCTGGCGCTAGAGAAACGATGAAAAGAACAGAGGAGCCCCACCGCAGATCAGGCTTGGAGATGCACACCCCAGCACGAACAAGCAATGCAGGCCCCAAGTTTGCTGCTTGTCGAAAACCTCACGCTTCTTCTTCCAAAGCCTCACCAACAAAACAAGTTCTACAGCATGCAATTTGCTGCACCTACCAATTTGAACCATCCATGGCGTCCCACTAAAACAACCTTCGCAACCATGTTTGATTCCATGCTGTTGATGGTCCTTTGCACGCAAGAAACCGAGCGTAAGAGCCTGGCTTATTTTCGTCCTGGTACAGCTCTTCTGACCGTCTGGCAATCCTGGGTGCATTTGCCCTACACACACACACAACGACACAGAGACACAAACGACACAGAGACACGGACACGCAAACACACAGACAAGCAGACACCCATGCACACACACACACACATATGTATATATATATATATACAACAGCAAGCGCATTCGATATGTGCAACAACAATCCATGCACAACACATGTTTGAGCTCAACCTCAGCTCGACGCGGATTCAAATCGCCCTTCTTCTCTTTCGGGTTATTCAAATCCTGCACAGGCAACAACTTGACAACCAAAAGAATGAGCAAAACACACACATCACGCCTTCGGAAGCAACGCGAACGGCGTGTCAAACTGACGGTGCTTGCGAAGCGATTCTTCATCTTGCTCGAACCTCGCCTGCCATGAAAGCAAGCAACCATCTCCGGAATAATGCAATTGGGGCAAGGGCCTTCTCCGGATCCAACACTGGCACAAAGCTCGGCATTGCGTGAAAGCTACAAGTCGTTAAGTTTGCACTACGAAACACCTTTAGAGCGCAAAACACACTTCCGGGCTTTTCATCACGAAAGTGTCATTGCGCGTATCTTGCACTCGCACCTACCTGACGGGAAGCAGCCAACTGGCGGCGGCAAGCATTGTTGACAAGAAAACATGCTCGAATCAGCGATGCTGCAAGACGTCTTTACACGGCTCACACCATCTTGTCCTCACACGCACTCCACAAAACGAAGCCATGAATTCCAACTTTTGATGCCCAGTGCCAGTGTCTGAGTGTGTGAAAAGCGCCTCCGACCCACCACGCAGATGTTCAAAGGCCGAAGGATGTATGAAAGCATGCCAATGGCAACACCCAGTACCCCTGCATTTTTTTGCTCTGCTACAGGGTTCCATATGCAGGCGCTTGTTGAGCAAGCAGTGGCTGCCGGCCATCCGAGATCCTTGCACGTCTTGCTCCCTTTAGCTTTGTAAAGAAAACGCTAAGACATGAAACAGAAGTGCATTTTGAACCACACGAATGCTAGCATTGTGTTGGCAAATGGGGGGGGGGGTGGGAGCCGTGCATTTACACACATATATATATATATATATGCATATATGTATATCGATATATACGAATCCATTCCAAACCTGTAATGCGGGCAGAGACCGCGGAATGCGCACAGGACGTAAGCGAGAACATGTAAAAACAGCAAGTGCTCCCGCAAGAACAGCAAATCCGAAAAAACTGGACAAGTCCTGATATTGAAGCCTGGGCTAGCTTGCCTGTACTTGCAGTCCGGGCAGAAACACGAAGAAAAAATGAGTTTGCAACCCACTGGTTGTGTTTGCTGTAGCAAAAAGGTCGTTGCAGTGCATGCGCAAAATAACTTCATGATGTACATGTAGCCACACAATCGCTGATTGATGCAGAGACCCGGGAAGTGGGTTTCCTTTTCGGACCCGAAGCTCGAAATCGGTGCCTGATTTCCGCACTGTCCAGAAGGTGAAAGCTAAATGTCACTGTAGCCTAGATTTCGGCGCTGAAGCCTACCTAAACTCGGGCCCTCCGGGCCGGAAGCCTAAAATGCACCCTGAAGCCGAAATTTGGCGCCCAAAACCCCCCGTCCCAACGTTTCCCCTGCCCTTCACCCCCCCCCCCCCTGACACCTAAACGCCTACAGCCTGAATTCGAAACTGAATCCTAATCTCGTTCCGCCCGACCTGAAGCCGAAAATGCCCACAGGAGTTTCCATTTCAACCATGTCAACCATTTTAATTGCGTTTTCCCAGTTACGCCAAGAAAAAAGGCGCCATTTTGTGACGGACAATTCCGTGCCGTATGTTTAGGGTTTAGGGTTTTAGGGCTTTAGGGTTTTAGGGTTTTAGGGTTTTAGGGTTTTAGGGTTTTAGGGTTTTAGGGTTTTAGGGTTTTAGGGTTTTAGGGTTTTAGGGCTTTAGGGCTTTAGGGCTTTAGGGTTTTAGGGCTTTAGGGTTTTAGGTTTAGGGTTTTAGGGTCTTAGGGTCTTAGGGTGTTAGGGTGGGTCCGCCGACCCTGGCGGCGTGTTGGATGGGAAAGGAGGTGAAAACCTCCCTCTTTCCCTCCTTACCCCCCCAAAACGCGGGGGGGGGGAGGGGGGGGGGGGGGGGGGGGTAGTTTGGGGGCCAGGCCACCCCCCGCGCAACAGCCCTACGCCCCCCACCCCCCCCCCCCCCCCCCCCCTACCCCCCCCCCCCCCTACCCCCCGCTCTACCCCCCCTCTCTCTGGTTTTGCGCTTCAATTGCTGGGCTGGCTTCAGCTCCTGTTACCCCCTACCCCCCCCCCCAACGTTTCACAGAGGCTCAAGCAAATCAACTTTTGGCATCTTTTGAGCTGACGAGCGCGTTTAAACCTTTCAACTATGCTCCAGCGGGGTCGGCGGCTTGAGCCGGAGGCTCTTAAATTTTAGGGTTTAAGGTTTAGGGTTTGGGGTTTAGGGCTTAGAAGAACAAAAAACTCCCCAAAAAAACAAAAAAATACTCAAAAAGAACCCCCACCCAAGCCTATGTCTAGAAAAAGCGCCATCTTGCTATGGACAATTCCGTGTCCATCAAGCCTTTGTCCAGACAACAAGCGCCATGTTGTTCCGGATAAATTCGTGCCCATCTAGCCTATGTCTAGCAGAAAGCGCCATTTTCTTACGGACAATTCTGTGTCCATCGAGTTTATGTCACAAAGACAAGCACCATCTTGGACAGTTTTTCAACCATGTCACACTGCCTGAAATGGCTGTTAGAAAAAACGCAATTTTGTTACGGACAATTCCGTGTCCATGAAATCTATGCCCAGTTCTGTTACGGACATTTCCGTTTCCATCGAGCCTGTGTCAAGAAAGGAGTTTCCATATGGCATTTTTTTCTCGACACATGCTCGATGGACACAGAATTGTCCGTAACAAAATGGCGGTTTTCTGGACATAGGCTTGATGGACACGAAACTGTTGCATCGCAGGCTTGCGCGGCTTGCAGAAAGATACATGAAGTTTGGGGTTGCCGGGGGCCACAAAGGACCGCGTTCTGGCCTACTTCATTGGCCCTTGTTAGCCAGCTCATCAGGCAGGTCCAGGTTTGAGCTCGGTCGTGGATCCACACCACAAGCGCACGATTTGAGTGGGAATTTTGTTACTGCACCATCTTTCTTTTCTAGGCATCAAGGCCCCCACGTGCCGCATCTCGTAGGACTGCTGCAATTGGCACACCGGGGGGCAGAGAAATCTCGTCGTGTCTGCACCAGTCGAGCAGAAGTTCGAAGCGGAAACATCCACCAGAACGCGGAGGACCCGCTTTCAGACCTTGGACTCAGACACATTACAGCACTGCAGCGGATGGATACTTGCAACAGCAACAGCACCTGACAAACAGCTGTGCACTGCAAACCTCAGTCAGGTTGACAGACTATGAACGCAGCGTCAGTTGCCCTAGAGCAACCGCTCCACACACGTAGAGCATCAGAATGAATTCCAACAGTCCAACACCGCTTCCCACAGACTTCTTCCAGCTGGGAAGGCGCGCAAAGGGAAAAAGGGAAACGCCGCAAGACTCGACTCGCTGGCGAAATTAGCAATGTTTTCTGACCGCTTCTGATAATGTCGAATAAAGTTAGTTTCATTGTTTCTGCATGCGTTCTATCTACAACACTCATGCCACATGGCTCCACTGAAGCAGCTCGCCTAGAGCCCCTTCATCACTTCATCCTGCTACCAAAAAAAACACGGCCACAGTGGAGACGCAGTTTGGCTAGCGCTGGCTCTCCAAATATTGATTAGGGGTTCAATCAAGCCGCCCCTCCCCTCCTCCACACCCACCCACCCCCTGTCCGCGACTCAAAATAGCGCTGCACGATAATGCGTCGTATTCTGCGAGAAAGGCGACGCGAAGACGCGGATTGTCGTTTTGTCCCTTCTCTAATCGGCGACATGAGAAAAGTAACGGGCATCCTTGAATCCGAACATTCACACGGATGAATGGACTCAAGTAGCGCCAACGGGTTATAATCTACGATGATACGTTGTGTGGCGGAGCGTTGTAATATGTTCTGACATATTTTACTCTGCTATAACATGCGCACTTAGGACCGCAACATGCCGAACATGATCGGTGTAGATCTTGACGACCAACCCAGCACGCGCACGCAACCAACCCAACCCAACCCAACCCGACCCAACCCAACCCAACCCAGCCCAAGATAACCCAACCCACCAATTCAAGCGAGCGAACGAGCTGGTATAGCAGCATTACGCAGGCTAAGGCGCCTTCATCTAGCAGCATCCTCTCCAGCAGGGTCGTGTGATTCTTGAGGACGGTCTTCACAGCGATCTGAAATCGCTCGTTCGCGACTTTGAAGGCGACGAGACCCCAACCTCATCAGCATCATATTCTTCTGAGAGTTGGATCTCGTCGACATAGGCTTCGCCGTCTGCCGGGCGCCAAGTTCGGCATGGTTCAAAGCTTGCTTTTAACTGAAGCTTTGGTTTTTGGATGTGACACCTTGGCGGAGTTCTTCCAAAAACCACACGAACACCTCTTTCCTTGATTGAAAAGGGTGAGTGAGTACTATATAGGATAATAATGTAAACATACACATGGATCCATCTATACATAAACCTTCACATCTTTATTGGGTAGAAACAACGACACGATTCCTGCAGACACGCGCACACGTTCGTACAGATATAGACGACACGAAAAACAAACAAAAAGAGAAAGAGAGAGAAAAGAGAGAGAAAGAGAGAGAAAGAGAGAGAGAGAGAGAGAGAGAGAGAGAGAGCGGGAGAGAGGGAGGGAGGGAGAGAGAGAGAGAGAGAGAGAGAGAGAGAGAGCGAGCAACGCGGTTCCACAGTGTTGCTGCGTGCATGCGTACACGTGCGTGCACGTGTGCGCACGTGAGCGTGGGTGCATGGGCGCGTGGAGCATGGGCGCGTGGGAGCGTGGGCGCGTGAGTGCATGGCCCGTTTCCATTTCTGAAAACACGTTTGCGAAAGGCAAACGCATCAGTTAAGCTCGCTTTGCACCAAGTAAGGACCTCCGCTCGCAGATTCTCCAAACAGATGCAGCCAGATTCTTGAACCAGATGCAACCATATGCTGCCACCATGAAATCTTGCCCCTAACGAGGTTTCAAGTTGCAGCAGCCCCGGCAAAGCTTTCCAATGCTTTCCATGCCTTTCCCGCGACTGTTTCTGAACCCACACCCCCACCCTTCCGAGCCGGAGATGGGAATCACGCAACCCCTTTTTCGGACAAGGAGGTTGGGTAGACTCTTGTTGGCCTGGAAACCACTTGCAACGGTTCGCTGCGCTTCTGCAAATGACCGAAGCGACAACCGGACATGGTTATAGTGCAACCCCACCCCACCCCCGGCTCGAGCCGTCAAGGGGAGTTTTGATAATCATGTTAGGAATGGAAGTTGGCCTGTGGAGTGAGGCGTGCGGAAATGAGGAAATACCACCGAAATCGATCCCTTTTGAG